TTCGCGGCTGGACTGCGTTGCTTAGAATATCAATGGAGGCTGTGTTGCGTTGTTGAAATAGCTTTGTTTACTGGACTGCGTCCACTATGAATGCGCAGTTTGAATCTAATTTTCTCCTCATGAACACATTCTTTTATCAAATCATTTTCACGAATTATACTCGGAGCCTCAACTAACCTTTAGATATCAGAAACGTGTTCAAACTCCTTTCAAATGTATAGTAAATTAAATAATATGCACATATTTTACAGGTAAAATCAGAACTTTGCTACTGTTTTAGCTTGATCTGGACAACTGCTTATTTTATTATCTACAGACCAACAGTAGATACAGAGTAATATTTTGGTCACCGATTAGACACTACGATAGCATTTAAAATACCTGGATTTCTCTATTTTGTCGGAAGAAGCAGAAGGCACTGCCGGATGTCCCTCAATTTTGGCGCTGGGCTGCGGTGTAAGGTTACGCGAGTCGCAGTCCGTGGCTTCGTCCTCGTTTTGCTTATCCCCCGTGTGTATCAAGGGTTTAAATTCTACCTTTATGAAGGTGAAATAGAACCAGCATGATGCACAAGGGAAGACTCTGGGACTCCAAGAAGGCTCTTGAAGCTCTCTTCTTTCCAAATAGTTACTTTAGAACATGTGTTTCTTTGCTTTTGAAATATAAATAAACTTTAAAAAACTAAAAGGTGAATTTGAGAAAAAAGATTGAGCTAAGAAAAAGGCTGAGCTAAAATGAAAGAACAAATATCTTATTGTAATTGACTTTCTACAGCTATCAAAAACAAGAACTATATTTTGCTCTACTTACTGTTACGCAAATTAAATTGATGGCCTTTAATAGCATATAAATGAAGATGAGAGGTGTGTCACAGAATAACATCTATCAATAGCTAAAAGCTTCTAACCTACCCACGGATGTGTTCTCATTGGCACAACCTCATACCTAATCAACTACATTGTATTAGCTAAGAATCCTTCCAATTTTCCATTTCTATTTATAAGGACATTTTTATTAGAAAGATATCTGTTTTCTGAAACATAGTTATTTCTTTCTTGTGTCAAACATAATGTGACAAGTCCCTGTATTCCCCCCCATTCTAACAATAGGTATGGGGTAGTGGCTTAGGCAAGATAATCTACTTATGTCCAATCTTATATATCACAGCACTGAAAGATCTGAGCAGATTCAGTCATTTATATTTCAGTATTACATACCCAGTGAAGCATTTGTATTGAAGTCAATGGAGCTGAAGGTCGGCTATATATTCCTGTATAGCCGCCAAACCTTTTACCATGACAATCTTATGACGTCATCGGGATGTCATGTTTCTTTTCTTCCTAATTTCACTCGCACACAGACACGTGGCGTCATTGATATAACGTAGCTATGATATAAAAGTATGTAATACAGTTATGTTAGTATCATTGAATATATGCCTTCGGTCTGTCGTAATATAACCCTCGCAAGCTCGGGCTATATTGGTGACAGACCTCAGGCATATATTCAATGATAGGGACATAACTGCTAAATATATACTATAGTAGTATATAGCAATGAATATATATAATAGTATTAAGTTCCATGTTTTTATTATTAAAGGTATGTACTTTTTATCTCAATGCTTAATTAAAATCAAATGTCATTCTACAACCAACACCCTTTGATTATCTCTTCTGATAATGACATACCCTCCCAGTATTCAAATCAGGGTAAATCTAGTATCCCAGAAAATTCATTGGGTAATACGTATACAGATATACAAGGTGTTAGCACGCAAAATATCACCACCTGCCATTTGTTGGAGACACCGAACACTGTCTATCAAAAATTTGGAGACTATGACAATATGTCACAACTTGCAAGGGTAAGATAAAAACAGTCATAGGAACGTTCTTCATGGCAGCACAAATGTATCAACAATAGTCAATTAGAAAAAATGCTATTCTTCTCAATTACTGTTAAAAATGAACTATTTTCCGGAACTATTAAGCAACTCTATGCTACAAGTTACCCTTCGTCACACCATATAAGGTTATCGACACCCCCTAAAGGATTATCCTTCTCTAAAGTCCATTCACTCAACCACCCAATTCATATTTGAAAAAATAAATAATAAAAAAAGGGGGGGGGCAAATTTTACTGAGAATAATATTGGAATTATTTGTTATTGCCATAAGCTAGTGCAGAGGATCAATATTTCATTAAAGTGTATTAGTTTATTTAAAATGGGCCTCCAGACCAGACATCCTGTCTTTGGTGACATGTGAATAGTTATATATGACCGTATATATGCTTGTCAGTTTAATGATTGTAAGTATAATGAAAACTTCATCAACTGGAAATCCGAGAAGTCGTCATCTGTTACCATTTCCAAAAGTTTGATTTGCTTCTTTAAAAGAGAGCTTCATCTGCCTAATATATAATAGGCTTGCGATACTATTGAAGGATTTCCAAATATTTTATGTAACTAACTTGAATACTGCTCTCAATGCTAAGCTGGGCAACCAATGTCTATATACATTCAGCATAGCGCATGACCTTAACTAACTACTCCTCTACTAAAGTGCAAACAAATTTACAAAACATTAAGGTAGGACCAGTAGGATGATTTTTCGACTTGAGAATGATATCTGTGAAAGAATACAATTTTTGCTGAGATTTCAAAAAATGTATTTGCTGATCCCAAAACATTGATAAAAGATATGGGGAGATATGCAAGCAGCAGAGACGCAACTGTATATTTTCAAACAATGAAAATGTCAGAATTTTGTACTCCTGACATCTCTATATATGGCAGAATATCGAGATGGAAGCCTGAGATCCAATGTTCCTTTACACAAACCAATAAATTCTCGGGTATTGTAATGCCCTTAGTTAAATGGGATAGTGAAGTCAATCATTGGAAACTCTGCAAATGCCAATTTACAATTCAGACATGGCCATAAGACATGCTGAAGCTTTACTGGAGAGCTTAAGAAATTATTGATTGTATTAATACACCAAATAACAAGACATCTAAGTAGACCATCTTGCTCCAGTTCTTTTTATAGAACAATAAATTATCAGGTTCTTTACATATCATTCCAGAGCTATCTTTGAAGAACAAAATAACGGGGTAAGAGATGGGTAATAATGTGTTAACAAAACTAACCTTCAGCTAATATTCAAGTCTTACATCAACTCACATCAGTTGTGCTACTTAGACACTATCCAAATTTTGTTAGCAGTGAACCCCCAGGGACATGATGTATACAAAGAGAGAGGGATCACAAGGACCTGATGTAAAACTGATTAAAAGTCACAATTTACAAAGATCATAGACTTTTTTTTCACTTCTCAACAAATAAAAATGAAAATTTCTATCAAATCCTAGCACATCAAATTCTGCTTTACCATCGTTTCTCCTTATTGTATATCATTTAATATATCTGCAATTAGAACAATGCTTGTTTTGGGAAAAGTGTGTGGGTTTTGCTTTTAATCAGTCTCCTCCAGTCCATTCATCATTAGATAATATAATATGGGACTTCTAGTAATAAAGGTAGGTAGACTAGAAGATATAAATGCACTTTTTAATTTGTCTGGTGACTTGTTTAGTTTGAATATAACAAGTGGGTTGATTGTTAGTACTTCCTGTTATCTTAGATGACATATATTAATAATAATCAGTATCAAATTTTTGGGTGATTCTGTTCTTCGATAGGAGCTCATTTAATATAAAGTATGCTTTGCAATTATCGATTCAATCTATATTTGAAGGAATGTTGTTAATATGGATAATAAAACATCCTTTGATGTCAGCATTGAAAATTGAGCAATTTTAATCAATAACTATTGTGTAGATGTGACATTAGTCATATAAGTCAGCATATATAAAGAAGTTTATAACTAGCAAGATAAATCACAACAGAAAGAACTGTATGAGCCCAACAGTTATCATGAAAGGCATTAACATGAAAATACCACCACCAGCCATTTGTTACAGATGCTGAGTGCCAAGCACTGTCTACAAAAAACTTGGAGAGACTATAACAATATGTTTCCACTTCTGGTGGTGACATAAAAAATGTTGTCACTTCTTAGCTGTCAGTGGTGATGTTACCATCCCCTGAGTTATATAAGATATCATTATATGTGTATATAACACACAATAATAATAAGGAATCAATTATCTGCCAATTTGCCATATGAGATAATGACACTTACATATACAACACACGAAGTGAGAAATATCGTAATTCGTAAGGAAAACGTATCTTGTAAATTACCCAGCATGCCCAAAACCTAATCAGATTTTGGTATAGGTATGCTTTTACATCTGAAAATAATTCAATCATAGAAGCAGTTTCTTTTCTACCTTGATAAAGGTTTCTTGTGTCACTCGCCAACATGGCAAAAGTCAACAACAATACAGCCCTTTCAAATGTGATAATACCTGTTTTTGTCATGTCAGTTATCTATGTTGATTCATATAACAGAGGCATATTGTATCTGTTGCTACAGCATGGTTGACATTGTATAAAATAAAATAAAATTACTACCCTTAAACAGTGATTCAACACAATATTTGATTAACCAACGAAGGCATATATTTTACTGTTGAAAAAGGGTAAGCAATGCTAAATTGTACATTTGGGAGGAGATCAAAAATTCCTTACATACACTCTTTGTGGACCCCCACCATCAAAGTTCCATATGCACAAGACAACCAACTTTGGTAGACCCCCCCCCCCTCACAATTCTTTACACAAGTATGGGTAAGAGACACTTTGGTAGACTCCCATTCTCACAATTCTTAACACACATGTGGGGAGACACATTTTGGTGGACTCACACCCTCACAATTCTTTGCTTACTAGTGGGGAGACACATTGGTGGCCCCCGGGCCTCGCAGTTCCTTAAAAACTTGTGATTGTGACAAACTTTCTTACAGAAGAGTGAGAGTCAGACTTAGGAAAGCAGAATTCATAAGTGGTAAAACATCAATTTTAACTTACATCTGTGACTGCTGTTTGCCATCCCCACTACCTCCAGAATTCTTGCGTTTCCGCGCCAACAGATTCCCCAGTGCACTCATTACTTTATATAACCCCTGCTGGGGCTCCGGGGTAGGGACCCTACAAATACAGAAACTGAACTATAAATATTTTCTAAAATTTGTTATGGTGCAAATTTTAGGGGGTATGATCCAACCAATATTGGAAACTATGGGTTTTCAAACCGCCATGGTTTGGAAATGGTGATAGAAAATCAACTACTTATTTATTTATGGTCCAAACTGTAATTTTCTTTTTTCTTAGTGCTGATCTCTGCACTAGTCTGCTTTTGAAGTTGATCAGGTAAGAGGTTTTCCTGGAATTTGACGACAGGATTGAATTCATGTGGTCCATGTACGCATATTCACATACCCATCAGCACAACATGATGGCAATATAGCACTTTTCTGTGATAATAATCAATGAACAGGAAATATTGAAACTTTAGAAATGTGGCACAGTGTATACCAATGAATCAGGCAGCTTGGGGCCTCATTCCGAAGTCAGGATATTAAAATAATCAACAGTACCTTTTCAATAATTTCAATTTTATATTTAAACATCAACATCATCATTCCATAATATAACTCTCATTAAAAAACCATGACAGCTCCTGTTCGGTTATTTAGATCTCATCAGCCTCAAAAGCATATATTTAATCCTGTTATTCAGAGTCTAATAGAACACTAATAACCATCACAGGGAAGACATTTTTTGTCCAATGACCTTTATTTAGCCAATCAGAGAATGTGTTACATGAGATGATTCCTGATTTGTAACACAAGCTAAAACATGTGTTGAAACATTTCCTAATTACTTACTGGTGATATATAATAAGGGTAGTGATCCTATAACATAAAATATCACATGGGAAGAAACAACAACAACCAACCCCATAGACACTATTTACATATAATTCATATCGTTTTTAATATTCATTCTCTCATCTACATCGCCAAAACTGATTACTTTTTACGTAAAATTAAATTTTCTACAAGATAAGCTGGGTTTGAAGGCTGACTTTTTTTTACTGTTTTTCATTTAATGTGTCTTTGAACTAAAACGGAAGTGGATCTTTGAAGCAGGTCCTGAGATCACTTGGAGAGCATAATATACACTGAAACGTAGAGGAATATATGTAAATAGTTCTCTGTGCATAGACATGATGCAATTATGTGTGACAATATAAGACACGTGAAGATGATGCTAGTCTCAAACTGGTTAGCTCACTCAAATTGCCTCCTTTGTAAAATTACTCTGAATGCCCTTCAGCTGTTAAATTGAACCATCGAACACAATAGCATGTTACGAAATGATTCTCTTAGGCAATCCGTAGGTCTCATATTATGTATTACTTTAACTTTAGTGTTGGATATTATAACATTCACAGAATTTCCCACTAAAATAGCTCTAATTTTGACAAATTTTGCTCAATTCACACAAAATATGTATTATTTTTATGCTCTTCACATGACCGAAACTAACATCAACATTGTATATCAAGAAAGAAACATGACAGGCTCAAAGCAAACTTTTGTCAAACTGTGTGATTTTGAAAGTTTTCTTGACAATGGGAGATGGCAAAAGCAAGCAAAAAAGGTTTATAGGTTTAAAGGAAATGATGCACTCATAAGATTCTCTGTATGATACAATATACATGTTGATCACAAAACTCATTTGAAGATATGAGGCATGGTGTAACCATTTTATAACCATAAAACAGTTTTGAGATAGCATCATTAGTGGCCCCCAAGATGGTGATTCCTTAGATTAATAATCAAAACATATTAAGGGTAAATAATAATAAAAAAAGTATACGATTATATAACCATAGATGAAATATGCCCATGATATGAAATATTCATTTGAGTAAGATAGAGGTCACAAACACAAATAAGTGTTTTGTATGAAAGTCACCCTGCACCTGGCCATGATCTTAGACTACAACATTTATTTCATACTGCAGAAGCTGGTATATAAAAAGGTATCGGATGTATGAATATATATGACCAATATCATAACAGCATGTATAAACAAGGTAAAGTTGTGTTTAATTACGCAGTCGCATAAACCAGCAGAAAATGATAAAAACAATTGTACCGAGATGATGTTAATTTCCTCCGTAGTCGTTTATCCATCCTAGATACGTAATTATTACAATTTTATATCCTTTGTTTCTAGGCAATCAATATGTTGCATCTCTGTTCTTCCTAAGATCCACTCTTAACTGAATATTACTTTCTGCAGCATTATTCAATAGCTTACTACAAGACTTGGTGATATGTAAGATATTAACTCATATATATATAATAACAAAAACTAATATCATCTTTAATTTGTCTCCAAGTCCAAAACATACATGCATTGACTATATATACATGTAATACTATTTTCTCCGGTTTTATTACGGACTTGTTTCCTGTAATATTGTAAGATAAAAGTTATAAGGTTTTCTATACTATATCGCCTACACGTTCCAGACAATTATTTCCCTATAATATATCAGTACAATAATTATAAGCAATTTGGAGAGTCAACATAAGGCTTATACTTGTTCAAGTACTGTGTACCTCATAACAATTATTGTTATAATATAAAATATCATTTTCCAAAAATAATAAGTAGACATCACACAATATAATATATGCATGTACAAAGATTGCTTCATTTCAATAAATGACCAGATCTTTCTGGTAGGATATATAAATAAGGGTTATGAACTGGGAGGTTTTGAACACCGGATTTATTCCCAAGGAAATAAGTGTATGGGACTGAGGAAAATTTATATATTTCCCTCAGGATAAACCCTGTATCCAAAACTGACTGTACATAACAGATGATATATCCCATCCCATGAGGTTCTACATCTAATCTGTATATGTATATTCTAATAAAAAAAATTTCACTTTAGCCCTTCGGTTCAATATCATATTTTCCTCTAAATATCCTTCGAAATAAAATACATATTCCTTTCCTCTTACTAAATACACTCTATAAAGTTGTGTATCTGATATACAAATCCATTCCTTGTCAATAACACCAGGTAAGTGTAGTGTACTCATCTGTAAAACAAGTGACTCATTTTATAATCATTTGTTCACATCCTTCGGTGCACTTTTGCCTGCCAGAGAATTTGGGATAAGTAAGTACTGAGATATCAAGAACGAAAGCATCTACAATTCCCCAATGAATCGAGGAGTATATTAGGGTACAAAAGAATGAACTATCACCAGAGAGTAGACTCATAGATAACCCATAAATTGAAGTTTTTTATTTGGAAGGCAAAGTAATATAATAATAACATGATATATTCTTAGAGGCCATTGCACTTTGTCAGATACAGCAAAACATTTAAAACTACATGTGTTTTAATATCAGGCAATATCAGAAATAGAAACTTAATAAAATTACATAATAATATAGCCATGGTCTCAGTTTTATCTGGACTGTTAAAATTTGGTAAGTCTACAGCATTAGTAGCCTTGCCCAAGTCGGTATTTTTTTTATTTCAATATCTCTGATATTATGCTTTAGTTATTCAGTGGTTTCGAGATTTCCATAATACCTACGCTGTCAAAGGTATCGCGAAACCATATTGATTGACAAGATCGCATGGACACGACGTGTGACTTAGGCTGATTGACTAATCGAAACGTTATTAGGTTGACCTGCATAAACATAACATGTCTACGACTTGAAATTCATTGATCTGATCGAGTGTTTCTTCAGAGTTACAATATTATGTAATTAATAAATGTACATTGGAATCAATGTAAACAGTCATTAATATAAAAAATTAAATCATGCAATTCAATGTTGATTTAAAACTGAATTACCGATGAAAATGCACGAAGACCTAGCCATGTAGTCGTCGATCTGATATCAGTGATTGAATCTCAGCCTAGATCATTTGAATTCCGGTGTCCCGGTGAAAAGTGTACTTGTTTTTGACCGTGCATAATAATTAGCTAACGCGTAAGGGCTGTCGTTGAGTGGTCAAATTTTACCGACATAAACATTGGGTTGGTAAAGCACATGGCTTTCTCTTGGGTACAAGGCAGTCATAATAGAAATCAAGATAAGTAAAGAGACCGACTTGGGCAAGGCTACTGCATTAGCAGCATTTTAAATATGTTATTCTATCAATAAATCTCTGAATGGAGTACAGGGTGGCAATTTTATTTATGTTGGTAATTTTAAAAAATGGCTTTGCTAAGAAGCTAGAAATACTTAAAGAATAACTTAATCTCCACAATTCGATCAAAGTTTGGGATATTTGGGGTTTGTTTTCCTAACTGGTTGTACTCTTAGATGTTTATCAAGTACCACGATTTTAGCCATGGGATAATGAACATACTTTTTCTATATGATTACGATTTGGAAGTTTGGAGCGTGTCCTTCACACTAAAATAACAACCTTCAATACATTCTTGGACTCCTAATGAAAGTCCTGATTTGGATCAAAGTCTAATTGGCTAAATTTATCGGCAGAATGTTATGTTTTAGTTTTTAGAGTACATTTCATCAAATAACCAATAGATGGAAGATTTGTTGATGGTTGAAATATGTACATAACATGTAAAAATTGCAATTCAATGCAAAAATGTTCTCATTGTGCCGACAAACCCAGACAAAGAATCCAAAAATACTAAAAAATTTATTGAGATTGGTATACTATTTTTGTCAGATAAACATTCCAAAACTACCACATCTATAATCCAATGGATGGACAAAATAAGACTCCATGATTATAGTCCTCAAGTCCTGGTAAGAGATGAATAGATGTTTCGTTTCCTTGATCTGTTTTGTAACATTTTTGTTATCTTTTCCCCACAGGCACTGGAACAGATACTAGAACTGACCGAAAGGAAAATCTACCCTCCCACACTCTCCGTGTTACTGTGTACCGAAGAAAACTAGACAACAGCAACGCCAAAGCGAACAAAGTTATAGCAAAAATGGCAGCCGTTTTTTCAAAATGGCCACCTTCTACCAAAAGTGTCATTAGACAGTGTGCCATGCTTATAGTAGTCACATATAATATGAACAAAATCACTCCATTATATTTCGAGTTACAATAAAATACGTTAAAATGGTGACCATTTTTCAAATGGCCGCCTTCTACCAAGTGTCATTAGACAGTGTGCCATGCTTACAGTATTCACATACAAAATATGAACAAAATCGCTCCACTACTTCGAGCAAAAACCGTAAAATAACGAGTAAAGGCAGCCTTTCAAGATGGCTGCCATATGCTTTTTTAATATCTACATTTCTAGCTTTATTAATGTCCTATATAACTTTTTTACATTTAAAACATAATGCTATTACAGTTTTACATATTGCACCTAAATCACTGTAAAATCGGCAATAAAATGTCCATTTTTAAATGAACGACCATTTTGAAAATCGGCTTTCGAGCAAAACTTCTACCCCCATAGGGTATATGTGTACAAAATATGAACAAAATCAGGCCAACGGTATTTGAGTTATTGCTTGGACCGGATGGATGGATAGACAGACGGATGGACAGGATTTCACCCAGTCCCATCTTTCAGAAGTCATAATGTCCCGGTGACTGTGCCTTTCCCTTTTGGAACGTCATGCATATTTATACCACATTATGAGTGTTATATCAAAACTATTATCTAAAAAGCATGCTGCTCATCGATCCAAAAATCGATTTGTTTCTAAATTTCGGCCATATTCTCCAATTTTTCTTTATATACGGTAAGTTTGGTGGCCATAACAGCATTATATCTTGCCTACCTTTCCTCAGTTCACCACATGAAAGTGAGTAGAATTCTGTCAAATGAAATAGGTCGACATTTCTCTGCATTTTTTCTTCTAAATTTGACAAGCCGAACAATTCTAAGAATGTGACGTCACCAGACAGAATGGACTCGTCCATATGTAGGGAGACAAGGTAGGTCTAACGCAGCTGCCATCTTTCAATAGAACGTTGAATAAAAGTATTTTCACCCCTGTTAGATAAACTCGGCCAATATTTGGAAACCTGGCGTCACTCAAATACAGGGTCAGGAGAATTTTTCTGGAGAAAATGACTGGACTGTTGTTGTTCGATGTTCGTATCGATTTTTGAATATTTCTGTTCTTAGCTATGAAATGTATAAAAACACTCGGCCATATAACTCTGTGATACATCGAATGTAAGTAGGCTGAATGATTTACAAGGCATAGGCTACCTTTTTCAGAAAAATAGATTTTCGATCGACGAACAGTATACTTTTTAGATAATAGCATTAATCATATTTTGAGAAATCACTGAATTACAACATGTATATGCTTTTATATCTTCCAACTATAGGTATGAGACTAGGAATAGAGTGTCAATTGAGTTCAGGATTTCATATTTTGCTTTTCAGGTCAAGATTTTAGGTCATATGTAAACAAATCGGTTCAACCTCTAGTTTCAACGTAATTGGCAGTGTCTTAGATTCATTAGACTATCCATAGTCTGAATTGTGTCATTATGAGCATTATGACAAGCCTATTGATAGTCTATGGGGAAGGTTTGTTTATAAAAATTTGCTCCAAAATGGATTCAGAATCTGTTTTTTAGTGCAAAATTTGCAAATGGATTCCCTCGTAACAAGGTCAAAATGAGATGAAGTAAGAAGGAAATATTCTAATCATCGGAGTATACTTACCCCGCGGAGTAATGAGGATCTTTTGCGGAGTTCAGTGTCCTAGTTTGCTACGCGAAACACCTATATATCTGCAAAACAGTGAACGTACAAGCAGCTGGAATAAATTTCAGTCGCCATGTTGGAAATTGCTCATTTGCATATTGAAATTGATAAAAAACGTGAATATTGAATGTTGAAAGGTTATTTCATAGACATTAAAAGCAGTATAAAACATCGTTGATGGTATAGAGTAAAAAAAAACAACGTTTGACAAATTTGAGTAAAGTATGTATTGTAACTGCCGAGGACAAGAGATCCTTTGACGAGAAACATTTTGACAACTCATGTTCAGGGCACCTGTCCATGACGTCATTTGTATACAGAATCCAATATGGCGGCAAAACATCTTGAGTAAAATATTTGTAAACTGGCATTATCTTTAGAATATAACGCATTTGATAATATTGTTTGGAGTGAACTGATTCAACCTCATATACAATGTAAGTAAGTGTTTCATATATTGGGAGAATTAATAGCGTTTGTGTTGTGTCTTGGAGTCTTTTCTTCGAAAATCCGTTTCAATCACCGTTCAAAAAATTAAAATTCTAGACTGATTTTTATGCTAGCCTTGGGAAAATAGAACCCAGACTCCAATATTGTATTTTCTAATGTTAATAGAGGCAAGTGGCTACCAGGTTGATTGCAATTTGAGGCCAGACTCTGATCTTCATGCCGTGCATCTCATTACAAGATACAACCTCTCACTTCAAACCCCATCGCTGACCTATAAATAACATGATAATGCTCTGCCTACATGTATTTAGCAACAAATATGATATAGCAATGGCCTTTGATCTGTTTGCCAATTCAGTCCAGTGGATTTATTATAATCGATCCTTACACTACCATAATATAGTCATGTGATCACTGTTTGACGACAAGAAGGTTGTTCGTTAATCCAACTTAAACTGACGAATTTATACACGTAGGTTCATCCAGTAGCTGACAGCCTTTAGTTGCATTCTGGAATACAAGTTCAGCATCTGAGTGAGTGACTAAGTCTAGTAAATGTAGTGAATCATCTGAACATTAAACTGCGGTCTATAGGCCAAGGGTAAAGTAATAGTAAGCCGTAGTGCTCGGACCGGTAATGAAAAGTGGTGCCGGTATTACCGTATGTCATTACCGATATTTACCGACTATTTAGCAAGTATTTTGATATATACAGCTTACTATTACTTTTCCCTTGGCCTATGCTGCGGTCAATGATCATTTCCAGGAATTTTTTGCTCAAGAGGCAGTTTTGATTTAATTGGTTAATTGATTGATTGGGTATCCTGTACGTGGCAATTTCGGGATTAAGACCGGACCTGTTACAATATCAAAGCATATTAGTACAGATCATCTCATTACATCACATTACCTATTTCAAAGTCTGTCTGATCTGTATAAGACAGCCTTTGTATGCAGAGTATACATGTAGGAATAGGTTGCTAGATAATCGTAATGGCTGAAACCATGGGCTTTCACTTGAAAGCCCATGCTGAAACTGAAATACTGAGTTCAACTGCTTAATTTATGTCTCCAAATGTTCTCTACATCCATTTTTGAAAGTTATCAGTTGCTTCTTTTTTGATCAGGACTTGTCTTTATCCCAGATTTGATATTTTCTAGAGTGAAATCAAATTGGTGGTTTTATGGTTTTAATGGAAATTTACGAAGAAGTGTTTAAAATCTCAGGTGATTTCCACGTTAGACCTTCTCTGGACGCTACTTCATAAATTTTCATTAAAACCGCCATTTTGATTTCTCTCTAGAAACTGTCACGCTCGGTCAAATATGATATTTTCCTTGGCTAATATCATATTGTTCCTGAGAATAAAATTCATATTTCATCACTCCCATTAAATAACCTTTATTTATTCCATGGCAACATATTTCCCTTGGGAAATAAACAGGGAATATAATTGACTAGATGCAAGATAAAAATAATTTTGATTTACATGAACAAAATTCAGTCAAAGTGATATCATATTTGAAATCTACATGTAAAATTACATCAAGAAATTTGTATCAACTTTGAAAATTTAATTTTCTTTGAAAATACGACTTCGGGGAGATTTCCCATCTACCCCATGACAGATATTTTATTTTACTTGTGTAACTATCAGATGCATAAGGGTAATATAAAAATTGAGCTACTAAAACTGATGAATATTCAGGTAGGATTTTTCTAATACCCTGCTATGTTATCTACCCCAAATTAGCCACCAGGTGGTGAAAATGGTGACTACCTACTTGCATCTGGCTGATTGATATTCAAAAAATCCTATATCAGACCCAGCATCGGGCAAAATCCCTTTTCAGATCCTGTATCAGATCCCATATTAGATCCTTTATCAGCCAAAATCCAGTTTCAGAAATATTCACTGGGATTTCTCTAGAAATTTATTTTTATTCTATTTTAACACTTGTTAATAAAAGTTGAAAAATGTTACAAAGCTTCAAAATAAATAAATAAATATTATGGAATAGATAGGTAATTGATTGTCATGGCAGAATATGAATTTTTCCTTGAGAAAATATGATGTCCTTTGAAAATATCATATTGACATTCAGGCTGTCACCCTCAGTTAATAAATGTTCCTTGGTCAGCAATATCATGTTTTCCCTTGGAAAAAATTCATATTCTCTCCCTCCCATTAAACAACCTCTATATACCGTATTTAAATTGGTTTCCATACCAGTAACGAGTATAGTTCCCTTGGAATAAAATTCATATTCTCTCCCTCCCATTAAATAACCTCTTATATATTAAAAAATTGGTTTCCATACCTGTATCTAGTGTAGATATAATTAATATAATAATATATAGATATAATAAATTACTTCCATGACTATTTGCATGAAACTGACTGCAAATTTCAAATCAAGAAATGTCTTGATTTTTCTATACATGTATATTAATTTCTCCCCTCTCTTATGCCTCTCCCGCTAGTTGCATTATTTTGTCAAGTTTGTCAAATTTAACTGTTAGTAGAAGTTGGCTGGTTCAATATTTATTTTGAGACTAACTGGTTTGAGCTCTTTGCCATTTCGCAAATATTTTTTAGATAATTAGATTTCCTATTTAGAAACAACGGTGTTATTAGAATCATATATTTTAACGAATGGCCAATCAAATCCTACCAGGATATTTTGATAGCGTAACCTAGAAAGGGGATTCCCCTTTTTTTCTTTAAAGTACTGTTGTTATAACAACTGGTGTGGACAATTTGAAATACTGGTTAAATTTCCTGATCAAAAAAGTGGAGTCAACCCCTCTGGAATTGGTTAAAAAATATACGTTATGTACAATTTACTGAGAGTCAATAGTGCTTTCCTTTCAACCACTCACCAGAGAAAAAGTAGGCAGTGCACATAGATAATTTGATCCCCTTAGTTTATTCATCCCAGGCAAAGCAAACCATTGACTCTTACAAATGAATATGTCCATTGTCCCTCATCAGAGATAAGGACATGAAATATCAAAAATATGTCGTCAGGGGATTTTCTTTCTCTATTTGTTTGCTTAATATTTCAATATATATGTTAAATACAAAATAAGACTGAGAACCTCTGGCAAAAATAATGGGTAAATGAGTTTAAATGATAATATATATGATAGATGATATTCATTTGGATTCTCATGTATTTTTACTATTTTTAGATGCTGCTTGATGGGGTACGACAGAGAGATGTGCTAAACATGGCTTTGATCTGCTATGTCATCCCTTAAACAGGAAGCCACAGGGACTTAAGGGCTTATCCAAAGCTGACAGTCCAATATGTCAGCCAATAGTTGTGGAGAAAGGCTACCGTTAGAGCTGATGCGAGTTGTCTTGTCATATCTAAATGTCACCGACCTTTGTCGATGTGCTTGCGTTTGTAACTCATGGAATGAACTTGTCAAATCACTTGATAAAACTACATGGAAGTTCTGGTACAAACGCAACCTCGAGTGGAGACTGCCTTTGTGGCCTATGTCTCAAGATGAAGAGGCAATATCATGGCAGAGGGCATACAGGGAAAATTACATAGCTTCAAAGATTTGGGCTATTGGTGGTGGAAATTCTGAAAAAACAAATTGTTTGCTTGTGTTCAGACGGAAACGAGAAAGGCGAACTTTACATGTAGGTGCAGGTTTAGAGTATACAACTTTAAAGAGTGCTCTTGCAGTGGCAAATGATTACGATCGTATACTCATCCATCCTGGGACATATGACGAACAGTTTGAAATGTCATCGAAAATTCCATTTGAATTAGTTGGTGCAGGTGAATTAGGTAAGAATTAGATGCTTATTTCAAAATAGGTCTTATCTTTACTTCTTTGGAAAACGGGCCTTTTTTCCTCAATAATTGACCCAAAGTATCACCTCTACGGTCTAGTAGAGGAGCAGGACTGCCGACTGGGATGGGTTGAATATTACTGCATGTACCAAACTCCAGAGAACAAGTGATGGTTACAGAAAATATCCATCCCCTCTCTAGATATAGTATATATCTCTGTAATTTAGCTACCTAAGAACCTCAGATGGTATTGACTAATTTGGCTGATTGGGCTATGAGATTTTATTGTGTATTTCATACCTACTGAGGTTCTAGGTACATAACGAGCGTGAATATAAACTGTATCTAGCCAAGGCCCGGGGCGGGATGGATACACGCTGTATCCATCCCGGTCCCGCTCCTGAAATTTTTTTTCACAATTTTTTCAAATTTTTTTTTTCAATTTTTTTTTCAAAAATTTTTTCCCATTTTTTCCCAAATTTTTTTTCACATTATTTTTCAAAACAATTTTCACATTTTTTTAAAAAAAAATTTCACATTTTTATATGAGTTTGATAATCTCAGAAACTTAAAAAAACACTTTATAACACCAAGAAAATGCGTATCTTAAGTATATTTTTGAATTTTGGAACTTTGTAAGGTATATGACGTACCTAGAACATCAGTAGGTATGAAATACATCTGTTATGTACGGTCGGTTTTGGATACAGGGTTTATCCCTCGGGAAATATGTGTATATCCATCGGTCCCTGCGGTCCCTCGGGATATACACATATTTCCCTTGGGATAAAACCTGTATCCAAAACCTCCCAGTACATAACCCTTATATACTCTCTTATAGGTAGTGTAATATTGGTGATGTGTATAGAACAGAATGCACTGACAGGAAGGCTGTGTAATTTAACCCTCAGGGCACCATGGTTCACCCAATATATACTTAAGGTGAGAATCTTGGTTACCAAGTGTCAACCTAAATCCCTATACACAAATTGGCCTCTGACTAAGGTACATGAAATAAAATAAGTTCCGATATAACATTGCACCCTATATGTTCTGACAAAACCTGCTATGCCGTGATATAATTCTGTGTCTCCTCTATCATGTTCTGATATAACTCAGGTCTGTTAGCCAGGTTTTGCCAAGGGGGTTCACCTTTCAAAAAAATCCAGTGGGGGTTCACATTTGACAACTTTGGCCCCAAAATCAGAATGGTGAAAAACTGCATGATTTTGAAAGAATTTTTGTCCAAGGGAGAGGGGTTAATGCAACTATTATGTTTTCACAAAAAATCTTGCAAGTGCTAATTCAGTTGTATTACATCATGACGTTTCAGGTGCGGACTGGTCACGTCCAAGTTGACACATGTACCTTTGAAGATGGGCAAATCCTAGTGCAGGGCCCTGCCACGTGTCATATCAAACACACAACCTTCAAACACGCTTTCATCACAATGCAACAAGTCAATGTGAGCATAATAGAAAAATGTGACTTCATTAAATGTGAACCTGCGGCAGTTATTGTCGAAGGTCACCCAAAGGAAGACTCCAATTGGATATACCTTCGTCTTGCCAAGCTAGCTAGAAAGTTTGATAAACCAATTTTAGATCACGACAACTATTCCATGCATAGAAATGCTCAAAGTAATGATGGTGCTACTCCCAATAGACATGATGCTGATGATGAAGATTCAGACGGCACAGATGGTAATCACGTTGATGAACCCAACCAAAGCTCTGTTAGTTTGCAATCAAGAGCCTTGTCTCATTCAAACAGTGCCCAGAACTATGATATCCCTCCAGATGATGACTTCACTATTGACAGTAGCAGCGACGATGATGACAATGATGAGGCTGATGATAACATTCCTAACAATAATGTATTAGACTTGGACTATCTGGATAGCTTTGATACTGATTCAAGCGATATGTCAGGTAGGATATCTGCAAAGTTGAGAACACGAGGGGCAACATTTGAATAGCACAACACACACAAATGAATATCTTTGATCAAGGGATAATCATCAATATAACCAGTTTTTGGGTATATTTATTGTTTTGCTATTAAAGATGTGTTATGAAACTACTAATGTGCTGTCTTATCAAATGAAACCTGACATGATACATTTATTCACAGACTTTTCCTTAATACTTTTCCTTAATTCTTCCTTAATTTAATACAGTATTGCATTATGAACTGCATGACTTATTATAATTTCAGATACATTTGATCACACTGATAGTGACAGTGATTCCTCCTCAAATTATGAAGACGATAGATCTGTTTTACAATTGTCGAACCCAAACCGCCATAAACTTTTACACGCTACCTCTATAAACACATTCCAAAATGACATTCAGTCGTTACATCATAAGGCTGTTACTCTTAACTCAGATCTGCTTCAGGACACAGCTGTGATAAATATGCTGGAAAATATTTTGGGGTGTGTCATGAGAAATTGTCGTGTGAGTCATGGTAAAGGAGGTGTCATGGTAGCCAATCAAGCCCAAGCTGTCTTAATGGCGAATGAATTCTGTGATTTACAATATGGAGTAAGATGTATACAGAACTCAAAGGTGAGTGAATTGTAAAAGTATTAAAACTTAAACGATTGTATATATTATATGATAACATACGCTGAGTGCAAAAAATGATTTCATGTAGCTTTGTTCTAGTTTCATAAGCATCATATTAAAAAAGTATAACTCTTCACTAATATCCTTTGCCATGTTTGATCTTTTTCATATTAGACAGTTCTTTGGAAGAATAACATCCACCATTGTAAGACATCAGGGGTGTTTATGCGGCTGGCGGCTCGTGGTCTCATTGCTACTAATGACATTCACCACAATATAGAGGCAGGGATAGACATCAGGAAAAATGCTGATCCCCTTGTGCAAGTAAGTACTGTAGATTTTTTCCATTCCTCAACTCAAAAAAAATCCCCAAAGAATCCTAAAATTTCAGCTGTATTAAAGAATATTAAAGATAGTTAGAGCGTATAGTGCATTATTTCTGGGACAACCCTCGTATATATATTTTCTGTGTATATGATGAGATGTGTTAATGCTTGTCTTTGATTTGATTGGTTCAATTTGTTTTATATGCAAATGAGCAATTATATGTGTGTGTACTTGTAGCATAATGAATTGTTCAAAGAAAAACTGACAACTTCCGATTGGCCAAATTTTTTTGAAGCATTTCCTTGTGTAAAGATTATACATTAAATAAAAAACAAACACATTCAGAATTAAATTCTTTGCATGTAATTAAACATTTCTCAATAGTGATGGGCTAAACGTTTTGAAATGTGAAAGCTTTTTCCTAGCCAACATTTTGAATGTCTGGTGAATTTAGATTTTTAGATATCCTCTTCTGTATTTGCAGTGTAATCGTATCCACCATGGCAAAAGATCAGGGATAGTTGTCCTTGGAAGTGGGCGGGGCATAATTAAAGGCAATAATATATTCGAAAATAAGGAGGCGGCAATATATATTCTGTATCGTGGAAACCCAATAATCTGGTAAGACTTTGACATAATGGTTGTTTTTATTAATAATCTATAACAAATTGCAAAAACAGTCCTCAATAGTACCATGGGCTTTCAACAGACATGATAGTACAATGGAAGACATCAACTGATTATAGGATAGAACTGATCAACAACATTGTCATATGATGGCCGTACCACCTCTAACAGTCTAAAAGTCGAGGCTCTTGAAAGCCCATGATCATATTTATACCAGAAATATATTGTTACAAAAATTGAAAAACACTAAAACCTAAACAAATTCAACAGAGATGCATCAATCTCTTATCCTTGGAGTGCTTGGACGTAAAGTAAGTCAATTTCTAAATCAAACAAAAAAATCAGGAAATTTGTAATTCAGACATTCCTTATTTTTGAAAGTATTTTGTATAAGCGTTTTATATGTTTTTGTAACCAATTTTGCATTTTGTTTCCAGTGGCAATAGGATTTGGCGAGGCAAGGCAGCAGGCATAGCTATCAATGAAAATGGTAGAGGGCACATTATAGGTGAGAACATGTCTATATATACTCACATAGTATTACACATAAATTACTGAAAATATTGCTGATTTCTTCCATTAATTGTTTAGTCTTAGCTGTTTGGACCATTTCATTGAATTTGTTCTCATTGTTTGGCATTGATGTGTTATCGACATGTACATAACCACTTTACATATTTATATCATGGTTCCTGTATATGGAATGCAGGTACAGTAGGGTACAGTTTCAAATTGCCTCCTCCATTTACTTTTGCTAAAATTTAAAAGCATTGTGTTTTTTCCATGACAACTGACTGTCATGATATCTATTATGTTCAATTTGATTTCAGATAATCTGATAGGAAACAACCAGTGGGGAGGAATTGACATCAGACATGGTTCAGACCCCTTGATCACCAACAATCTGATTTGCAATGGGATTGCTGATGGTATAGTTGTTGGTGAAGGTGGCAAGGGGTCTATAAGAAACAACATTATTCATGGTGAGCCAGTTATGTAATTTTCAATTGAAAATAAGACTCCTTACAATGTCCCAAATACTATCAGCCATTAGAAGTATGCCACGGGTGTAACAAATGTTTTAAACATGTGCTGCCATAACTTTCCATTTACTGGATTTTCTCATGATGCATGCTTCCCCTTGATATACAAGTGAATCCAAAGTAAAACCCTAAGTCATGAAAAATCGTGAATTGAATTGAATATCCATCCCTGACAAATCAAACAGCATTAATTTCATTTTTCAAAATAATGCTCATGGGTGGTTATTACGAGGGAAACATATCAGGAATAAGGCTTTATAGTTAGCTTAACCTCCAAGAAAAATCTGGTGCTAAGGTTATAACATTGTATGATAAGTACAATTGGTTGTTTCAGCAAATGCAGGATGTGGGATTTGGGTGATGTCTGGGTTGCAACCCTGTATCCATGGAAACCAGATAAGCAGTAATGGAGACTCGGGTATCGCCTTCGTCAACACTAGGGTGGGTGAATCATGCTTTTCCGCTTTTTGAGTAATTATTCAAATGCTATAATTTGAGTGTAACTTAATCAGCCATTTTGAACTACCCTTTATCACACTTTATCAAAATATTAAGTGATGGTCATCTTGAGCCGATGGGCATGTACCTGTGCTGCATCTTTGTGAATCAAAATTCCATTCTTCAGTAAAATGTATACATGCGACATCAGTATTAGTCTCCAAATCATTATTATAACAAGCATTACAAATTGCATTTTGGATCTTTTTAAAGGATTTGCATCACGGGGCATCCCGCACAAATGACATAGACGGTCAGAGTGCTCAAAGCGCAGAGTTACAGCTATTCAGTGAGACCACTGCTGAAGATGATGATGGCAGAGCATCATTTGGGGAGGCTACCGTAGAATACAACAGCATCTACCACAACTCTGGTTAGCGACAACATCATTCACTCCCATCCCCTCATCTAACCTTTAACTTTAAATTTCAGTTTTTTAGTAAATTTAGGAATCAAACTTATTATTATATTTAATGTCCATACTAGCATCATTCACAAACAGTTTATTCAAAAAAATTATTATATAGAGTTTTGAGATTATATATAGCTTTGCATATGTTTTATTCCAGCAAGTGGAGTGTTTCTTCAAAGTAAGGAATCAATCCACATTATGGCGAATGTCATCCATGGAAATCGGGAGATAGGCATACAAGTCCACCAGGTGGCGCCAGTGTTGCTAATAAATAACAGTGTGACGTGTAATGCTGGATCTGGGATTGAAGTAGCTGAATTTGCTTCAGTAAGTTATTATTAGGACCTAATGTAGAGAGCCATATGATAGAAAAAATATATGTATATACACTGTATAATGTAACCTACACAATCAATAGATTTGAATTGTTTGTAATGTATCATTATGAATAGAAAATGTATATTAGCCTTTAGGGATAGGTTAAACAGCTTTTGACTCTTTAATAGTATCTTTATATAATAGAGTAGCTTGAAATTGAGCAAAAGAAAATTCATGCATTGTTTTCTAAATCTGGTACATACATCAAAGAATGTCATCGCTCAATTGCTCATCTTCATTTTTCTCCGGGGTCAACTTTAATGCGCTTCTTTCCCTCATGCTGAAATAGATATCAAGTCATTGAAGCAAATGATATCACTTAAAATCATGTGTAGTGACAACACATGTACAGTAAAACCTGCACACACAGTGAACACCTATGGAGCCACTAAAATGTGTTCACTGTAGGTAGGTGTTCACAACAGAGAGGGTAATTTATACAGTGGAGTATATGCAGAGGAAGGGTGTTCACTAGAGACAGGTGTTCACCAGAGAGAGTTGTTCACTAAGACATAATGATAAAATATTGATTTCACTGTTTTTACTATTCAGTATTCAGTAACTTTTTCACTAGGTGGATATCCATGGCAATGGTATCTATGACAACAGAGATGAAGGGATTCTGCTGCAAAGTGAAGGAGAAATCTGGGAAAATGACATAATAGGAAACCAAAGGGCTGGGATCCTTGTTCATAATGCAAAAGACGTCAAAGTAAGTCTGGACATTAGCTATACAGTAAAACCTGTTTACACCTGTTTCTTTTGGAAACTGTTCAATAAAGAGGGGTGTTTTATCAGGTTTTATTTTGTCACTACCATGTTCATAGAGCTTATTCAAGGGAAGGGGCTCTGTATGGGTTTTATTTAGATGATTTCAATCATGACTGGTGTATGATATTTTTTTTGTCTATAATATCAGATTAAGTTTGAGCCAAAAAAAGTTGAAGATCTGCAACTAGTCTTTGACAAAATATCAGGAATATATATTGGGTAGATTTTGGATGTACAAGTACACAAAAACTATTTTATCAAACTGCCTTAAGTATGGCAAAAAGTTTACAAAATCTGTTTTATCGTACCATTGTCAGCTTGTTATACTTTTCATTAAAAGCATGTCATTTGTGGCGTCTACATAAAAGTTTCAAAGCTGTTTTCAAATTCTGCCTATCCAAAACATCCCAGTGATCTTATCTATGTTGATGATTCATTCAAAAGTTGAAGATGTGTGATTTGTCCAAAGAAAATAGATGTATAGGGAATCCATGAAGTATTTATTTGATCCAATATTATACGTGTATTACTCAACAACCTGTTTTTGTATTTTCTAGATATCCAATAACCGCATACATTCCAGTGATGATCCATGCATCAATCTAACAGGGTTCACACAACCCGTGATAGAAAATAATATATTATATAAGGGACGCTCTGAACCCATTGCGCAGACTTCGGAAGCTGGAGGCCAGCTCTCGCAAAATTCCATCCTTCCTATACCTGTACCAGACAAAGGGTTAGTGAAGCATTTAGTTCATTTTACAGATTCAATATCTCGTATGGACTTATTTTTTTTGTTCCATTTGTGATTCCATCCTTTAAGCTTTAAATGTATTTGTAAATAAAGACATAATAACTAGAGGTTTAAGATTGCAAGCAATCTTACGGAGGCCCCGTAGGCTTTTTTGAACCCCCCTGCAGGGGGGCCTCCTAATAATAAATAAAGACTGAAGGGTTGTCTTAAAATTGAATAATTCCACATGTAACCATGATGGTGTACTACCCATGTTTTAGAAAGAATAAAGAAACCTTTAATACTTAATAAAAGAATAAAATGTCAAATGAATGGGCGGTTCACCATATACAAGATGATGCCTTGATATAACTAAAAGGTACTGTATTCATATGAATGTAAATTATGAATTGTATTTGAATGCATATACCATGATTGCCTCAACACTTCCAGGTTAAATGCTGACAAAACTAGTTCGATTCCTGGAACTCCAAACTGGAAGCTTGAAAATCCAGCCCCCCGTCCCCACATCAAGGCACCTCCAGCACTCTCTATTGCCCCTGCCCACAGGGTTACTACGGTAACCAAGGTGAAGAATCCTGCTGGAGGAACCTGTCAACATGAAGGCAGTAAAACATGCATCATTTTGTGAAACTTCACACGTTCTGATTTGTTATTATTTAAATGCTTACTTAGATCTGACACTTTGTTTAAATCTAGAGTGCAAAGGCTGACATACTGTACATAAACAGTACAGTTTTGAGATAAGTTTTGTATTTTATAGAATTTTAAAAAGGGTGTTAGAAAAATGCTATCTTATGCTTTCATAAAAAATTGCTTATTTGTTCAATTTGTTAGAATTTTAAAAGGGCAGACTAGTGCCAAGATCTGCACGGCGACCATTTTGCTCTTCAAAGTGTGATATTTACCGCTCCCTGTCTTGTTGCATATTATATTTAAGATGATTTAAGTTGATTAGATGTTAGTATACATGTCATGATATAGGGAGAAAATCAATAAACTCAAGGCCTGTGTTACACTTGCTAACTGTATATTGAATGCTTTTACTACTGCACTATGCTAGAATATTTTCTCTCCCTATATCTTGACACTGTTAGATGTTACACTCTGAAGAAAAACTTTTTTTCGATTTATGTTCTGTACACAGAGTTGTTAAAAGAATAATTTCATATATTAAAAAATACAAAAATCATGTACATGTAACACTCAAATCATCGTGAATCTGGCTGGATGTAATTTGTACTCGGTTCAAGCATTAACTGTTGCAAAACAGAAGCCAATAAATTGTATAACATTCCTATTGATAGTGAGATTTAGAATGAAAGGAAGAAGTTTCTTATTGAAAGATTAACATTAAATAATTCGAGGATTTAAAAAAATCCAGTTTTTGGTAAACAAATCAAATAAAACATGGATCTTAATTTTTGTTACACATGCCATTATGTTGACATCTTGAACTGTTGGGCATGTGTGTGTTTGGGCTGCGTGTGTTTCGGCATGCATCTTGCTCTTCCAAGTTCGATATTAGTCACTGTATTTTGTTGAAATGAATCAATGTACATCTAAAACATGCAAGCGTTAATTTAAAAAATACATGTTATACCAATATTTATTTTTGTTACTATTATAAATTGTCACATGGCTTGTCAGAAGTAGCTGCACAGTTTTAGTGTAGCTTTAATTTTTGCTAATTATTATAGATATTGATTTGATAAGAGCGTTTTTGTCAACGCTTATCGATTATTCTGTTAATTGCTATATTATTACAGTAAAATGAAATGTGCATCTGTTTTGTTAAGTGAATATACAAGCACAAGTACCAAAAGGAGAAGACTGAAAAATTAAAGAGTTTGAAAAAGAAACATTCAAGAGTTACACTACACTCCAAACATTCTGTTACAAAGACATGGTGAAACAATATCTTAAGCCCCTTCCCTCCATCATTTAGTAACAATGATCACCAGACTATGGGACATTTCATTCATACATGTACTAATGTCCGCCTTCTGGTCATCTCAACCCCGAGTCATCTCAACCCAGTCCAACTCAACTCAACCCCAAGTCAAGTCGACCCCTGTAAAACTCAACCCCAAGTCAACTCAACCCCAGTAAAACTCAACCCCCATATTTCTATATATTGATGAACTTATAAGAAAGTTTATTTCATTAAAATAATTCTGCCGATCTTGGCATAAGCGAGCCAAAAAAATATATGTTTTGACAAAAAATGATCCAACTTCCTTCAAAATTGGGGGAGGGTGTGTGCGCACCCCTCCTGGCTATGCCTATATGCTTCCGGTCTATTAATTAGTAAATGTTAATGTTTTTGTTAAAGCATGTTCATATAAATAAAAAGTTATATTACATTTGTTGATTATTTCTAAATTATCTAAAAATTGATTTCAAAAGATGTCTTAAATTAATTAATAGTTAATTAATCGTTTTCTTTCGGAATACTTTTACAACTTTCTATTCAAAGGATCATGCAAAATGCTAGATTTTCAGAAATCAATGACTTAAATTATTCATCATAAAAAATTGCACAAATGAATAGGGTTGAGTTTTACTGGGGTTGAGTTTTACAGGGTTGAGTTGACTTTGGGTTGAGTTTTACTGGGGTTGACTTGACTTGGGGTTGAGTTGGACTGGGTTGAGATGACTTGGGGTTGAGATGACCTGTCACCTAATGTCCTTGTAAAACATGATGTTTAACAACAAATTCAAAACAGATGTTCTTCTAGTAGAAGTTCATGTACGAGGGGGGATTCATAAGTAGTGGGACAAATGCTATAACTTCACTTATATCAACCAGATTTTATTCAGACTTGTAACACAGAACCACAAACATGTGATAATCATTGTGTGAAAATTTCAAAAAGTTACACCCAACTTCAGTAAAGTGAGAGTTCCAATCATGACGTCACAACAGGGCCCACGGAGCACATTGTTTGTCACTAATTGCTAGTTAAATATACAAGTCTCAACTGATATTCAGGACGTGATCTAATCCGTGACTTCTAGCTAGTCCTTTTGTTGAGCACATCAATTCTGTGCAAGACTATTGATTCCTTATCCTTCTGGTGCAATCTCACTCTTTCTCAAAGTATTCGCCATGACAATCAATGCATTTTTGGCATCTCCTCAACCATTATAGGTATGCACCCTCAAAACCATATTTTCCAAGATTGGTCATCTCGGCTCTCACAGCATATTCAGAATACATATACAGAATACCACCTATATACTGTAGATTCTTTTACTTCTTCTTTCCCATAGACTTCCAACAAGCCTCTACAGGTCTCTAATACTGAAAACTTCTTCAAAGCATAAAATTTAATCACAGCACGGATGTTTATACATGATTCTTGCTTTTTCATTGCTGTTTTAATCAAATTTTGCTCCATCCAAGAAGGACTGAAAATGGCAGTGTCCTGGTGTCACTGCTTTGTGTGACATCACAATAGCATGATGAAGTAATATATGTTACAGTTGTCATGACTACAAGGCCTGAGACAATATGAAACCAAATATTTGAAAATAACTGTCATTTTGAGATATTTATGAGCATATTTATGTTGAACAAGCCCTTCATTTTTTAACTGCTCCGTTAACCCCTACTTTTGGTTACCATAGCAACCATCGTTGCTAGGGAACAAAATGAATTAAATTGAAATTTCACCAAACAATGCCTTATATCCTAGTCCGTTCATGTGCCAAATTTGGTTGAGATATGTACACAGGGACTTGCTGCCTCAGAAAAGTCCCACTACTTATGAATCCCCCCTCGTATGTATTAGATATGATGAGACGAAGAAGTAGATGTTCATGGCTTAGCACGAGCAAATAGTTTATCATATTAATTAAGCAATTGATTAGCTTTCTACATATTTTTCACAAAATATTGCCAACAAACAATGGTCCAAAATATTTTATTCATTCAGATTGCATGTTTTAAGATTTTCATTTAGTAGCAAGTAATTGTAATCCATGCATCTATTGATATTGTACAGTATTATTTTAATTTAGTGCCATTATAGTTTTTGTAAAATTGAGAATGTTCTATGTGCGGTATGTTATACTCAGTACAAGTACACTTATACTCAGTACAAGTATATGTTAGTCTAAGTGATTTGTATAGCCATTCCATATATGCATTTATCCCATACCTTCTGAGGCTCTATAGATACATAAATTGAGGAAATATAAAGTGGTCTTTGGAGGTGGATATATTGCATCTTGCTATATATCGCAAAGGATAACAAGGACATACAGCTGTATCCATTGGTTTTTCTTAAAATTAATTTTTATCAACTTTCGTAAAAATAGAGAAAATCTTACAGGGTAAAATGTAACTAAAACTTCAGTAGGTATGGGATACATCTGTTTAATTCAGTCACTTTTGGATAAAGGGTTTATCCCTTTGGAAATAAATGTACCTACTGAATCCTTATATACATATTTCCCAGGGGATAAACTCTGTACTGTAATAAAAGTATACCACAATGTTGCATTGTTTAAGTAGAATTAAACAACCATATAACTGCTTCATATTTTGGAAACATCAGACATTCCCTTATTCAACAGAAGTTATGTTTACAAATATTATGTTATTCATTTTTTATTGTTTAAAAGATATTTTCATTTTAAAATATATATTTATTCAATAATTCTAAAGAAGTGTTTGTTTCTCTTAAAATAATAAAGGAAATTGTACAAAGATATGACATAGTATTATGGAGATTTGAATATGTCCGGACTAATGCATTTCATTACTTGTGTTTTTGTCTTTGGACCCCTCTCACTGTATATCTTCAACTGTGGATATGAGATATGAGGTATTTATTAGGATTTAGGGGGGGGTTGCAAAACTGAATCTCATCATCCCTGATGCATCTTTGATATAAATGCACAGATGTTCTATGTTGATACACAAGAGGATGAGGGTTACAATAATGTCAAGGAATGTCTTGGAGACTATTTTTAAGTTTAACTACCTCATGAGAGTGACTTACCAATAAAGTAATATTCAGATACCACCCCACCCAGTACCTCACAAAAAGGGTAATTTGTTTCATTGAGGCAAGATCATAATTAAAGAGAGAATCAGATATAGCGAGCAAGCTAAACAAAAAATTGTTTCAATTTTAGAATATTTTTGGCTCATGTCATTCCTTGTCATGTCTATTTTCTAAAAATCACAAAAGTGCATACTTTATTCCAGGAAAACTAAAGATTTTTACAATAATGTATTATTTTTCTACTATTTTTCTACCATTCTTATTATTTGGGAGAATTTAAACATTTTTCACTCATTTTTGCACTTTGAATCATTAATAACTTCACCAATTTATAACATATCATGAATCTTTTGGGAGATATTGTATTTGAGATTGTAAGGAATAGATTGGTAGGTCAATTATACATGTTGCTTGTAATTGTGTCACCCCCTATGGATCAGATTCTGCCTTTAATGTTGGTGGCATATTTATTTGTCTATATCTATGTATGAGCTTTTCTCTTGAAATAATAACACTGTAAAACAATTGCAGATATTCCAGCAAAAATATATTCTGATAGAAAAGGCAATGATTGGCAATTCAGTAGCCAGTACAGAGTTTTTGAAATAGAGTTCCAGATGTGGTTCAAAGTTGTTCATATTTGTAGAATTCACAGTCTCAAGCACACTATTTGTACATTTCACTAAAGAATTCAACTAGAAAGTCATTGACTATTCCATTGTCAGGAATATTTCCAACCATTCCATACATAGCGGCACTTCCTTTCTTCGACAGAGCTTTGTTTGACTGGAAAGCAAAATAAATATTTAAGGATTCAACTATCCCAGTTTTTTAGAAAGTTCTAATATTAATACTAATTGGTCAGTTGGAGGTGAAGAATTTGTTCAGTATACTGAATAATTCAACTCTAATGCAACCATTCTGATTGACCAAGGCCCCAGCTAGCCAGATTCTTTCTTATTGCTATTGACAGTGGTATCTAGAACCAGAATGCATCAGTTGTTTAGACCCAGTGGACAGCAATTCTGCATGACCTGACTGGTGGTTAGCCTCTTTAAGAAAAAAAAGGAACAAGTCTACTTACCTTGACAGCTTTGGCACTTTCCCTCATAGCTTCTAACAACTCGTCCACGACATTTACATGATGGGGCATAATGGTGCAATGGAGAGAACTTGGTTTTTGTTGTCGTTCAACTTTCCAACCTAAAATGTACCATCATTTTATATCCATCTTAGCTTGCAGAACAGAAAGAGTTTCAGAATTGGATAAAATCATATAAAGATGATTTCTAATTAAGATATGTTTTTAGGTAGTAGTTGACAGAGGAATGACATTTATGTGAGAAAGATGGAAAAAACATTAACCAAGAAATTACTTTTAATGTCTCTTATTTACCCTTTTCTTCCATATTGTCAGCCAAAGCCAGGATATCAATTTCCGAGTCAGTTGAACCAATCGAAAATGCTGTCATGTGGGGGTCACCTAAAATTTGTAACCCCTAGAGAGAGAAAAATCTGTGTATAATAAAAAGTACATATACTGTTCAATGTTAGCAGTCTTTCAGTGTAAAATAATAAATAATACAGTGATCTACCCAGCATTAAAGCAAGTGAGCGCAGCACCCACCTGAGATTTTGAAAATAGGCTTGCATCCACCTGAAAATCCATTTGCACCCACTTAAAAATGAGAAAAATCATGAAAAATTGGCATATTTTGACCAATTTTGGTCTGAATTGTGAAAATGATAATTTTGCACCCACCTGAGAAAAAATCCCGGGGAGATCAATGTAATATTTTACTCTTTCTGTTTATTACAAGATTAATGATAATAACATGTGTAGAACATGTAGAATTTGTCTTGGTGGGAGGTCCCTATATTCCTTCACTGGAAATTCTTGAATGATGTCAACCCATGTGTTCACATTTCAAGGTTTCTTATTATGTGAATCAATGGGAAACAATAAAGTTGGGACCAAGAAAAATAGCAAACATTTCGAGATGTTCAGGAGAAGGGTTTTACTGCATATACCTCAATTTTATTAATTCCTTCTTTTAATCGGACTGTTGTATCCATGAGCTGTTTTGCCATATTCATGTAGCCCTCAACTCCCATTCCCTTCAGAGCGGCCCATGCTGCAGCAATATTACCACCTGAAACAATATGGATTCACTTTACATTACTTATTTGTCTACAATCCTTTAATTAAAAATATTTCTTTGATTCTTCTTACATCAGAATATGTTGTCAAAAATCATGATACATTTGACTTTTACTTCACATTGAATTCCTTAAAAATATTCAATGTACATGTAGGTTAGGAGGGACTGATACATTTTGTTTGGCACTTTCATATGTAGTCTAAAATTATTATCACATAATATAGAAGTAATAATAAGGAAGTTATATGTAAAAGAACATGAAAATAGAAATCATGCCATAATACAATGAAAAATTCATAATGAGTATAGGGGACCACTGATGTAAATGCCTTTCTGATGTTCTGCAAATTTTCACAAAACTACTTTAAAATGCATGTTAGACTATGCAGTACCTGGTCTTGTACCAGCCATAGAAGGTGAACCAAACAGACCACCAGGCCAATCAGCATATGCAAATATCTGGAACTTGCGGATTTCAGCATTTCTGTATAGCACTACACTAGCTCCCTAAATTATTTCAAAACACTAATTAATTATAATCAGAGTATTTTAGCATGTCATATGAGAAAGTATAATCCCTTTAATAAAAATCTTACATAAGAAAACAGAAATGCTTCAGGATTACTAACAAATATTTCATTTTGGCCTTTAATAGTTGACCTTATTCCATAATTACCTTAGCACCAAACCCATACTTATGTATATCAGCAGACATTGATGTGACACCAGGAAGTCGAAAATCAAACACTGGAACTGTGTAGCCGAGTTTTTCCACCCTAAATAATAAATATGGTTTTTATAGTCATCGTACAGTACTTTAGTTAATGTACAAGTTGGTGGAGAATAATCATCTATGTCAAAATATATTTCTAATATTCTTTTAATGGTGATAAAACCTTATAATTAAAATACTTCATGGTAGAAAGGGGTTTGTTTTTTTAATTTGGCTAAATAACTCAATAACTCACCATGGAAGCATGAATCCACCAAAGCATGCATCTACATGCAGTGGAAGACCTTTATCTACTGCTAAATCTGAAAGTTCTGATACTGGATCAACTACCCCGTGTGGATACTGGGGAGCTGAGCATAATATTGCTATAGTGTTCCTAGTGATGGCCTGAAAATTATACAAATGCATTTATATGTGATAGGCTGAAAATGAGAGAAATGTATTTATGATTTCAGTGATCGCCATGAACTACCATGGAAGGCAAAACCTATATTTCAAGGTCAATAAGGTATCAATTTTAAATTACCAAAGAATGTCAAGGTAACAATGTGAAATATTTACCCTCCTAATGAGTCCAGGCACTGCCTTATAGTCCTTCCCAAGAGCAGTGTGCACAATCTTAACACCAAAGTAATGGCCAGCCTTCTCAAATGCAGGGTGGATGGTAATGGGAGCCACCTTTAGAATAATAATACCAATATCAGCAAGTGTTACGGTACAGTACACAGTAAAGTACAGTACATATTTAACCAAATGCACCAGTTTAATACATGTACATTATTTCCAGTCTAAATATCAAGTTATACATTCTCTAAATAGATTATGTATAACAGACCATGTTTTCTAACTGCTGTTCCCCTAAATGTATGTAACATCATCTACCATTTCTGGTTCCTTTATCTGTGGAAACAGTTTCTTTGCTCTGTCCCTGTATGTTTTCACAGCCATCAAGATGCTCTCTGTTCCGCCACTTGTCAACGATCCCACCACCTCGTCATCTCCATTCAACATTCCAGCTGACATGCTAATTGCCTCTGTTTCCATACGCCTGGTGGAATAATTGAGATTAGAACATTCAAAATCAACATAGTCCATATGAGTACATGCCACATCATTTATCTATTTGTTTACTCTGGCTCTGTTCTGTTCAATAAATTTTAAATTGTTCACAAGATTGTTGTAAAAGTGAATATTGCTTTAGCATGGTGAACTTGGGGGACAATATTTTCATTCACATTCAGAGCAGTTAAGATATTTCCAAATAATGAAAATTGCATGACATCCTTATCAGTCACATATTAAAATAACATGTGCTAATTAAGAATCCATTTTAATTTGTAATCATATGGAACTACCTTAAATAAAATAAATACTAGTAATCATTTTGACAGTGGGTTAAAATAAATAGCAAATGTATATTTTTTTTACTATTATCTATAATTGTAAAGTGTAACCTGAGACTTGGGAAGACCATTGGGTTGAGTGCATTCTCATGCATGAAGGCGTGGTGGAAAGCTGTCACCAAGGCATCATGGTCCCCTGAATAACCAGTCTTCTCTAGAAAATAGTATAATTATATTCAATTGATTTTTAGATGGGATCTGAATTTTCAAGGGGGTTTAATTTTTCATCGGAGCTCAAAAGACAATGCCAATTTGGCAAAGTATGCCTAGGTATTTTGATTTTAAAAATGCCAATTGTGACTAAAATTATGCCAACTTCAAACCTCAAAGATTCTCAATAAAGCTATTTATCAAGTAACATCAAACTTTTTATAAAGCTTGAAGCAATGCTAAAATGTATATACATGTAGATAAAATTTCAGTTTCATCCCAAGTGAGCATACAAAAAACATACCACAAAATAGAGAAAATGCTTTCTGTTGTATCTTGAAGTTCTCACTGCCAGCAGTGTAGACGTATGCAAATATTTTTCCATCTTCTGGATCAATTTCTCCCTGCTTTAGCACCTCCATTTCTTTGTAAAGCTCATCATGTGGTACACCTGAAAAAAGCAACAATTTACCCTTATATTATATTTGTACATGTATAATTTTATCAGTTATATCAAGTTAATAGAGAGTTTAAGCTTGCATAAAAAATTGAAATGCCAACCTATACGTATGACCAATTGCCCTTCAAATGCATCACTATATATTTTCAATTCGCGTTTAGGTTGTGAAAAACATTGCAAGCTTAAACTCCCTATTATTCAAAATCAACATGTATCACCAAAAAAGGAGGGGCACACACCCTTTCCATAAATATCACTCAATACTTAAATCCTTAAAAACATTCTTTTGGATAATATTGAATTTACCTTTGGCTGGGATTGTCACTCTTGGCCCTGTGGATTGTTTCTTGCCTTGTTTGGTTTCAATTTGTTTGACAAATCCCCTCACTTCACTTCTAAGGACCAGATGAATAAGCCAGTTTACACCTGGAATATGCACACGTTTGTGAGCATTGTGTGTGAGAAATTGTCATGCATAGCATTATTATCTCTTTTATATCACTGTATTTTGAGTATGTCTAAACATGGGCATATAGAAACATATTTTAAACATTCTTTTCTAAATTCTAAAAAGTTGTCCAATGGAAGTAAAATATGTTGGAATATCTTGCTTAAGTTTTGCCTCAATTATTTAAATTTCAATCATCTATGAGTACCTCCAGACCCATGGTATTAGCCACACATACTCACCTGGCACTGCCTTGAGGGTGACCACAATGGTACGCAGCACACCTTCAGTCCCTTCATTGATTCCAATCTTCACTAGGACAGCAACCACTACTGTGAAGACAATGTGCTCCAACCAGCAAATCATTATGTTACACAAGTCAATGGGTGACCCCTAGAACTAGAAAATTCAATTCACTTTCAGTTAACACTGATTATTTAACTTATTAAACCTCCAGAATTCAATTAAGTTGATATCATACGTGAACCCATCATTCAAAATTATGTTGATCAATTCAATTCAGTATTTGAAAATAATTGGAGAAAGTAAGTTTTTTCCAGGTTAAGTTTCCAAGTACCTCTTATAAAATGGAAATGATAAACTTTTCAGTTTTAATAAAATTGATTTGATTTCTTAATGCAGGCCTATACTGAATATAAGAATTTTTAAGATGTATAACAGCTCAGTACAAATAAAACAAGACATTAGCGTGCAAAATGTCACCACCTGCCATTTGTTACAGATGTCAAACACCAACTGCTAAACACCATCCACAAAAAAGATGTAGATAACGAATCTCAACACTTCTTGTGTAAAGACTTTATTGACACCCTGTATATCAACATAATATCAATTTTCTCTTCCTTATTCCTTACTACATGAAACAATCATAAAAGTTACATTGCAATCATTTACCTGTATGTTATGTCTGGATTTGCATTTAAGATTCTCCAGTTAAGATTATCTGAATACTGAATGTAGGCCTATTACAAAGTTCACATTTCATAAATAAGCTTCCATAAATCAAGAAACATGAACTTTGGACAAAATATTTAATAGCTGTAAGACTGTAATCAATAAACCACCAAGGTGGCCTTGAACTGTGTTTACACTACGGGATGTTATCAGTGCAGGTTAACAATGGCCCAGAGGTGTCAAAAGAAATGTTAAGGTATCATATAGATGGCAGTCATCGAGTTGTTTGCTAGGACTTTCTCATTGGGTTCAGTGGGTTGTGTGTGAAATTGCTCATTTCAAACTTTCACTATTTTCAGGGTGTCCATAAAATTTCTTTACAATTACAATACAAAGTCTGTATAAAGACTTTATGGACACCCTATATATCAAAATAATCAATATTCTCTTCCTTATTCTTTACCTCATAGATTTAATGGCACACGATTTTAGGTACAGTGTATTAAAATAAATCAGATTCTTGAAGCAGTTTTATGTTTATGCATAAAATTCAATTCGCTTAGCCATCTTTTGACAGTCCTTACATACATCTTGCATGGTCAGTCATCACTAGGTTCAGTCCAATGAGAGCCAAGTGAATGAAGATGATAAACCGGCAATGGGGATACACTGGATATCTATCACACATGGCAATGTATCATCATTACCTATGGATTTGACAAAATAAATGGTATGAAAAACAGGTTAAAATAATAACTTTGAGCTCATTTCTTTTATTTCAAACATTTTCAAATCTAAACATATACAATACTTGCATATCAACAGATGTGATAATCATGATTCAAAATAAATTACTTTTTCCTCATATGTATACCAATTATGTTTATATATCATTGGATCTTGTTAAACTCTTGATATACTTGTGGAATGGAAAGCCAGGTTAATGTTGTTTTATGTTGACAGGTTTCCTGACTTTGAGACATAAATTTTTTTTTTACATTATCAACATTAATAGGAATGTATAATTTTGTATAAACTAAAATAAGCCAAATATATTTGTAGGTAGTCTTGTACCATGCCATCCCTCAACCTGTCATAAACTTGATACAAGACTACTCAACAAGGCTACATACTAGATACTAGCTAGGATTGTGCATATAAACACCACAGAAAAAGCTCGGTAATACATAAAGCCCCGTGACAGAGCCATGATATCACCGAGCAAGCTCTGTTGAAAGCCCATGCCTCTGTGTGATCTGAGACTAACATAAAAGTGATAGAGTAAAATAATAGTATAAAGTACAAGCAGTTGTTTCAATTTTGATACCCATAATGTCCAGTATTGAAAACAAAAATCTGTTTAAGAAGCTAAGTCGAACAAATGCACAGGGCAAGCCTTGGTGGCATATGTTTCAATCAAAAAGCTTAAAAGAGAGCTTCATCTACAAACTCTGTACTCAGGGTTTATGATAGCATATCTCTTTACAAGGTTAGATAACAAATTAGATACAACTGCACTGTTCATATACAGTATTATATGTGAGATAGAGCAAATACCAGCATTGTATTTATAATTTTCTATATCATATACAATACTATGTACAATACAATATAATGCTTTTCAAAATGCTTAAATCCTCCATATAATATTACATAATAGAGAAAGGAATAAACAAGGCATTAACATGCAAAATGTCACCACCTGCCATTTGTTAAAGACACCACCCCATACACCAACCGCCGAACAATGTCCACAAAAAATTGGAGACTAACAATATGTCAACACTTCTGGTGATGACATAAAGAAAACTAAAATGAAACTAAAATGAGATTTTTATTTCTAATGTAAAAATATTCATATTACAATTAGTACATGTATACAGTCACATTTTAATAGCTGCCTGTGCTTATATTGTTAATATGGAATGCCACTATATATAGTGAGATGAGATTTCATACACTGGTCATAAAACAATAAACAATGATGATTTTTCCTCTATTTCTTCAACTGAAGATGCTTACTATCAAACTACATGTAGCACTACAATATCTTGAGGGATCTGCATGTACTGTCAATATTATTTCATACATATAGCTTCCTCAAAATCTAATTTATTTTCCTAAATGAGATTACAAAAATCATTTCTCGACAGAAAGCAAACAATGTGTTTCTTTGAACAATACATGTATAACATGTTTCTTTGTAAACAATGTTTCTTTCAACAACATAATATGTTTCTTTGAAAAATAATGCAAAAATGTGTTTCTTTCAACAATAATATGTTTCTCTGAACGATAAATGTGTTCAATAAAGCATAGCAATGAACATATTGTGTTTAAAACAAATATCATATCAGTTCCTCAAAATGCAAATGGGAATGATAGTTTTACATGTCATTGTTTTATATTCATTTGTAAGTAGTATAGACACAGTATTCACTTGAGATCAAATCTCTGTATTTGAGTTATATGAAGTAGTTATTCACTTGAAGCGATTTAATATGGGGAATATCACAAGGTAATATCATTCATTCATATTCCTCATATCATTCCGGCAGGTAAATAACGACTTTATACCATGGTTAAGAGCAATATCTACCTGAAATATCCTCTACTGGTTGAGAAACTAATAAATAAATTCATGATGTCGTAGACGTAATGATATATGCATATCAATCCTGATCCCAAATAGATTAATTTATCACTGTGATTCATACAGCTGATGTTGCTCTGACCATGAAATAAAGCGTAAATTTATCAGTTTTTGAACTGCAAATACTCAATAAATAGTGAAAAGGCCAAAATGAATATGCATAAGTAAGGAGAATAGACAGTTACAGTTATTGTGATATAGCTTTAACTTTGGTCAAATTGGAGAAAAGAAAATGCTAAATGCAGTGCTCTATCGGAAAACAATCACTTTTCCTGCAAGAATATCATACTTCATACACAACGTATATCGGAATGGACAATAAATAAAATTGATAATATACCTTGGAAAACCAAGTGACAAAATAGGACAACACTTCCAAATGCCTAAAAACAGTATTTTTGGAATGGTGAAAAACTGTTTGACATATAGTATATCAGAATTTCAGTGTAAACAGTAAAACCTGCAAAAGCGGCAAATGAACATACTAAATATCTAGAGATTTTTGAACATACTTAATGTCTAGAGATCTTTGAAGATTCATCAACCCAAGGGGCACTAGGCTAAATACAATATTACAGTATTTCAGGTTTCAAGTTCAAATAAGAGATTCAAATGAGAGATGCCAACTTTCTCATTATTTTAAGATTAATTCCTAGTCTAGCTACAGGCCTTTGTGACATCACCCCATGACATTCAACCACCAACTGGTGTTGAAATAGATAGATAGGTTTGGGGGAGGCTTGAAGCAAGACTAATTATTTGCTAGAGAAACGTAAAATAAGTTATTACTTATGAGAGGTGCAATGTACAGTAGTACAATAAATCCTACAGTGGAACACCTTTTGTACCTCTACAAAGTGTTCCACTGGGAGGTGTTCCACTTTTAAAAATTCATTTAACATTAAGTCAGTTTCTCTTGGGACTTGAAGTGTTCCACTAACAGATGTGTTTAACATCTAAAGGTGTTCCACCTTACAGGTGTTATAATGTACTCGTACAAAGGTTCAAATGAACAGTTATCAAATAAGACTCAAAAGAGCATGACAAATCTTTTTATCCAATTTTTTCACAGTTCTTCATCTATTTCTAATCCCAGCCTTGTTTGTAGCTGTACTGTTTGGAGATGTAGCTGCCTTGTTTAGAGGGTAAAGATGCACTGTTTGTAGCTGTAGCTGCCTTGTTTGGAGATATAGCTGCACTGTTTGTAGTTGTAGCTGCCTTGTAAAGTGAGAGAATTCACTCCACAAGATGGAATGATTATGTGGAATGTCATAAAAATTGCAAAATAACAACAGTGAGGTGCAGAGAATGAAATTTCCATGACAACTTGGGTTGTTGTTTTCAGGCCTGTTGTGTATTGGAACAATATGTTCTAGCAAATTCTATATAAAAGTAAAGAAGAAATTTTGACACACAAAAGCATTCTGGTCTTTCCATTTCTGCACCGCACACGATGATTAAAAATGGCATTTCATTATGGATACTTTTATCCATCAAAAATGGGGCAGTTTTATAAACTCTCATTTCAGCCATGTCTCTATTTAACTCCATATTTTGGTTTCAAGTAGTTGAACATGATTTCGCAAAGATGAGACAGATTGTATCGGTGTTCCCAGTTCCAGTCCCTTCTTGCACCAGAATCATCAAAAACCTGTGGCCAGGCCTCGGCTGTAAAACAAGAAACATAATACTTCATTATAGTAGTAGTTAACTTTTATGTTTAGAAAATAGTAACTAAGTATTTAAGTGGGATTATACAGACGACTGCTCCATAACAGTTGAAGTTAACAGACTGACGAAATAAACATGCAACTAAAAGCAAGTGATAAGTAATAACAATAGAGAGTTAACCTACACATATTTAACAAAACTTGAACGTGAACTTCAATGTGCGTGCAGATAAATGATGTCAGATTTGTTTACATTCTGTGGGCCAGTGTGAAGTTTACAGGTTTTTACATCGAGATTATCATATTGGTGCAATTCACTGACGCATATTCAACAAAGCATGAACGTGAACTTCAATGCTTGCGCAGAAAAATGAGTCTTGAGAGCTAACAATTACACCAGAGCCATGACCTTCAATACTTGTCACCACATAAATATAGCTCTACGTCAACGGACATGGTTTCAGAGGTGTAGCTTAAAGATATGCTATTGAGACTTCTCCGTGGCATTTTTTCTTTATTCCTTTTTGTTTTGAATTTTTTAAACGATAACATTAACTAACTACTCAATATGCAACTTTTCACCACGTAGAATTTTAAAATATTAAGTTTGAAAATTCCATATTTATAATGGAGCTCAATGGGAAAACAACATTATTTGAATTATTTTCAAACGTAGCAGTGCGATTTTCTTGAAATTGAGAGATATAATAAATATTGGTGAAACGAAATGTTTGAAGAAAAATGAAGAAAATTTACCGTCCTGCTAACGCAAAATATAGAAAAATGTGAAATAATCATAAAAACCTGTAAAACTAGATTGAAGGGGGTGATATTCATTTTTAATGTGCCTTTCACTCCTACAGAGTAACCATAGTTTTGGTAATGGTTTACTAATTTTAAAAGCATATCTTCCAGCATGTGTATCAAGCACAAGTAATACAATTAGTGAGTCATCATTAATTGGATGGTATTATTGTATTCCTAAGCAATGATGACACAAAGGTAAAATTGATCATATCACATACTTGTTCCTACTGCTTATTTTAGCAGCTGTAGTTTAGGTCACTTGATGAGATATTCAGTAGAATGCTGTCACTAGAGACAAAACTTGACATTAAATAATCACTCGAAATAAACGATATGAATTTTTCATATTTTCTTCTTTTGGTAATACATCCATTCTTGAAAATTAGCATTCAAAGCTTTTCAATGCAATCATGAATTTAGTGATCTGACCCTTAAAATACTTTTCAGGGGAAAAGTTTGTCCACCTGTAGGTGTAGCACCTTTTTCTAGCCATATTTTCCTAGGCCTGCTGGAATACCTATTTTAGTGTGCAAGTTTAGCATTGTTTTTCCATTGATCATTTGAATTCTCACGTCAATAACATATGGAAATAAAAATGATAAGATGTCAAAAAGAGTAGTTTATTTTATTGTTAAAAAATCAAAAATAAAACAAGGTTTGGCCAGGAAGGGAACAGGTAAAATCCTTGGGATATATGACTTGATTATTTATAAGAAACATATTCATGTTTCTACAATTTAGGGTAACCCTGTGTATTATTCTACTGCATGTGGTTATACCGGTGCATAATATTACAAAAATATTATTTACTTATTATCATAATTCAATGTGACAATATCAGTCTTATCTTCAAATTTGTCTACAATAGTTTGCCTGTAAGGTTGGGCAAGCCGTCTATTACGTTGATAGTATAAGATGTTGATTTTGCAAAGCTCTTATGGGCTAATTCTACAATATGTACTGTAACATATATGTAAGGGTGCCAGTATGTAGTCCAGTATGTAGTCCAGTATATAGTAAACAAAGGAGTATTTTGGTCAACTCAATACATCTGATAGATACTACTTGAAGTGTTTTCTATGCAATTATTATATACAGGCACTTATTCATTGTTACTGCGAATTTCAAAAGCCTCCAAATTGTGTGGAATAGAGCATGCAATGTTTTTCAGTTTCAAGGAGGTTTTAGTACATTCTGACCAATTGTATTTTCAGACTTATTCATTTCATGATTATGTAATACTGACCTACTTATCTGGTTAGCATATCTTTAACAGAAAAGTTTCTAAAATGTGTACTTGAGTGTGAACTTATGCGTTCAGGTCAATGGTTTGCATTTGAATGTGTAGCTTAACCTCTCTAATGTTAACTTTAACTTGATTGCAATCCATGGGGTCAGAGTCTAGCACATATGAAATGTAAGATATGATAAATAAACCAAACTATTAATAACAAGTGGGTGATAACAAAAGCTGACCTATGTGAGCTAAAAAGGGTACACATTAGGTCTTCAAGAGCAGCTTATTTATAATAATTTGGATTATTACATAACCTTTCCTTATTTAGGTTTATTGGTTAACAATAGTCTGATGTGAGTCAATAGAGATTATATAATTCTTGGCTGAGGTACATTTAACAGGTTAAGAGAATATTTGTGCTATGTACAAATATAGACTAAAGTCTAACTACTGAAGCCCAGTGAGTAAAAGGATTATTGCACTGAGAGATCAACCCAGTGGACTTAAAGACAACATTCAAACAAAACAATGTCTGACACTGCCCACAATAACAAGAACAACAATGTAGATAGAGATGCAATCCATGAAGCAGCTGTATCTATGGCTGAGAAGTATGGAGACGAGCATCGTTACATTATCGAGCCATATGACATCTTGGCAAAATGTTGGGCAAATGACAAGCAAGTCTCAGAAGGTGGGTTAACAGTTGTAATTGAGAGGTCAATATTTGACAGGATTAGGATAATGGGTGAAGTCCTACAAGCAATTAAAGATGACCCTAAAATTTTGGAGGTAAGTTGTTTTTTCTTTAAAATCGGTTATATACGAGTTTGTAAATGAAACTACATGATACGTCCTATTTTTAAACAAACATTTATAACCCACTGTTCTTGCATATATTCTTTATTCCTGAGCTTGAAAAAATCTGACAAGAGGATGCTGGGTAATAATTAAATATAATAGAAAATATAATAGAAATGACCACAATTTTTCAAAATGGCTGTTATCAGGAGTTCAATATACTGCTTTGGTGTAGTTCCTGTAAATATCAATATATTCATTTACTACTGTACTCTTTGAGTGATAGCAAAAAACATGTTTAGAATACATTTTCTTTTAAGGTGACATTTAAGTTAATCAAAAGTACAAAAACATGGGAGCCATATTTTTTTGATAAAGTCAGAAGATTTTGTATACTGTTTTCCTTGTATGTGAATGCATTTCCCGACTAAAGAGACACATAAAAGAAAACCTCACATTTAAACGCATTTTTCATAACTATGAATTGGAGGTGTATGGCTCCCAAAAGCTAGCATGAAGAGTGCGAAGTGAGGCTATTTTTTGAAAGTTTCAAGGAGTAGCCTTGCAACAGACACACATTTGCAAGAATTCAAAATTTCCAGATATAATCTTACCTTACCAAGGAACAACGAAGGAGCACAAAAATGTGTACTTCTTGCATTGTTAGAGTATAATAAAGCTCAAACCATTGTGAATTCTAAATATTTCATGTCCACCATTTTGTTTCCTGGAACTATTTTTTAGTCCAGAGTTATCTTCATTCATGTTTCCATTGTTTATCATTCATAAAGCCTCTATCATGTATCTATCATGATAATTACACTGTAATAGATAAAACATACAAGTGATAATCCATGCCACTTGGTGTAGTCACAAAACTTGCATGAGGATTAATCAGGAAGTCTAGAAGTAGTTCCGGCAAACAAAATGTGGACATGAAATATTTAGAATTTACAATGGTTTGAGCTTTATTATACTCTAACAATGCAAGAAGTGCACATTTTCATGCTCCTTCGTTGTTCCTGGGAAAGGTAAGATGATTTGTGGAAATTTTAGACTCTTGCAAATGTGTGACTCTTGCAAGGCTACTCCTTGAAACTTTCAAAAATTAGCCTCACTTCGCACTCTTCATGCTAGCTTTGGGGATCCATGCACCTCCAATTCATAGTTTGGAAAAATGCGTTTATGTGTGATGTTAACTTTGACATGTTTCATTAGTCAAGATACACAATTCATATACAAGGTAAACAGATTTTATAAACATGTGTCTTTATCAAAAAAATATGGCAGTCATTTTTTGTACTTTTTATTTAATATAGCGTCGCCTTAATGTTAAACAACACATTTTAAAATGACTTAAAATCTTTCCAAAATGGAATGTACTAAAAACCCTTCGACCCTTCGACCCTACGACTTACTGGGTGTCAAGAATTTTTGGAATATATTTTATTAAAAAACCCTTCGACCTCTGATTTCCCAGTCCAGTTTACTAAATGATTACATATAGTTCCAACTTGAGCTCCATGTGCACGAAAATACGCATTTTACCTGGTAATTGTCAAGCAAAAATGTTTCAGTAGAAAAATTTCTAAAAAAGTTCGTCTACACAGCAAAAATACGAACGCCGAAAAAAAAACGTACGCATTTCGTCCGACTTTTCACACGAATTACGTATATGTCACGCACTGCGTTCGAAATTTTTCGTCCCTAACCCCTGGTCATAAAAGGAAATGTAACTATGACGATTTGAATATTTATGAATTAGGAAGGTTTGTACATGTCAAAACATTGTCACTTCAAAGAATTCATAATCTACTGCTAGCCTATCAATCAAAGGTATGAATAGTGCAGCTGAATTGTGGAAGGAATATAAGAATCGCGCTGAAAAACAACTCTTTTCAAATTACGATATCTCTAGAAATATAAGACCAATCACTAAGTTTTATACACCATTAAAAAGCTTAATTCACCGATAATTTAAGAAATAATTTTCATGATTAATGGAGAAGTACTTTTCTCTATATTTGACCAGAAAGAACATGAATAACTGAAAATGAATGATTATCTTCTATGCCCGGCAGGCGGGAAATGAACAAACACACTAATTTAGACTAGGCAATGAGAATTAGCTTATTTGTTTTGCATCCCTTTGCTTGCAAGATTTTAAGCAAATCAGAAAACACAATCACTTCCAAATGGCAACCCAAGGGTCTGAAGGTACCATCGCATTTCGTTCAATCAGAATTGGAAATAGCGGACAATTTGATGTGTGTCAAAATTCTAAGTTGCTGTAACTGGGAAGAGTAATAGGCTATGGAGCGATTTTTGCATATATAATTTGTGAAAACTCATAAGCATGGGACACTATCTTATGACACTTTGGCAAGTAGGCAGCCATTTTGAAAAATGGCTTCTAACTTAGTGTGTGTTATTTTGCATATTATCTCGAAAAGTAGTGGACCTATATTTGTCCGCTGTGACGGAGCATGCTATTTTTCATAAAAACACTAAGAATACTTCACGATTTATTTTTTAACTCATATCTTTCGTTATACCATACAAAATAACTTACTCCATGCAATGGATATATCATTTGCGGGTAACTTTCACTTCTGTTTGAAGTCCAATTACGCTGGGAAGAAAAGCTATTGAAAATGGCGTCGGAGTATCATACTTCAAAATGTACCATTTCTTGTTTAACTTTCTAATGGCACGATATAGTGACACGATAATATTTACACATGGTTTCAGCATAACTATGAAGGTATAAATGAGATGTTGATGTATTTGGTCTTTTTAATTCTTTTATAAAAAATAATGTTTAATTTTTTTGTCCGCTGTGACGGAGCAGTTGCAAATGTGAACTGTGAAAATGCTCCGTCACAGCGGACAAAATATATTAATATTATTTTTTATAAAAAAAATTAAAAAGACCCAATGCATTAATATATCATTAATACATTCAGAGTTATGCTGAAAACATATGTTAATATTATCGTGTCACTATATCATGCCATTAAAAAGTTAAAAAAGAAATGGTACATTTTAGAGTTTGATACTCTGGCGCCGTTTTCAATAGATTTTACTCCTAGCGTTATTGGACTTCAAACAGAAGTGAAGGTTACACGCAAATGATATATCCATTGCATGGAGTAAGTAATTATCTTTGATATAACGAAACATATGAGTTAAAAAATAAATCGTGAAGCATTCTTAGTGTTTTTATGAAAAATAGCATGCTCCGTCACAGCGGACAAATCTTTCGATACCAGCCTGTGTTCTGGGCCACTTGAAAATTGTCAAATGTTCACCCCTTGATCCTTTTGAAAAACTTAAATTGGCAAAAGCTGGTTATACGAACCTGATATGACCTAGCTTGCAAGCTTTTTCTTGAGTTTGTGTTTATTTTCCTTGTACCCTTGCATGCTTTGGATTTTGTAGGATGCAAAACAAAGAATCTACTTATTTAGTTGGCATTAGATTCTTAACTATACAAATCCAAATTGAATCAAAGTTGATAAAATCAAAAGACGGTTCTCTTTCAACTATATAAAAAATTTGACCTGAAAATATGCACGATGCGCCACTGTTACAATGTGATGGGAAAAGCACAAATATTTTTACTGAGGAGGTAAGAAATGTTCACATTCGAATGTGCTTGAATACATTAAACCTGCACATCGCTCCAAAATGCAATATGTTGACATATATTGTTTTTACATTTTCAAGCTCTAATATAAAGTTTATGTAAATAAAAAAAATTATCTGCGTAATGTCAAAGAACAATCATTTAGTTAAATGCGGGATTCGAACCTGGGCCTCCCGCATGCTAAGCGAGCATTCTACCGCTAGACCACCGTGATATTATGAATGATGGAAGTAATTAAACGCTACTTATTTTGAATGCTATGATTCGGAAGTGACGTCACGTTCTTCATTTAGAAACCTTTCCAAAATCATATCGCCGGCTCCGATCGAAGTCCAGCTTTAAATATCTTTAACTCTCTTGGGACAGATTCTTAAGTTCTATACACAAAGTAATATTTCCAGCAACTTCATATGGACTGAGAAATATCTAGAAGGTCGAAGGGTTTTTATAAAAATATATTTCAAAAATTCTTGACACGCTGTAAGTCGTAGGTTGCAGGGTCGAAGGGTCGAAGGGTTTTTAGTACATTCCTTCCAAAATGGCTGCCATAGGAATTTCACATCTTAATATCTTGTAACTTGCAGGTCCCGATCACCAAACCAATATTCATAATTGGTTACATGCGTACTGGATCAACGTTACTGCATAACATCATAGAAAAGGATGTTAACCATTTTGTGCCTCCACTGTGGCAGCTAGCAGAACCACTTCCAATACCTGATGGCAAAGAAAAGTCTGATGACCCAAGAATACTTGGTGTTAAAAATTTTTCTGGTAATATACTAAATTCCTTTTAAGCCCTGTTTACATCTGACAGGTCTTTTTCACCAGACTTTTGAGTCTTCTGGAGATCTGTGAAGACTGAAAAGTGCTTGCACCATATATCCCAATATGTCCTCCTGAGAACTGCGGAGTCTGATAGAGTCCTGACGAGTACAATGAAAACCCCTAAGATCGTGTGATGTCATGCATGAAGGCATTTATTAGGGTGGAAGTATCACAGGGTCAGATTTTAACAACTAAAAAAGTCAGATGAAAACCGGTGTGACAGAATGGAACTGCTTACAGGGTGTTCCAAAAGTAACAGGACTGGTGCTGGCATTTCGTAAATTTTGCACTGAGTACCTTCAAATTTTTACAAATTGTACTTTGAAGTATTGCAACTTAAATTACAAAGTTTCAGAAAAAATGATGAAATGCGGTTAGAGTTATGGTTACTATAGTAACATGACATTCCAATACCCGGGGCAACTTTTTTCCTGAAAATGTGATATCTAACATTTTTGTATTACTGAAGAAAGTATCTAATTCACCTATTATAATACAACATTTCTTGTTTATTTTATTAGTTCCTTTGTTGTAAAGGTGTTGCTGTACAACTCAGATTCAAGTATAATTTCATAATGATAATAACATTTATTCAATTTCCTGAAATATCACTATGTATAACAGTCTGAACAATTCACGGTTGAGTTTTTGAAAAGACCCAATTTGAAGCCAGTCATCTACCTTGATAGCGCGCCTGCCAGCAGGTCGGCATTAAAGACCATGCAGCTATAGAAGAACTAGGTCTTGAGGTCTAAAACCATGCACCATACTCCTCTGATCATGCAATATCTAATTTTTACTTATATTGAGAACGGAATGCTAATCAGTGCTGTAAGACCTTTAAAGATGAGAATGACTTTCTCCAAATTGTCCAATCGACCCTGTGTGACATGCCCTCAAATGGGTTCACTCATGTGTTTGGGTCATGGATACAGAGTACTTCTCTTGTACTGACCAAAGAGGAGCCTATTTTTCAAAGTAGAGGATACAAAGAAATATCAAATGATGTAAAACAAATGTAATTCCCACCAGTTGTTGCATTTTAACTTTGATATGGCATGTACAAAATGATATGGCATGTACAAGATGCTTAATGTCTCCGTAACTTTTTGCGTGGAATGTTGCCCCGGGTATTGTGATGTCATGTTACTATAGCAACCATAACTCTACCCGAGTTTCATATATTTTGTAGAAAATTTGCAGTCTTAGTAAGGATACATGAAAGTACATTATGTAAAATTTTGAAGACGATTGGTGCATATTTAACAAAATGCCAGCACCAGTCCTGTTACTTTTGGAACACCCTGTATTTCACAAAAATGTCAGAGGGTCTTTTCATTGTGGTCTCCATCGGACTTCACCTGACTCAACAGCATACCATCAAACTTTTTAAAAATACTGATCAAGACCTTGAAAGGTCCAATCTGAAATTCCTATGAAGATCGCCAAAAGACTGTTGGTCGTTTCTCCCATGGGAAATACAGGGATTTCTTTGGGTTGCATTTTTTTGAACACCCTGTACACAAAAGCAGGGTAAAAAAGACCAGTCAGTGTAAACAGGGCTTTAGAATTCACTGAATAAACAATAAATTGTTATTTGGACATGGAGCAGTATTAAAGTGATATTTAAGAGTTTTAATGATCTTGGCCAAAAAATGCAACATATCATCTTGTATGGTTTGTTTAAGGAATTACATCTAAGATTCAAATAGAGGCAAATTAAATATTTGAGACAGCATATCTTGACTTTTCATACAATTCTAAAGAACCCAACTCACTTTTTAGAACACTACAATCAAATTCCTGGTTGGCTACAGAAGCATCAGGCATTCACACCCTATGCCCTTGAAGAATGCTCTGGCCAGCTTGGTAAGACAGGATGTATGAAGGAGCTCTTACTAGGGGGACAGAATATAGAGGAGTACACCCAGTGGTATGAACAACTGAAGGATGAATGGAAAGTCAGCATGTATGAATACTACAAGAAAGAACTGCAATTGTTGGCGTACAAACAAGGTGAATTTTAATATTGTAGAAACAGCCTATTCTCCCATTGCCACCATTCTAAAGTTGCTTTTTGTAAGATAAAGAAAGGGATAACAAAGGTTTCTTTCTTGGCAATTTCAACTAATGAAATGTGTCAATTGATGAAAGCTAATAGCTATAACAGCAAATAACTTAAAAAAATTACGTTAAAATATTTTTTTTCATAATTCATCTAATACCCATTCTTTTCAATAATTCTGTTCTGAGCTGTCTCTTCATCCAAACCATCAATATTACAATTATGAAAAAAACATGACTGAAATCACCTCTTGGATATCTCTGATATTCCTTTCAAAAAATCTTCTTTGACAAATTGATGAACAGATAAGATATTATTTCTTTGAGCATAATACAGATCATAATTTGGGATTTCAGGATTTGGTTCAAGAACATATGTTCGAAAGGATGCTCAACACATGGCCAATATGCCTGCCTTGTTGAGGGTATTTCCTGGAGCCCGAACCGTAAACTCGATACGTAACCCAATCCAAACAATTGGTTCCATTTGTTCTATGAGCTACACCGTTAACCAAGCCTATTACACACCTGACAACCTTGACCTTGAGGCAATGGGGAAGCGAATATTAAGAAATGCTGACCACATCATTAACACTTATATGGATTATCGTGAGGCCACAGATGGTCCAGATAAGAGCTCCGCCAATGTTGTAGATGTTTATTACAATGACTTGGTTGGGGATCCCAAAGGCACTTTGGAGAAGATTTACACTAAGTTCAACATCGAGCTCACTCAAGAGACTTTGGATAATGTTCAGCATTACCTCGAGGAAAATCAACAGAACAAGCACGGAAAACATGTCTATGATATAAGCACATACGGATTAACTGAGGATGAAATTAAGAGAGTTTTCAAGCGATACATTGAGTACTTCAATGTTGATTGCAATTGAGCGAGTATTTTTAAGATGTGTATTTCAATGTGAAATGCAATTAAGTGAATATACGAGTGTTAGAATGTTGAGTGCAATAAAAAGTGAATTCAAGCAACATGTTGAGTATTCCAACATCACATGTACATTAAATGGAAGTGAAAATGGATATTTTTCAATAGCAAACAATTGTACTTTTATTCCTACATGCTTACAAATATGCATGTACATGTACTTGAATACTCATGTATCAATAAATAAATGTAACTAAAATGCCCAATGTATAGTCTTCATAGGACATGAAAGGGGCAACAAGGCCTGTAGAGAGAAAATTCAAAAATCTTTACTTTGTCTGAGCTATCAGGGCAACATTTGGCTTAACATCTTCTTCGACATATCTATTTTCTTAAAATGTATGGATAAACTATCAATTTTAGCATTAAGAAGTGTAAATTCAGTTCAAAGCTACTATGAAGGGAGTCCCACGTATAGATTTTGAAGATCCATCACGTTTCAAGAGGAATATCAGCTGAAATAATATTCATCCAGGGGGTTTCTTTCGAGATAATAAAAACATATGTTAGTCTTCATGAAATATCCAAACTTGAATATATTTTGACACTGGTCCATGATCGTTGAATGGCCCCTCTGCATTAGAGGAGGCATCAAAAGTTCGATGTCGGATTGGAAACTAAATAAATCTAGTTTTGACTCTGACCCCCCCCCCTCCCCCCAAAACTAAATACCATGAAAGTTGATCGCTGACTTACGGTTTGAGAATTTGAAAAATTATTGCTAAACACGATCTAGTTTTCGTTAATTCCTATCGTAATTTGCGGCTTTTAACAACTATTGATAGAATAGAATCCTTTGGAATGATCTTGACGAAGAAAGCATCAGGTAAAATCTTTATTTTTAAACCATTCCAAGGCATTCTGAGTCAAAATTGCCCAAAATTTGAAATGCTGACATTTGTCGGATAGCAAACTGAAATTGGTTTGAACCCCCTCCCCCCTAACTAGATTTATTTAGTTTTCTATCCGACATCGAACTTTTGATGCCTCCCCTTAATTGTTGCACCTTTAATGTTCATATTTGAAATGAAACTAACCATAAGAGTACAATAAGACTAATAAAAAAAAGTATTGAGTAAATGTTGTTTGTATGTTCGATGAATTATATAAAAAAATTAATGAAATAAAGAATCAGTTGAAAATGAGAACTCTTGTACCATTGTAATGACATCAACCTTACAAGGGTAAACCCTGGCCATGTCCTAACACCATCTCTTTTTGTAACTGATATTACATAGCCATGTTAGCATTAACAGTTCTTCATAACTTAAAACAATAATCACCAAACTACTCAACAAAAATTTCCTTCATTGTTCACAAGTTAAATTGATAGATTCACTTCATCAACATCTGATGTTATATTATCATCACTACCCTGCCCTTATTATTGAAGATTTTGTTCAAGATTTAAATCTTTTTAAATTATGTTTCAGCATATCCAGCCTAATTTGTGATAATAAAAGCTATGATGCATACAGGATATTTAGGGTTACAGTGTTCTTCACTTAACTTGTTCCCCAGAAAAACTCACTCCCCGTATATTCAGAATATTTTTAATTCCTATATGTTTGAAAAAATCCCTACTGTTAAATACTAGCAAACATTTTACCTATATTCTGTCTGCCATCTGGTTTATATGTGACTTCTAAATGGGGAACATGTTTGCGCACTTCTTCCACTAACTCCTCTGGAGAGAAACTCATTGCATGCACATTATATGTCCTGTAGCGCAACAGTTCTTGTGGGCTCTCCATATACTAAGACAGAAAATAAAAAATAAAAATGTAGAGCTGCAATTTGATCCTCGAGATTCACATTCATATTTTGGATCTTATCTTTTTTTCTTTACATATAACAGCAATATCATAATACTTGCATTTCTAATGATAATGTATCATAGGTGGAATATTTATTTTTGAGGATAAGATTTTGACGAAAAACCCAGGCATGAATTGCTTTCAAACCTAATTTTCAAAAACAAAGATCCCACATTTGATAGATCCCCCTTTCAAATATAAGATTGTACTTTTGTAGATTCCCGAGTCCTCAATCAATGTCATGACAAAGGCACATTGGCCGCAATATTATTTCTTTTTGCCTAATATAACTAAGTAAAGCTTATCAAAAAATTAAATGTCAAACTTCTGAAGTACTGCTACTTTTCTGAACCCTAAGCTAGCCACTTGGTTAGCCCAATGACCAGAGGGAAAATCTAAGAGGACAGTGGATTTGAACATGTAAAGAATGTGAATTTTACCTCACTTAGTGCCCTTAAACAGTCATCTATGTACATCATAGGAAGTCTGCAGTCTGGCTTGAGGTAGCATTCATGTTTTCCAGTGGTGAGTGCATCATGGAATATTTGAACTGCATAATCTATAACAAGATTTTTTTAAATATTTATTACATGTAAATGTATTGTCATTTTGTGAGGTTATTGGGGCATGGAATGTATCATAGGGTTGCAAACTTTACAAGGCATTAACATGCAAAATGTGAATGAGAAACAAAATTATGAAAGAGAAACATATTTCTGAATAGATATTTTTTGATGGCTGTAACAATGGACCTTAACAACAACAAATTATAACCATCTGCAAGTGAACCAATGGCCACTACAGAAAGTCAGTTCAAAAAAATTGGTGGCTCTTATGGCATTGCACCACTTACTAGTAGCGATATACCAAGCTGAAAGAGTTAGTTACTGATGGTTTTTACCTGGGTGTAAATCACAAAACCACATTTTCAGCCAATAGGTATCATTCCACATTCCCACGAAAAAAGTGAGATCATTAATATGCTACATACCTGTGGTGCCTCCCCCTGGATTTGTATCAGCCGAGATGATGCCAGGGAAACGCAAACTCCGGAAATCTACACCAAATCTATGGTTGTAATACTAAAATGAAGATGTACTTGAATAATTGAAAATGACTAAAAAGGGAAAATCAGAGAATTTTTGAACCAATGTGGATATCCAAAATTATTTCTTTATTGCAAATCTCAAATTACTTTTCAATATGGTAAGATATTTTGGTTAAGATTTTATGGTTTGTAAATGTATTTAACATACCTCTCCCATAAGTTCAGCATGCACTTTGGACACCCCGTAGATGGTGCGTGGTCTCTGAATTGTGAGATCTGGGGTGGGATTTCTTGGTGAATCTGGGCCAAATGCACCTAAAGTATAGAGACAAAGTATGATAATACAGAGTGGGCCAAAAGGTCCACCTCATTCATTTCTTTACAGAATTATCTATTATGCTTGCTGTGTATGGGAATGGGAATTTGTCCTCCTGAGACATTCCTTAATAAAAATTTTGAAATAAAATAAAAACAATATTTACATTGACAACTTGCCTCTTATGTTGGAGGATAGAATGTTTAACAAGATCCTCTTAAGGAGGATGAATGACCCGTTCAACAGCTTCCTTCAATTATGTTACCACTTGCAGGGCATAACTTTAAGGTCATTGCCAGGCTATTTTTGGTATCAGCTAAAATTTGTATATGATTCAAAATGAAAGAAAAAAATGACTCACCTATTGTACTTGGCACAAATAACTTCAACTGGTACTGCTTGGACAACTCTAGAACATTATGAAGACCCTCAATGTTGACTCTCATTGCCAATGGAATGTTTACTTCTCCTACTGCACTTAAGAGGGCGCTAAAATGGATCAGCCAATCAACACGCTCGTTGACAATTATCTCTTGCAAGTTCTTGAAATCCAGAATATCGGCATACAAATATGGACCTGAAAAAAAAACACTGAATATTTGATCAATCTATTTTCTCAACAAACTACTACAGAGAAACCTGTCACTTGAGAGGAACACCTCTATAAGTAGAGCACCTCTGTAAGTGGAGCACCTCCTATAAGTGGAACACCTCTGTTAGTGGAATACTTTCAGAGTCACAAGACCGACTGACTTAATGTTAAATGAATCTCTAAAAGTGGAACACCTCCCAAGTGGAACACTTTGTAGAGGTACCAAAGGTGTTCCATTTTTAACTGTGTATGTAAATGTCGAAAAACTTTTTTCTTTCACAGAATTTTCTATTAATTCCAAGAGTTTCACTCACCACTTTCTAAGATGTGCCTAGGAGCCTTCATGATATCAGACATTATAATTTGCTGCTTGCCATATTTACCCCTACAACAAACATGCCATTTAAAAACATGTATTATGTATAAATGTACAGGGTGGATCAAAAATATCAGGACATTTATCAAATAATTTCAACTTTTTATTGAAGCTTAATCTACAAGTGTTCAGATAATGATAATATTGATTTTTTGTGAAAATGAAAGACATTTTTATTAGTTTCTCTTTTGGCTTGTACTCAGCATTGTTTGTTCAAGTGTATTCCAGAAATACTGTATCCTTCCCTGATTACCCTCCATTATTCTCATGTTTACCCTTTAAACACTTCAGGCTGATTATTCAGGTAGATAGAGGGTATGTTGAGGTGTTACTTGATTGAATAACTTGATATGCTGAACAATCATATTCACCAAAAACATTTACTTTGGGTTGTTCCCGCTTTCTTAAATTGGGAAGGTAACATTGCTCATGGAATATTTATTTCTAATATCTATAATTGTATTAAATTGTCACATAAAAGAAATAAACCAGAATAAACAATTTATTATAAAATAAACAGAATATACTCGTTAAAACATTTTTGTAAATTAGTGCCTATGATACTTCACAAATTCATCTTCATTATATTTAGCACCAACACATATTGAAGAAGGTAAAAAATATTGTTATTCTAAGATCTGGTTAGTTACCTTAACACTTTTGCAAGACCTGTTCCTAGCTGGCCTAAGCTGCCTGAAAAACAAAAAGAATTGTTGCAATTTTTTAAATTACTTCAAATATGAAAGCTTTTTTTCAATTCGCACATATTATATACATGTACACAAATTAGTACATATTACTTAATTCTGAGATCTGAATCAGGAACTTTTATCATTTTCCCTTTCATTTTCATCAAAATTTAGTCATTTTCATCATTTTAGTCAATGTATAACATGGTCATTCAATGATCTTGATTGCATTTTCAAAGGGTTTAACACTCTTTCTTTGTGGTATTTTATTATCATGATAAACTAATGTATAAATCCCTTCTATCATGTCTAGCATGTAACTTTTATACATTCATGTAGATAAAATTTATATGAAATAAACAGATGTTTGGGAAACTAAAAATTGTGAAATTTCCTTTTTTGTTTCTACTTTTTTGCTTTTTGCAAAGCTTTTGAGATTACCGATTGGAGTTAATGGTGGTAGTAAAGGGGTTAAAATGTACCTGTAATGAGAATCCTGGGAACATCAGGGTTAATCTCTGATACTGGTTCATCTCTGTCAGACTCGGGTTCAGCTGCCCCACCATTAAATTTCATAGAACCTGTTGAGACAACATAGCTCCTCGCACCAAGTTTCTCAACAGCTGTTTGGACAGTTCTCCTTAAGCTTGCCAACATGATTCTGTATACAATGTCCTTGATGTTAGATATTCAGATATTTTCTCAATAAGTGTCCAATTTTGTTTTTATTAATTAAACGTTGTGCCTCTGACTAAAATAGAGGTAGTCTAGTAGTGTACAGTGCTTTTAGTAGTGTACACTGTACAGTATTCAAGGTTAGGCATTTACTTTATGGATCGGTTTTTTATTATTACCCCCGGTTATTACCTTGTTATAACTGAACTTTTAAATAATGATGCCTTTGAGGATCAATCTCTTCTAGGTAGTAGTAGGTTTTCTTCTGAAGATGAAGTACATGTACAAGTATATATCCAATACGTCAATATACCTCTAATGTGGAGCTTGATCCGGCCTTTGGTTTACAAAATTTATACTCTTTGCAGACGTGTGTGTACTGTGTGTTTATTGATTGAATCCTTTGAGCTCTACGTTCTTGTACTAAACATTGACCCTGAAATAACACATAAAATACTGGTTTAAAATCAATACACACTTTACAACTTTAATAAAATAGCAAGTCCGATTCAAATTCAGTGTGTTTATTCTAAAGATATTATACTTTAAGGCACATGTTCAAGAAAATATTTTTGAAAAAAAATTGTTATCCCTGCACATGTTATTTTCAGGCACAAGAAATAAAGTATGTTAAGACATGATTTTTTATTTTTTCTGGAAAGCACACTTGTTGCATTTTATCAAAATATCTCACTATTTCAAACTTTTGGTAATATAAGGTGCAGACAGACTTTCAGCAGGGTGGCATGGGCGTAGTGCCCAGTACGCTGGGTACACACAGGCGTACCAGATGGTTGCAAATTCGCTCTAAATACAACCAAATTTCAAAATATTCCTGGGGGAAATCCACCAAGACCCCCCTGCACGCTTGTTTTATACTTCGTTCAAATCTTGTTCCTGTGGTGGCGTATTTCTTAGAAAAATAGCGCTACGCCCATAGGTGGTATATTATTTTCAGATTTTCAACCGGGTACATGTTACTTATAAGGTATGACCTTTATCGTCAAGACAAAAACATGGTTTAAAGGTTTGGAGAATTTGGTTTAATCAACAGACCAATGAAAATTTGTCCCACTTGAAGTGATGCATTGCGGGAGATATTTATGTTAATGACCATGTTTTCATCTATCACGTATTAGTCTATTGTAATCTACTCTTAAGTGCCTACAATTTGAGTATAATATCTGTATTAGTGTGGTATTTAGAATTTTACAAGGCTTGAATCAGAAAAACGACCCAGTTTTCCCGACCCCAATTCACTGCCCCTGGGGACAGGCTGAAAAATGCAGAAAATACGTATGAGAAATAGATTTATGTTGTAAATATATTATCAAAATTTCAAACAATAATATTTATTACATAGTTTTAAAATGAAAAACTTCATTCCTGCCATTTTTAATGTAGTGGCCATCTTGAAATTTTTTGTGCATACAACTATTCACCAAAATACATCTTTTCCCCAAATATGAAGAGAATTGGGCGATAAGTATTTGAGATATGCTCAAGACAGACAACCAGACAGATAGATAGATGGACTGACAGACTGACTGACGGAGGGCTTCATTATATCCAAGATATGTTCGTTGGGATAAGGAAACAAAATAATCCAGTGAAAATTTTACTCAAAAAAGGCCACATGATATGTAGAGAAAATTTATTCACCAAAACATACATGGAATCCATCATTCGGGAAAAAGTTATTAACCACCTGGCTTCAAACAACCTACTTGCAGGATGTCAGCACGGTTTTCTGCCATGTAAATCATGTGTTACGAAGCCCTATCCAGAATCCTCGATGAAGGCAGTAACGTGGACGTTATCTACCTTGACTTTAGGAAAGCGTTTGATACAGTGCCTCATCTGCGACTAATAAGGAAAGTAGCGAGCCTAGGAATAGGAGGAAAAACTCTCGATTGGATAAAGGATTTCTTGGGAGCGAGAAACGAGGGAGACTTATACCGGGTTCCAGAGAATAACGACAGTGCAAGTGAGGACGATTCCCAAAATGGACCTAGTACACATAAGTATAGGAAACAGAAAGTCATCAATAACGGCACGGAATCAGGTTGGAAAGACGTTATATCTGGTATACCTCAAGGAACTGTGTTAGGACCGGTACTTTTTCTCATGTTCGTTAACGACATGTCTGAGTATGTATCCAACACAGTAAACCTATTTGCTGACGATACAAAGTTATTCAAGGAAGTAAACTCAATTGAAGACTGTGAGGACCTACAGAAAGACCTCGTGGCCCTGGCACAATGGTCTGAAGACTGGCAGTTAGGCTTCAACTAAGAAAAATGTCATGTCCTCAGAATAGGTAACAATCCTCCAGAGTTCAAATACAAACTTGGTACTCATGAAATAGAACAATGTAAAAGTGAAATAGACCTTGGTGTTGAGATCACAGAAAACCTAAAAATGGGAACACACATCAGGACAATAGTAAATAAGGCAAACAGCATACTAGGTATAATCAGGAAGACATTTGAGCATTTAACCCCTGATACCATGACCCACTTGTACAAGGCACTAGTCAGGCCTAGACTCGAGTATGCAGTCACAATATGGTCGCCATACCAGATGGACAATATTGAAGCCCTAGAGAAAGTCCAAAAGAGAGCCACCAAGATGATCCCAGGGTTCAACAAGCTCGAATACCCAGAGAAACTTGAAAAGTTGAATATGACAACTTTAGCCTTCAGACGAAAACGAGGAGATATGATTGAGACTTATAAATTACTGAATGGACTATATAATATCCCTGTTGAGGATTTGCTAACTAAAGCAGAGGATCAAGGGAGAACCAGAGGTCACAGCATGAAACTAATAAAGCCTCACTCAAGGACAGTTAAGAGATCTAAGTTCTTCACTCAGAGGGTCATAAATTCCTGGAATAGTCTACCCCAAAGTGTCATAGATTCCGACAATGTACTACAATTTAAGATCAACCTCGACAAACATTGGGCAGATCATCCAGCCAAGCATGACTACAAGTACCAAGATGTCCTGTGAAGTTCTCCAGTATCCATGAAAGGCCAGTAAAGGTATCCCTTCCCGTTACTCCCCCCACCCCCAAGACGCACACTCCCAGATAAGAATGGCAACAGGCAAAAATAGCCTTCGCCTAAATAAGTCATAAAGTCATAAAGTAGCTAAATATTTGTTTGCTCGTTGGTTAGATAACTACATGAGTTTGGAAACCAAATTTGGATGGACTTAAAAAGTCGATTGACCAAATGGACAAAACACGTTAATAACGTCACAGATTAAAATAGAATCAACATTAATGTGTGACGCTTAGATTTTGGTGATAGGGCAATATACATGTACAGTATATGACTGATGTCATAGTTCATGTGATAGACATATCTTCGAACCTCAATCACATCATATGACAGCCGATTTGGCATATACATGTGGGGTAATAGGCAGACTATTTAGGTCACTTAAACCAGTTTTACCTGCTCCTATATGTATGAAGAGATCCACCCACTACTTGGGGGCCTCTATTAAAAGAAAAATTATAACTTCTAGCTACCGACATTTTGTTACCAAATTGGGTTGTTTGTTTCAGTAACTGAGTTCGAAAAGTGTAGAGCCTCGAGAGTCATGCAAGGCTCATAGCCAGGATTTACCTGGGGGGAGCGGCCAGGTTTTTGCCAAGGGGGGCTTTTCAACTTTTTGACAGTTAAGGCAAAAAATAATAATGGTGAAAAACTGCATCATTTTGAAAGAATTTCTGACCCGGTGGGAGAGCGGCCGCTCCCTCCGCTCCACCCCTGGCTTTGGGCCCGGGCTTTGGAGAAAGAGGGGAAGGGATGCGAGCCGAATCCTGGAAACCCCGGGTTCAGGAAAGCAGGGTTTACTGTTTGTTTCCGTTGACAAGTGTGCAAAACTACATTCATAATCCATACGACAGTGAACAGGAGGTTTACAGTCAGACCCGGGCGCGCCAATCCCTTATTTAAATGTTTGTTTCGCAGACCAGGGTTTAAGGTCATTCCAAACGAAATAAGTGCTTAATGAGGCCACGAAATATAAAAGTTCGTTTTATTAAAATTTTATACGTGTTATTTTGTATCTACCAAGACATTATACACATTGGAAATAGATACGTATTATGACTGGTGTAAAATGTGCAACGCTAGAAGACCCCTTATACTCGTTCATTCTCTATTTTGACTAAGATGATATATCGGTACAATGGCTACTAAAACAAGGAACAATTGACCAGTAGAGATGAGGAACTTGAAACAAATTTATTTTTATTCATATATATGAATAATAATTTATTTAAATACAATGCCACGCTATTACCATCCTCCAGTGTTACAATTTCTGCTGTGTCAGTCTGGGTCAAAATCTTACATATTACAATTGATAACGAGGAACCCTTCTAATAAAAACAATTCCAGGTTTGAAAACTCCCGAAAATAACACGAACGAATCTAATTAATAACCGTTCACATTTTTGCAAAGGCGGATTTGGATGACGGCTGACCCGGGTTTTGAGGGCGCGACTTATGGCAACGAGTGCTTCTGGGGCTTTGGGCCTGCATGCCTGGATTTTTTTAAGCGGCCAAAATTTGTACAAGGGGAGTAAGTCAACTCCCCCTCTAATATTCTCTATAAAAAGTAATATAGGCTACACAATATAAGAGTGAGGGGACTTCCATCACATGGCATGAATTTGTGGTCTAACTTTTTTGATTTTTGAATTTGATTGCTTTTTGGCCCTTTTTGTATTTAGATGTCTAGATCTATGAAATTGCGGAATCTTTTCAATCAGAAATATTAGCTAAATAGTTTAAAAGGTGTATGAGATACTCACGCGTTAAAGGAGATTACACTGATGGTGGAAACAGCAGTAATATGTGTTATGTAAGCCGTCACTTTCTTGTTTGTTAGAACGTGGGAAAAAGGGCTCGTCTTTCCTAACCAATCAGAATCGAGCCAGGTCAACCACTGCACTTATTGACCGGCGGGAACAATAATATAACGATGTCGCCTTGATTTTGATTTTTATCCGACGTTAAAATTATCATAGATTTAATTCGTATATTTATCAGCTAACGTTTGTATTTCAGTAGCTATGTACTGTAACATTTCATTTCATGGTTTCATTTCCGGTTCCGGTAGGGTCCAAACTGAGGAATGAGTAATTTTTCATGAATTCTCGCATTCTATGTCTATGTCTATGTCAATAATCCGCAAAAGGCTAATAAGCCCATATTCTCGCTTTCTAAATGCATTACCAAACATAAAGCAAGCAGTGAATTGACACAATAAAAATGGATTCAACATCCGCTTTTAGTACTCTTCGCCCGATATGTGTTACACTCTCCCAAGAACACACAAGAGAAAATGTAAAAGAACTAAATGAAAAATTAGAAGAATTGGACCAAAAAAGTTTGCAAAGTCTGCAAGAATATGTACTGTTTCCACTTCGTTTCATCTTGAAGCAGTCCAAAAATACGTAAGTTCAATAACATATTTGTCTCAGGTTATCCCGTGCCAGGACTATAGTCCTGCATTGAGAGCATTCTTTTGCCTGTACGATTACAACATGGGAGAATTTTCTACGCTTCTTACACTTATAAGATACCTATTTCAATAGATTCCTTGGTATTTTAGCATTCTTTTCTTGTAGTTGAATCCACAATTGTCTGGGTTTATAGGCAGAACAAAGAAATTTTCGTTTTTAATCACAATATTTGCGTGTAATATCTAACTTATTTCAACCATCAAATTCCTCCATTTTTGGTGCTTCCGGGTCAGTCAAACGGGGAATCCCCTTTTAAATCCAACCGCCATCTTGGAAAGTGATGGAATATCTCTCGATGAAAAAGAAAAATGTTCCCGTTCTGCCGATATACCCAGACAATTGTGGATTCAACTACACGAAAAGAATGCTAAAATACCCAGGAATCAATTGAAGTAGGTATCTTAAGTGTAAGGGGCGTAGATAATTCTCCCAAGTTGTAATTGTACAGGCAAAAGAATGCTCTCGATGCAGGACTATATAGTCCTGGTACGGGATAAGTCTCAGGGATCTAAGGCTACAGTAAGTACGCATTTGCGCTGTGTGAACTAATGGTGGTTTGTGTAAAAATGGGTAGCTGTGTAGTGTGTGACTGGGTACCTAGAGTCCATTTTACTTATCCCGTGCCAGGACTATAGTCCTGGAACGAGCCCAATCTTTTGCCTGTACGATTACAACTTATGAGAATTATTTACGCCCCTTACACTTTAGATATCTATAGTTTACCTTCAAAGGCCACTTCCAGTAAAGATATATTCCTGCATGAACAACTGGTCATGTCGTAATCATAAAATTTGAAATCATATGTCCGCCATTTTTCCACATCACAATTTGAATTGAGAGTTTTGGTCTTATTACCTCACCAAAAATTCCAAAACACACACTTATCAGTGTATTAGTTCACATCTTCTGGATCGCTAACTTAAAATTTACAGCCAGTTACTAATGTCAGACGTTAACGACATTTCGTCCAGTTTTCGAACATCGCCATTTTTCTTGGAGCCATTTTGTTTTAATTTTAGACGAAATCCTGATGAAATCATGTCATATCTCATCAAGGAGCCGAGCGGGGTCTGTTTTGATTAATGATTTATTTATCTGGCGATTTTTAAAATATTCAATAAATTTATGACACAGCGGCCAGCTTTTTTCAAATGGAGTTCACAGTATTCCAGATAAAATCCCCTCTAGCCAAGTATTGGCAAGTATTGGCTAGAGACTCGAGTAACCTATAGTCAAAACAGTAATGTTTGTGAGTACTTTGAATTTAAAAAATAAGCAATCAAATAACCAAATTCAGACAATTTATGTAAAAATAGAAACATTTATATTTATCCTAACTTTTGTATATTTTAGTTTGTTTTCTTGTTTAGCTATCATATCTGTTATCTTATGTTTTGATACTTCTCTGCCATGTTATTTTTGGAAAAATTAACATGGCTGAAACTCCCTAAATTACAAAAAGCCACAGATTTGCTGCACATTATACATTACTATCTGAAATATACAAAAGTTAAGATAAATATAAATGTTTCTATTTTACATAAACTGTTTCAATATGGTCATTTGATTGCTTATTTTTTAAATTCAAAGTACTCACAAACATTACTGTTTTGACTGTACTTCAATAGATTCCTTGGTATTTTAGCATTCTTTTCGTGTAGTTGAATCCAAAATTGTCTGGGTTTATCGGCAGAACGAAGAAATTTTCGTTTTTGATTGAGAGAGATTGCATCACTTTCCAAGATGGCTGTTGGAATTAAAAGGGGATTCCCCGTTTGACTGGCCCGGAAGTGGCCCGGAAGTACCAATAAATGGAGGAATTTGATGGTTGATATTATAGTTAAATATTACATGCAAATATTGCAATCAAAAACGAAAATATTTTCGTTCTGCCGATACATTTGGACTATAAAAGGCCAAATTATGTCCTTAAGGCCCATTTTTTGAGGCCCTACAAAATTTTTGGGCCCACAAACTAAAAAAAATTTCTGGGCCCACTAAAGGAGAGGGGGCCCGAGCCCCATGCAAGACAACTATGTGTATGCTCACATTTGGACAGAAAGACACACACCTTATTAATACTAATGAAAGTCAACTGTTTAAACAGTGTTGAAGGAAAGTTTAATTTGATTTTCCAGGTCAACAGAGTTCTATTGTGATGTCCTGAATTGCATGAATACAATATTTAGCAGAACAACAATGCACAACTGGGAATTATTTCAAGGATTATTTAACACATTCTGCATACTGGTCAGCCCACCACCTAATCAGAAAAAGAAAGGTATGTTTTGTGTTTTTATCAACCCACCAGTTGTAAATGAAAGATCATCCCTTTGCAGATTTTTTTAAATAATTTTATTTAGCCTAGCCTAGTTTACACTATTATACCCCATAGGGAATCTTAAACACACGTGTTCTAAGAGATTTTGTTCGAAGCAACCTGAAATTCCAAGAATCTTCAAGGTGATTTTGACTAGAATCCAACCATAAATGAAATTATGCAATAGTCACAGAACTCTATCTCCTGACACCATTCGACTCCACAGACCCGAAGAAATAGATTGGAATCTCCATTCAAACTTTTTAAAAAAAAAACTAAAACCAGTATCGCTTCAAAAATGCTATCATTTCTGCCGTCAGTGAAACCTAAGATTCATTATTTTTATAAAAGGAGACAGACATTTAACAATAGACCAATAGATACACTGTAAGAGTTGCCATTTCAGATTTATTTTATTTTTAACTGATGGTACTGCTTACTACATGTATACATACATGTAGGTGAGGCTGTATTTTCTTCAATCTTTCATAACATAGAAGCGAAAGTTTATTGCCATTTTTTTCATTGTGTAAGTTACATATTATGAATTATGTAAGTTACATTTTATGAATTAAAAGTATTTTATAGTAATTTAAGATAAGACTTACAGGTAGTAGCAGTTTATGTTATCTTTGTAGTGGAGGAGATCCCAGAAGAGCTGAAGCATGCGACTGTGAAGTGCATGAGAACTCTTATTAAACAAGCCCCAGACAGGTAAACTGTATATAAATACTAGACATTTATATTATATCTCATAGCTACTGAAATTCTAGGTGAATAACATATATCATATATATCATATCTAGGGGTATTTGGTGGTCCTTTGGGCTATACATATAATTCCTGAGTGATAAAAACTATAATAGTGTCTGTAGCAAAATGTTACAATTTTATAATGACTAATGTAATCATGTTATGATACAATATGTCAATAAAAGTTATATGTAATTGCAACCAGCTGGAAAGAAAATCCTGATTAATACAATGCATAGTCTATTGTAATATAAATTCATATTTTAAATAGAGGATGAACAAGGAAGCCTTATCTCCTATCAGCAAATCTGGAGAGTAATGTTTTATTATGTTGTATGTTGTAGCATTATAGAGAAAGTATATGCAGTCCCATTTCTTCCACCCATGGGGCATGCTGTATCTCTACTACTAGACCTCATAGAGAAAGAAAAACTAAGACAACTCAGGACGGATGCCATGGATGCATTGCTAGAACTGGCACAATGCAATAAGAAAGGTATTAACTGGCAATACGAAAGGTATTAAATAGCAATATGAAAGGTATTTACTTGCAATAAGAAAGGTTTTGATTTTGTGGAATGTGATCTCTTTACGTATCATGATGATGAAAATGGGAGCATGCTACATTTAAATTACAAATACAATTAGTATTCTTAATAGAGGTGTCACAAAAGTTGATTGACTAGGTCTATCTAGTAGTGAAACGTCTTCAAACCTCTTTATTGAGAAGGAGTGAAAAAATGAACTTCTTTCGGTGCAAAATTTTTAAAAAAAAATGCTGGTTTTATGGGCCCATGTGATTTGAGGTCCAAAGCTATGAAAAGTAGATTTTCTTGTAAAGGAACAGAAACGAAATGTTGAATTTTTTTCTGTGCTCTCATATCATACAAAGTACATGTACATGCTTATATTGTCTTGAATATTCAGTCTTTTATTTATATATATTGCAGTGTGCCCTACTATGGTGATATCAGTTGGGAACATATTTGCATCATTCCTGCCTGGTATAAGTCTTGCTATATATAGAGTCACAATGGGAGACACCAAACAAGGACAGAATGTAACACTGGTAAGTCATGCATCATTTCATATAAGTCTTGCTATATATAGAGTCACCGTGGGTGACACCAAACAAGGACAGAATGTAACTCTGGTAAGTCATGCATCATTTTATATAAGTCTTGCTATATATAGAGTCACCATGGGTGACACCAAACAAGGACAGAATGTAACACTGGTAAGTCATGCATCATTTCATTTAAGTCTTACTATAAATAGAGACACCATGGGAGACGCCAAACAAGGACAGAATATAACACTGGTAAGTCATGCATCATTTCATATAAGTCTTGCTGTATATAGAGTCACAATGGGAGACAACAAACAAGGACAGAATGTAACACTGGTAAGTCATGCATCAGCAAAGAAGGACAGAATGTAACACTGGTAAGTCATGCATCATTTCATATAAGTCTTGCTATATATAGAGTCATCATAGGGTACACCAAACAAGGACAGAATGTAACACCGGTAAGTCATGTTTTATTTCATACATCAAATTATGGAAGTTGTTCTGGTTCACATATTTTCCATTGTGAAAACATTCTGTAAGTCTGTTTTGTCTGACCAATTTTCATTTTATTTCATCAAACACTCTCAATGATATCTAACTATAATTCAAAGAAAGAATGCAAGTAGAACATCAGGCATCAACCAAATCAATTCATAAGAAAGTTTGCGCCCACATTATTTTTCCTGTTGTGTGTCGTCAACTGGTAGTGAAAATACTTGAATCTATGTAACATGTAGACTAAATTATGTGCACCATTGGTTTATTTAAATTCAATAAGATTTTGAATGAATGTCTTTTTGTTTATTTAGAATGCCATTCACTGCTGGACAAAGATTGTGTGCCTTGTCATGGGAGATAAGATGTTAAATGCTGCAGAACAAAAAAATACCAAATCATCAGGTAATATAAATATTCTACTTTTGATTAAGGTCATCTCTTTGAAGTTTTTGAATCATATGAGTCAGATTCCACAAGTGCTATACTTCCTGAATAAGTTACAATATTTCAAATAATTAGTGGCCCAATTCGCCTTTCCTCTCTGGAATACTGCAATGTGTGAATCTCATGTATAGCAAAATCATTTGACAATTGGCATGTAAAAATCCCTTTTCATTCTCTAATGATCAATTTTGATTACATTCATCATACTACATGTAATTTATTCATTGTGTAGGTAAAGTGAGAATTGTTGCATGAATTTTCCTGTTTTTGGCAAATGTGTTTTCTTCAAGAGTTTGTGTCAATTGAATGAAATATCAAACTCACCAATAACAAAAATGAGTTGTGACATTGTTATAGACATTCTTGTAACCACCATCCACATTCTGCATTTGGGGTTGTTTGTTATGTTACATGGTTACACTTTTGTAATTGTAGCCAGGTGGTGACATTTTTCTATGTTGATGCCTTATTTCATTTCCAGGACAGTCCAGTCATCACAGTGAGAGTAACAAATTAGCAGTGACCAGGTGTAAGAGATGGAGTGAAGACACGGCACACAAACTGAATATTCTTGTTCAGAATATCGCAACATTGGTGGGCCACTCTAGCTGGAAAGTTCGCATGGCTCTCGTTGACTGGGCAGAGGCCCTCATTACCAAGTGTAACAAGTAAGTCGATTCTCAGTTGCAGAAATTGTCCAGTGTGATCTCCCCACTGTAGGAAGTGTGAGATATGCACCCACTTGAAAAACCACTTGCACCCATTTGAAAATTAAGAATTTAAGAAAAATAAAGATCTGCAAATTTTGACTAACTAGCAAAAATGTGAATAATGAGGGGGAGGGGTTTACCACATAAGACGTCACATACAAGTGGCACTACAATGCACACACTTTTGAGCACTTCTTCCATTTAACAATCCTTATCATGTAAATGTGGCAGCATCAAAGATATCTTTTAAAAACAAAAGTGTATTATTTCTATTCTCAATTACACCCATTTGTAAATCTCATGGTTCTGCCTTAGGTTCTGTTTTGGGGTTTTCACCACCATTTTCTTATTCACTTGTAAAGGCTTCATATCAAACATTGACTAAGTGAATGTTTTTGATATACATTTACTACGTAGGTTGTTAAAATTGATGTAAATTGTAGCATGCGATTTCAGATCAATGGAAGCTTCTATTCCTCATCTGCTTCAAGTATTAGTTGGTTTAGTGGGAGATGATTACCCTAACGTAGCTTCTAAGGCTACTCAGGCCTTACAGCAGTTCAGTAATGCACATATGGCTAACAACCAATCAAAATCCTTGGTTGAAATTCTTGAAGAGAACTTACATGCACTGGCGACATCTTTACCAAGAGTTATAAGAACCATGGATGATAATAAGAAAATATCAACACTACAGTTGTTCAGTGGATATCTGAATTTATTAGGTGAGCATAAGTAGCATGCCTATTAGTTATTAACTAAATATATTTAGAGGTTATGTCACTATTAGTGTCACTATTTGGGCAAGAATGAATTCAATTATTTGAAATTGTACTTATAATTTGTCATCAATATTTGGTAATATTGACAGGTAGAATGATTGCTAATTAATTAAAGGATTGGTTTTTTATTGATAAAAGGCAGGCAATAGATAGATATGCAGTCATGCAGAGTATTATATTTAAGGGAATTTTAAAAAGGTGACTCATAGTATGTTTATATTCAGTGATCTTTGATTTATCATACAATGTTCAGCAAAAACTGTAAAGGAGGAGGGAAATTAGCTCAACAGATTTTGGACAGTCACATGTTGGATTTTGGCCATTATCTGAGAAATTATTTTATCGTCTCTAGAAGTGATTTTCCTGGAGGTAATGCATGCGCTTAACATTTGCACCTGTTTAAATCACCAGGAAATGGCCAAAATCAAACATATGACTGTCCAAAATCTGTTGCACTAATTTTCCTCCTCCTTTGACCGCATCTGTTATCCAACCACTTTTTAGTATGCTTTCTTAACAGGTTCTAATTTATAACATTTACCATTATTATTCTAGGCCCCAGGATTAAGGGTCTCATTCTGTCTTATCCACATCTGAAGAGGTTGTCCCTAGCCTTGGTGCAGACACTGGAGCTGGACATTACAGATATCAAAATTGTGGAGGATAGGACCTCGGCATCCACAGGTATACTCATTTTTTGCCTATAAGCCATTTTGTCATCTCATAACCTCCACACCAATTTTGTAGAAAACAGCCATTTTGCATTTGTGAATTTCTCTTGAATGAAAGGGTACTTACATGCACTGGCACTTGTGTTTAACCACTGTACCAGATCAGTTTGGTCTGAGTTTTGAATGACAAATAGTTTGCCAACGGGGGTTCAGTTTTCAAAAATTTCCAGGGGGGGTTCACATCTGACAATTTTGGCCCAAATATGGCTAAAATCTCTTGAGAAATGCTCAAAATGGTGAAAAACTGCATGATTTTGAAAGAATATTTGGCCAGGGGGCTACGGGCCTGCATCATGTAAGGTTTTTTTTAAGTTCGCTTTAATCAGTCTGCCATCTAGTATTCTCCTATTAGCATATGTAATTGAAAAATAGGAGACCACAGTTATCCTGTGAAATGGTACAGGCTGCTAAATGTTTAAAGACCTGATGTGTCATGTTTCAGAAGCAGCAATGGGATATATGTCCAGCCAACCAGAAATAATCAGACCAAAGAAATACTTTAAAGAATTTACAGACGAGCGAATACACAAAGAGTTGCAGTTAATCTGCAGGCTATTGGGTTACTATGGTAAATATTGATAATTATAGCAACGATTTATCATAAATGAAAAAAATCATGGTTGCATTAAAACTCAATTTTGTGGAAATTAATTGAAATGATTTTGATAATTTTTATATATACAATAACAATCTTTATATATACAATACTAATTACTTTTGCCTATTGATTTATTTGCTTGTATATTTTGTGTTGATATGATTCTCTTGTTTATCTCTTTAGTACTGTTTTTAAAGGTGACATTAACGTCTTGACCGACCATTTCTTAGATGTTTTCACTGAAACGAGTCTGCATCGTAAACAGTCCATACTCATTCTGAATGAGCTAATGCTAGGAACAACGGGTGAAGGTCTGAATCTGAACTCTACACCTGGAGCAACCACCTGTTCAGACAGTCCTCAACATCTAAAGCATTCCAAAGAAACTATTGCAGTCATCATCAGGTAAACGCTGTACATTGTTGCATGCTATTGAAGGGGTTTTATTGTAACTAATACATCCTCATGAAGCTATTTATACAATACATTGGTATATGTTTACTAACTGTAATTTGGCACTAAATATACAACACTATTTTTGTTCTTGATTTTAACTTGAGTGGCACTGACTTTTTGAAAGATAGTTCTTGTCTCATTGAATGTGTTTAATCATTGGTTGAATTAAGTCATTCAGCCTTAGGCTTCTGATGGGTTCAAGATCTTTAAAATAGGAACTTTATTTCAGGTCATTGGTTGAGACATACCTATCTGCAGCATACTGGAATATTCCTGTGTCTAACGCTGAAGCAATCCGGGGAATGCAACAACAGGCCAATCCCTGGCAGCTTAACCAAAGTGGTCGCTTAAAGAAAAACCTTCATTCTATTGAAACACTCAACAGCAATATAATGCAACTTTGCCTCATGCTGGAGGGATTTGGAATTTTTGCAAAGGTATGTTCTCGGTGCCTGATTTATTCAGAAAACTATACACTTGTGGATGAAATATAGATTTCCTATACATATTTAATGCTTTGTAATGTACAGGGTGGGCCAAAAAAAACCAATACCCAACTTCAAATCAGGATAAAAATAGTTACATTCAATATGGTACATTGATTTACATATCATTTTAAAGGTTATACAATTTCAAACAATTTGGTATATAACACTATGTAATGAAATCAATAGTAAAGTTTTATTTTACTTATTTGGGAGGCCAGGTTGCTATTTAAGGTCTCCAGATTTAAGGGAGAAAATAGTAAATCTGCGGAATTATGTTAATTTTTTATTTATAGAATATCATTCTTTTGTTAGGTGAATACATGCTTGGATATTGATATTTGCATCATTGTGTGACTAAATCTATTGTTTTTGAATTTCAGTGCTGTTTAATAACATTTTACACTTTATTTATTTAATTAATTTTCACAATTGCTCAATATACCCCCACTCCCTCCCCTCTGCATCAACAATAAGCTTCAAGTGGTAGCGCAATCTATCAATAGCCTTATTGAGAGATTTCTGTTGCAATTCATTTCAGCACTTTAGGATTCTGTTTCAGCTCATCAATGTTGTTTATTGGATGCTTTTGATTGTACAATTTCCTTGAGAAGGCTCCATGTATGGTAATCAAACACATTACATGTAGCATCGGGGCTGTTGGGTGGCCAAGCATCAGATCAATCAAATTGACACCTTGTCTGCAAAGGAATGCCAATGTCTCCTGAAATCTACGGTACGAGGCAATGTCTTGTTGGAAAATAAAATCCTCGTCACATATACGTTTAATGTCTTTTAACAGACCCCCTTTGAGTACTTATTGATAATAAACAACACTAAAATTCATAAACAATAAATTTAGTCACACAATATACAAATATACAAGCATGTATTCACCTAACAAAATGATATTCTTTAAATAAAAAATTAACATTATTCCGCAGATTTACTATTTTCTCCCTAAAATCTGGATACCTTAAATACCGACCCGGCCTCCCAAATAAGCATGATAAATCTTTAATATTGATTTCATGACATAGTGTTATATACCAAATTGTTCGAAAATGGATTACCTGTACAATGATATATAAATCAATGTATCATATTGAACATAGCTATTTTCATTCTAATTTAAAGTTGGGTATTGGTTTTTTTTGGCCCACCCTGTAATGTTGATTTTTGCATTATAGTATGAAATCAAAACTATGTGTATTTATTTATTTAACAAAGACAGATTATAATCAGAAGCCTCAAATATTTTGTAGAAGTATATACTTTGTAAAAGTAAGTAAACAATATGTGTTTATGATTCAGGTGCTTGGTGGGGACTTTGAAGTGATGTTGCAATATATCTTGTATCCTACATTAGAGAAACTAGGAGAAGAATCTGCATTACTGAGTGATACTGCTTATATTACACTCTGTGACATCACAAAGCATGGCAAATACAGGTACTAGATGACTTTGTTAAAGCCCAGTATACACCAATGGGGCAAGTTGGGACCTCCATAGACTTAACATTGCGTGGGACCTTGTGGGACTTCTTGGGATTTTGCCCCATGGAGTCCGTGGCATGAGGTCCCAAATGGGACTCAGTGAGATTCGATGGGGCAAGATGGGGCAAAATCCCACGGAGTCCCATCTTGCCCCATCCAGAATGAACATGTTCATTCTTTCCATTGGGCATCGTGGGATTTTCGATCATATGATGTGTTGTGTGAAGCCCAACATACACCAATGGGGCAAGGTGGGATTTGCTGGGACTCCATAGAGCATGATGGGGCAAAGTCATCAAGGTCCCATGGGACTTAGTGGGATTCGATTGGGCAAGTTGGGATTCGATGGTGCAAGATGGGACTCGATGGGGCAAGTGGGATTTTGCCCCATTGGTGTATACCTGCTTAAGGGGTGCATACCCTCCTCTGAAATTTCTCATTATTCCCCCTCCCCCTGATAGTTACCCGTGCCATCATGCCATCTATATTTGATGGAAATTTTCGGAAAACATTCCCCTATTATAGATATAGGTGCAATGGTTTATTTGCATTTCAGATTTCTGTGTAAATAATAGCCATAAATACTTAAATTCCTGGATCATCAAAAACATCAGTTTATGATATACATGTACATGTATGTAAGTTATGTATGTATGTATGTTCCAGTTCTATAAATGACTTACTGTGCAAGAATGCAGATTTCATTGTGTCGTCAATCTCTCTGAGGCTTCGACATTTAGGCAGAAACCCAAATACCCCTCTGGTTCTGAAGGTCCTACTGAAGTACACGGGGAAGGAAATCATTCACTACATTGATGACACCATAAGAGAGGTGAGCTTTAGCTTTTCAGTTATTAACCAACAAACAACAAAGATTCATTTACAAATGGGATATATTTCACTCACAATTTTTTATATTTTACACTGTGTCTTACATATTTATTATAAAATCCTTTATATTTAGTATTGTTCTCATAATGTTTTTATTATAAAATCCTTTATATTTAGTATTGTTCTCATAATGTTTTTTTATCGTACCTAATAAAGGTACGATATTGTCGTCAGCTTGACGGGCGGGCTTCAAAGTTAAGAACTGATTAGTTTTTTGGCATTCTGGGTAAAATTTAAGGTGGCCATTTTGGATTTTCCGTCCTAAAATCTTCACTTTCAAGACTTGTCTACAGGTTTCCAGCCAAACCATTTGACGGATTCATTTGAAATTTACAGGGATGTTTCTACATATTAAAGTTAACAACTGATTAGTTTTTTGGCATTCTGGGTTAATTTTAAGGTGGCCATTTTGGATTTTCCGTCCTAAAATCTTCCCTTTCAAGACTTGTCTACAGGTTTCCAGCCAAACCATTTGATGGATTCATCTGAAATTTTCAGGGATGTTTCTACGTATCAAAGTTAAGAACTGATTAGTTTTTGGGCATTCTGGGTAAATTTTAAGGTGGCCATTTTGGATTTTCCGTCCTAAATTCTTCACTGTCACACTGCTGTGTTTTAGGTACGATATTGTTCACGTCTGTGCCTTGTTTAAATTCAATCTCAATATTTTCCAATTGTTCTTGTTTCCCATTGGGTTTATAGTATTTTAGTGTTTTTCTTGTAAATGTTTTCTAATTGTTCGTGTAATGTCTCCTGTTCTCAAAATGTTTCAGTGTTTTTCTCGTTATGTATTCTAACTGGTCTCATAATGTTTCAATATGTTCTCACATTGTTTTCCTATTGTTATCAAAATGTTTTCATAGTGTTCTTGTATTGTTCTCACGTGTCCTCACACCTTAAATTTACACGGTGCCACATGTTCACCACTTTTCCATTCATCAAGAATAACCACCTTTATAAACTCTTCTGCAATTTTCACTGCTGAAAAGATTTCTCCATCTTTGCCCATTTTTGTCAACTTCCTAGCAAAGTCGCGATCATACGCATCTCTAATGTGATTTATCAACATCTCTGTTGGCATGATAGCAGGGTCAAAGTTCAATGCTCTAACCTCAGGGTCCTCCAAAGCTAGCACCTGCATGAACATTTCTCTTGCTGCCTTTGCTGAGCAGTAAAGTGCCAATGTTTTCATTGGTACCAAAGCAGACATTGAACTTACATTGACCACATACTGTTTGGTCTTTATCAGAGCATGGCTTGTAATTTTCTTCATGAAATTTGATGTTAGTACAACCATTGATGTTAGGTGCATACTCATGAATCTTTGTATGGCTTGATGATCATCAATCTCATGGGCTTTGTTTTTTACGAATCCCATATGGTCTCCGGCATTATGTACCAGGAACGCTCTCTCAAATGACTGCTTCCCAAATTCATCAAATATCTCAACAAGGCGTTTGTAGCTTTCATGTTCAACCAGATCAGCGACAACAGCACACACAGTTAATAGTGGATTTACTGCTTTTATGTCAGCATGAACAGCTGCCAAACGTTCTTCATTTCTTCCATGTAAAACCAGTACAGATGTTTCTCCGTCGCAGACCTTTGCAAACTGTAGGGCAATTTCCTTACCAAGTCCTTGGCTTGAACCTGTAACAACTGCAAATGTTGCCTTGAGACTCGACATTCTCTTCTCTGCTGAACTCTTTTTCGGCCTGCTTTTTTTGCGTCTATCCAAATACAGTTCTAATGGCAGTTCGACCTCATCTTTCTATATGATATATCTAGTTTAAGGTCAAGTTGACATAGTAGCTTTAACCAAAGTACAATAACTTTGAACAAAAAACAAATATGTCATATTAATTCAAAAGCAATTTTGAAAGTTGGCATGGCAGCAGAGTCAAAGTTCAGACTTGAAAACTTGAAAAGGAACATTTTTGCATGCAGTGTTCGACTTGTCAATAGCTAATAGCATTTCATATCAAATGGTGTAACTATTCAAAGTTAAAATGTACTGTAACTGAGTTAAACATGGTTAATATGACCTGCAGTTATGTTTTATCTCTAATTGACTCAAATGATAAGAAATCTTGAAATGTGAACACCTGCATACATTTGGCCAGTCCCAGAGATATTCAGATTATACGGGTTCTAAAATTCATTTTGACAGATTATTTTTACCTAGACCCTATATTGGCCCCAATATATTTAGAATAATTGGAAACACACATAAAGTATAAGAAGTCAAAAATGCATATCAGACTAAGATCTTCTTTATATTTCATTAAGATCAATTGTCCACAAACAGTTTACAAAAATGTGTAAGAAAAGAGAAATATGTTAATTTAAATCACAGTGAGAAAGAACAAGGGGCAACATTGAAAAACACAAAAACCTTTTGGAAATAAATGAGCCTTTTAAGGCCTTATTTTTAATTTTAGGCCAAATTATCTAAAAAATGGGCCTAAAATTTTCAATATTTGGGCTAAATTTTGGTTTTAGGGCCCCCCCCAGATTCCAGATTTCCATAGTTTTTGAATTTTAAATGTCATGCCTTCCACTGCCTAGGAACCAAATAGCACATGCAATGTGTGCACATGAACCTACAACCCTACTCCCAACTGGGCATGAACAACACCATTCAGTGATTGCATCAATACTATTACCATTACATACATCTGGATCTGGGTTGTACTCCACCCATGTATAGTGAGATTTGGAGGACACAAACCTTGTACAGGATTTTTACGCAAATGCTTTACCTTCCTTAGATTTGGATGTGACCCCCTGTCTCCATTTAGGGGGTATTAAGTGATTACAGTTACCTTTACTTTTTATTTTTCTGCCTGATTGCGACTTATATTTCTTCTGCACAATATACAATAAAGTTCTGTTGGATTTCTAAATATGAACATTGGTATGATCAGTCAATGAACTGTGATAATATAAAAATACTATTCATTGACAAAACCGCAACCTGCTGCATTAAAAGGATCAAAAAGAGGATTAAAAGATTTTACAACCAATTATCATCCTCTCAATTTTGCATGTACATTTATATGAATGTATAGAAATGAAGTACATGTTATTAGGTTGCTTAGAACTATGCCGGTAAAAATATTTCTTTCTCAAGAGGCCATGCTTCAGTGTAATTCATGAAATGATCATATGGATGAAGAAAATATACTTGATTATATAAAACACAATTGTCACAATTATTCTAAGGTATTAAATTTATTCATGTTCCTCCATACATGTACTTGGTGAATTTGATGCGAATATACTTAACACGTTTTGTTTCAGCATACACAATTTAGATGATCCTTAAATATACTGTTTCTGCCCTTTGGCTCTTAGGCAGATTATTCTATATATTTTGTCAAATATTCACAACCATCTAATAATGCTTTTAAAGCATGAGATATGGCTCATAATATATCCATTCATAGATAAAAATCATATCATGAATACTGTACTCCCGGTATTTTCGCGTGCAATTTAGTTTCGGGCTCTTCGCGATTGTGGAAAAATCACGAAAAATAAACATCACGAAATTCACTAATCAAATCTCCGGGGATTTGTTATTACATGGGACTCCGATGCATTTCGTTTTGTGTAAAACATTTGCAAAACATGGGTGATAAATGGGATATAGCAACGATGTCTCCTTGGCTTATTGGATCAATTTTACCAAAAATGACGATGTAATAGAGGTTGGTGTGCAGCGTACCATTCTCCAAGATCTAGTAATTATAAATTTTATCCAAATATTATACTGGGTTGGATGTAACTACTGTGTAACAAAGTTTACAAAACTTGAGGATTCAGAAATTTGAACTTGTGAAAACCGCGAAATTTAATAGCTGCGTAAATGCGATTTCTCAAAATTCGCAAAATTAAAACTCGCGAAATTAACTGGGAGTACAGTATATCACATGATATCCTCTATTAATATACACACTGTAAAGTGTACATTTGTATCTTGTATTTGATTGCAGATCTTACAGTCACTAGATGACAATCATCAAGATGAATGTGAGATCTTTATGAAGGTGCTACATTCCCTTGTATGTGCAGTACAGAGATGGTATCCTCCCCAAACGGTAAGTTTGAGATGATGGATTTTTCATGAGTTTTGGATAGGCCTATAGATTATAACAATTGATATTCACTGTAAGACAAAGTGAGTATGTGTTGGATAGAAATCTCTTTAACTCAGGATGAGACATATTCAACTCCAATAGAATGGTCTATAGTCATAGTCAGCATGTACATGGAGTGTATTTTGGCTTGAAATTCGAATCAAAAATTGTATTTCAGAATTCAAGTGAGCATGGTAGAATCTCAGATACATCGAGGACTGTAAAGCATCTTAGTGTAGAAGATGTGAAAACATTTTTATTGGAGTACAAAACCCAAAAACGGATAGCTGAAGGTGATTTCACTGATGAGACTGTGATGGGAGATGATGATGTTGGTGATGATGATAAGGATAATGTAGAAGAAGAAATGGATCCTACAGAGGGTGACACTGAGAAGAAAGTACCACAACATATCAAAGCTGTTTTAGAGGTTTAACTCATAGATTTTATATTTTTGAATCTCAAGTTTTTGGCATTTGTTTATTTCAATTATAGACTCCATTTTATTTCAGATTGCTTCTGAATTAAATTTTGACCAGATAAACTGTGACTCCAAATATCAATGAAAATGTGTTGAAGCAAGAACTGTTAAGAGAATACATTCAATGTCTTCCAAAAATGTTCAGTTTTGGGTCCGGAAGTTAGTTTTTAACATTTTCAACCAAATTAACTCTTTGAAGAATTAACCTTCTGAATCCATCACACTTTAAATGTATTCTTCCAACACAGTGTTATATTATCTAGTTCAATAGATGCATTTTTATCCCACCGAACGAAGTTCGAGGGGGATATAGAAAAGCCGTCCGTCCGTCCGTCCGTTCGTCCGTTCGTGTGTCCGGGCAATAACTCAAATACCCGTTAACGGATTTCATTCAAATTTTATAGGCGTATGCCTTATGGGTGTAGGACCTCTGCTCGAGAAGGAATTTTCAATATGGCTGCTAAATTCAAAATGGCGGCCATTTTTCGGAAAAAATATAATCTTTGATTACTCAAATACTTGTAGATGGATTTGGTTCAAATTTTATATGCTGTTGTCCGGGTACAAAGGAGCCCTGCTGAAGAAGACATTTTCAAGATGGCCACCATATTTAAAAATGGCGGCCATTTTTCATAAAAAAAACGTTATCTTTGATAACTCAAATATCATTGAATAGATTTGGATCAAATTTTATATGCTGTTGCCTGGGTACAAACTACAAAGGAACCTTGCTCAAGAAGACATTTTCAAGAATGCAACCATATTTCAAAATGGCGGCCATTTTTTGTAAAATTTTTTATCTTTGATAACTCAAATACTATTGAATGGATTTGGTTCAAATTTTACATGCTGATGCCTAGGGACATAGGAGCTCTGTTTGAGAATGGATTTTCAAGATGGCAGCTAAATTTCAAAATGGCCGCCATTTTTCGTTAAAAAAACATAATCATTGATAACTAAAATACCAGTGAATGGATTTGGTTCCAATTTTATATCCTGATGTTTAGGGAAATAGGAGATCTGCTTCAGAAGAAATTTCAAAGGGGTCAGCTGAATTTCAAAATGGCTGCCATTTTTCATAAAAAAGGTAATCTTTGATAACTCAAATACCATTGGACGGATTTACTTCAAATTTTATATACTGATGCCTATAGATAAAGGAGCTCTGCTTGAGAAGAAATTTTCAAGGTGGCTGTTCGGTGGGATTTGCTACTCCGTGGAGTTGCTGTTTTTCTAGTTGCACATGACGTACTAGAAGTCAATAAAATTTATATGCATTTATAAAGCTAAAGCTAAAAAATTCCCTGTAAGGAGGAGGAGCATTAGATTTTGGTGATATAACATTCTTCAACTTCTGAAAATGCATCATGAATATGTTCATTTATATACTGTATATGAATATGTACGTGTATATATGTATATGTATGTATATCCATTGCTGATCATACATGACACTGTTCTCTGTCCACTAGGTGCTCACAAGGTGTATACACATTTTATCAACTGGGAATCCAAGGCTGCGTCTACAGGTTCTAGATGTTATAGAGAATGGATGTTTGGCTATGGCAAATCACAAAGGTAAACCCCTGCACAAATAAATATATTTAGGGCTATTCCAATCCAAGAATTTTTGTACCTCATTTTTTATATTACTATAAATGGTCAAACAGAATATGCAATATTAGAATGTTTATCTAATTTTGTGTTGCATTTTATTATTTAATGTTCCATTACAGATGATCTCCTTCCAATGGTGCACAAGTTGTGGCCAGCTATTCTACAAAGATTCAAGGATGATGAAACTTTAGTTACTGTCAGAGTAAGTTTCATTATTAACATTGTGATATCTCTTAAGCTGTCAGTTCAAAAGTCACATGGGGGCCAAAAAATGTCACAAAACATTTAGATATTGTTTATTAAATAGCTACCACATTCATTGGAATGAAATGGTTGCCACATTACTGATTAGATGACATGTCCAAATACATTCATTATTAAATAAAATTGTTTCTTTTATGTTTAAAACACTATTTCAATTGTACTTTAATTCAATGGGTTTAAAAAACGGGATTTTTTAAAAACTACTTCCGAGTTGTTCCATTTCATGAGATGTTTCACTTAGAACAGGTTTTACTGTATGTCTATGTTCCAGGCATTAAAGATGCTACAAATAATGACAGAGATAAGTGGTGACTTCATGAGAAGAAGAATAGTGAAGGATATACTTCCAAGACTCATGGACTTCTTGAAGAAACAAGCACTTATCAGGTACAATAAGGTTTCTATTGGATAATTGTCTATGTAACAATAGTTTTCATGTCACCATCAAGAAGTTTAATAGATTTATTTCACCATTTTTGGCTCATGTGGTAAGCTAATGAACTTGGCCACCCATCTGTACATCTGCCTGTCCATCCATATAGCAACAATTTTTGGACACATGAAAACATTAATCTAAACTGATCCAGTGGTCCATATTTGGGCTTTACACCATTGTACCAATTTCTTAATTTTTGCATCAATTTAACTTCTTGTCATCAAAATCACATTTTTGATAATATTTAAGTCTGTATCATTTATAATTCAAACCAGATAATATATACATTATATGTTTCCATTGATATTGAGAGTACCAATGGGATTTGCAGCTTCCAAGGTTTTACAGTTTTCTTGTAGCTATCTATAAACTTTGTCTCTGTTGAATTGGAATATTTCTTGTCACTATAAAATCACATATGTATTGACCCAAACAATAAAATTAGATTTCAAAAGCTGTACATTTGTATACTAGTATAGTACTGTATTTGTTGTAACAAAGAGAGTCAGATCTGTCTCTATACAAATTATGTACCGATTTAGTCTTGATTTTTTTCCAGTGCTAAGGCAGGACAGACATACAAGTTTACATCAGTATGTAAGCTTCAGCTAGCAATCTTGCAGACAATGGGTGACATGGCTAAACAGGTATATTGTTATTCTACTTTGCAATACTAGTCATCTTTTGTCAACTTGTTTCAATTTGATCAATTTCTTTTCAAAATCATCTACAAGTTGTCAGGAATTCAAATCTGACTGAACATAGAACTTATAATATTGTGAGCAACTTGGTGGTGACATTTTGTCATGTTAATGCCTTGTTTATAGTAGGTCATTTACAATACATGTAGATATACACATCAAATCTAACCTTTCTGACCTACATGTACTTTCAACTACATGTGATTTCAGTGATTTGTTTTACAAGGGAACAATATGAATAAACATTTTACTAAATGAACCATATATTGTAGTTTTACCATGGTTGATTATGTAACCTGGAGAATATGGCTGTTCAATCAATTGAGGATCAAAGAGCTGATTTGAAAATATCGATGTATTGACCTCTTCTTTCAGATAAACCTACATGAAAATGAGATTGAATTTGATCATGTTCTTACTGCCTTCTTACCATACTTACACTCAGTGCAACCACAGGTGCTACAAAAGGTAAGATATTCACTCTGGAGGGCAGTTACCAGGAAAAGGCTAAAGGTCGGCATTCATTTGTACCTAATATCCGTTAGGCTAGTTAACATTTTCTATATGCTGGTACATGAACTTATGATAGCATATGTTGTGGTTAAACTGCATTAGATATCTTCTATCTATACATGCCTATAGAATACTTTCGAATGAATGTATGATAGATGCTGAGCATATCGCAAATATTGACATTGTGAAATTCGGTATTCGTTTGAAATTCAGTATGTCTGTCCATCTCCATGAATTTTTATTCTTTAAAGTATAGTTGTATTTAATAAGAATGAGAGGTTGTGAAGGTAAAATTCAATAAGATAAAGATGACTACCAAAGGTGATTTAATAGTATTACAGTATTTTCAATATATTATGTATTTTGCTAACTATTTAGGCTGCCACCAAGATGTTCCTTGAGATGAGTTATGTTGATCCTGATGCTGTTTGGTTGAAACTACAAACTGTAAACTTTAACCTGGATCTCAGACCACCTCATCCTACCTTCATTGATCTACAGGTAATGCAATGCCTATAACTAACTCCACCTCTCTGACTTATTGACTTACAGGTAAATCTATTGCTTAACTCCACCTCTCTATGTCCTCATTGACTTACATGTAAACCTATTTCTTAGCTCCACTCTCTATGCCCAGTGTCCTCATTGACTTACAGGTAAACAAACCCATTTCCTAGCTCCAACTCTCTATGCCCTCATTGATTTATAGGTAAAGCATTTACTAACTCTACATCTCTCTGCTTTCATTGACTCGCAGATAAACCTATTGCTTTAAACTCCACCTCTCTATGCCTTCATTGATTAACAGGTAAGCCTATTGCTTAACTCCACCTCTCTCTGCTTTCATTGACTCACAGATAAACCTATTTCTTAACTCCACCTATCTATACCTTCATTGACTTACAGGTAACTCTATTGCTTAACTCCACCTCTCTATGCCTTCATTGACTTACAGGTAACCCTATTGCTTAACTCCACCTCTCTCTGCTTTCATTGACTCACAGATATACCTATTGCTTTACTCCACCTCTCTATACCTTCATTGACTTACATGTAACCCTATTGCTCCACCTGGCCATGCCTTCATTGATTAACAGGTAAGCCTATTGTTTAACTCCACCTCTCTATGTCATCATTGACTTACATTCTTACATGTAAACCTATTGCTTAACTCCACCTCTCTATGCCTTCATTGATTTACAGGTAAGCCTATTGTTTAACTCCACCTCTCTATGCCTTCATTGACTCACAGGTAAACCTATTGTTTAACTCCACCTCTCTATGTCATCATTGACTTACATTCTTACATGTAAACATATTGCTTAACTCCACCTCTCTATGCCTTCATTGACTTACAGGTAAGCCTATTGCTTAACTCCACCTCTCTCTGCATTCATTGACTCACAGATAAACCTATTGCTTTACTCCACCTCTCTATACCTTCATTGACTTACAGGTAACCCTATTGCTTAACTCCACCTCTCCATGCCCTCATTGACTTACAAGTAAACAAATTGCTTAACCCCACCTCTTTATGCCTTTATTGACTTTAAGGTAAAGCTATGGCTTAACTCCACCTCTCTATGCCCTCATTGACTTACAAGTAAACAAATTGCTTAACCCCACCTCTCTATGCCTTTATTGACTTCAAGGTAAAGCTATAGCTTAACTCCACCTCTCTATGCCTTCATTGACTTATGAGTAAGCCTATTGGTTTAATTAAAACTTATCTATGTGCACTAATTGACTTACGGGTAAATGTGTTTCCTAACTCCACCACTGTATTTTGACTTAGATCAGATTTTGAAATGAATATGTCATATACAATGCTATGGCGTTAGATACAAAACTATCAATCTTTAATATAATATAATAATAACATGTTTTGTATTTTCAGGGTGTGAAGTGGAAGGTGAAGACCGAGGACTATAAAGACAATGTAGACACAATTCTAGCAGCGATGGACTCATGGCTTGTACACTGACTTTCATTGCTTATGCCTTGGTCACATTTGCTACTGCGCCCAGCCGATGAGTATTTTCTCCAAATTCGGCCGACAAGCCCGGGTATCGAACGGGCGCCTGGCGATGATCGGCGACCATCGACCGGTTTATAAAAGTCTTAAGGGTTCTGGGAGAGTTTATCGGGGATAAAAATTGCCGATATCTTACCGATTTTTCTCAAACCAAACTCATCGGTACCTACCGGGACGTATCCCGTATGGTCCATCATACGATTATCTTATGGCTCCAGCTCGTGCGGTCATCCTGGGATTTTGTAGTTAATGAAAACACAGAATGAAATTCTTACGACTCCTCGCTTACAAGGCGATTACAATTTGAATTGTTTAATAAATCTAAATTATTCGTTCTAATAAAGTAGTATAAACGTTTTCAAACAAAGATAAAGTTATGAATCAAATATATTCACATGACTGCATTAAGAAATAAAAATAGAATGAACAGTTCAATGAAATATGAATGACAAACTTGGGTGGGTGGATGGGTCAGTCATGCTTAGCTTGTGTCAACCTCAATCGAAAGTTAGTCATGAATATTAAATATGTTATACCCTTTAAGAGGTGTATATTCACTCATGAATGTCCCGATGTCCCATGTTCGGACGTGTGCAATACGGTCATCGTCTGATAATCTTACGACGAGATGACCTTGCATACCAGTGTGATAGTCTTACATATCCTACAGATGCCTGTTTGATTTTTTCCGCCAGATTTATTGCGGGCGCAATATAGTGACCTTGATTATGTGACCATACTCATGGCAAAATGGAGACATCAGAGAGAACCAGAGAAGTCAACGGCGCCCGGTCCATTTAAAAATCGCCGATTCCTACTCATAACCGGGCGCCCAGCACAAATCTGACATAGGCAAAAACAAATAAATTGAATATATGGCTGTAATATGAAATAAAGATTACAAAATGTTATTGTTTAAAACTAATTTGCTATTATTTTGTACTTATTGTATTTTAGTCCGGATTTCTGTTATTTTGTATTCTCTGATCATACTCAATGATATTTTGGCATACCAAACCATCAATTATGGCTTTTAAATCATGATATAATATGGTGGGTAACATATTTTTAATGCTCACCCAAAACGAGACTTGTCATAGCAATGGTCCATCAGCTGTTTGGAAAGATTGATTCAATTCATTAGGCACCTTTTACCTATGGAATAAAAGTAACATCCTATGATCCTCATGATGCGGGTTTTTCTCATGGATATTGATATTTGTGGATAAAGATCATATCATACTTGTCATCCGGTATCTGTATATCTTGTAAAAAAATAACAAACAGACAAACAGGACCTATATTTAAACTGACTATTGAAATTCATATACTCCTCAAAAAAAGTTAAGGACCTCATAGGTTTACATGTTAATCCCCATATTTGTTTAACGACTGTTTTCTAAGCGGGCAACAAAAGAAATCCCAATAAAGAATATAGATCTGTATCTTGATTCTATTCACTATAAAGTCCGCAACATTTCAATGTTATATCTCCATTACATTGGGTCAAAATTTGATGTCAAAATTGATGAATTTCATGAAATGTAACAAAAATGGCAGATCCCATGTTAAACAAATGGGGAATGGTGGCTTAGGGGCAACTCAGATTTTGGAATATGTATTCAGCAAAACGTTTATTAAAAATACTTTCTTAGTAGAAAATTGAATGATTTTACATTTTACACGCTAAATGTCTCGCTTATGTTGTTAAAATTAGCGATATGGAGCGTTAAAGTAATTTTGACCACCTCACTGAACCACCTGTGTTATTTCAATAAGAGGTTCATTAAAAAATTATTGAATTTGAAACCATTAACTTTTGTAAAGCCTGGACAATTAAATCATTTTTTTGTCTAGTAGACAATTTAGCAAATTTAATTATCTCTTACAATCTCAATTTTGAGAGCAAACGGATGGATGGATCGTTCCTCATATGAATTATGGCAACCCAACCATTCCCCATTTGTTTAACATGGGATCTGCCATTTTTGTTACATTTCATAAAATTCATCAATTTTGACATCAAATTTTGACCCAATGTAATGGAGATATAACATTGAAATGTTGCGGACTTTATAGTGAATAGAATCAAGATACAGATTTATTTTCTTTATTGGGATTTCTTTTGTTCCCCGCTTAGAAAACAGTCATTAAACAAATATGGGGATTAACATGTAAACCTATGAGGTCTTTAACTTTTTTTGAGGAGTATATTTATCCATTGGTCATAAGCGTTATTTTCTTTCCCAACATTATATTGCTAATTATCCTATCGAACGAAGTTCGGAGGATATAGGGAACGCCTCCGCCCGTACGTACGTACGTACGTAGGTAGTAGGCGGCCATTTTAAAAAATGGCTGTCATTTTTACATTTTCTACTATAACTCGAAAAGTAGTGGAGCGATTTTGTTCATATTTGATATGTGAATACTTTAAGCATGGCACATTGTCTAATAAAACTTTGGGGAGTATTCGGCCATTTTGAAAAATGGCCACCATTTTTATGTGTGTTATTTTACATTTTTTACTTTTTTTCTTTTTTTTTTATTCAAAAAGTAATAGAGCGATTTTGTTCATATTTTATATGTGAATACTCATAAGCATTGCATACTGTCTTACGACATTTTTGGTTGAAGGTGACCATTTAAAAAAATGTATAGGTGGCTACTTAAAAGCATATTACTTCTGATGACAACTTAGCTAGTGAACAACCATTTTGAAAATAGTGGCCTTTCTTATGTGCTTTGTTTTATGATATTTGCTATAATATTTCGTTTGTAAAATGCCAGTCATTTCTGTTCGATGGGATTCGCTACGCTTTGGCGTTGCCGTTGTTCTGGTTATACCAACCAATGAAGTTCAGTAGGGATATACTGCACTGAAGCACTCAGTTAGTCCGCCCTCCGGTCTATCTGGAAAATAACTTGACTTCAAATGGACAGGTTTTCATCATATTTGGTGGAATTTTTCAAGATGGCAACCGGTTTGAAAAGTGAAGTTCTCGTATTACTGCTTGGAATTTTCGTAGATTATTCATGCAAATATCGTTTTGACGTATATTCCCTTATTTTTGCTCTAACATTGGGGGTCGTGTGTAGGGGAAGGAATTCCGTCAATTTTGAGATTACAGATGTATTATACTCAAATGAAAGGCTTATTTTAGTTTTTATATATTTTTTCTAACACGGTTATCTGCCTAAAAATTGCTAACGCATAACGAGAGTGAATACAATATACGATATTTGCATTTGTATCATCTTATTAGGCTAATATATTATTAGTTATTTTCGGACCATTTGGGATTCGTACTAAACTTACCTAGTCTATGGATGGGGTTCGGTCACTGTTATCCGTACTCTTGGGATTCGGACGTGTGGGTTTTAGACCAATTGGCGGATTCCGACCAATGCACCACGTCTTTTCGATGGTATGCCTACTTGGCACATTTTATCCAGCAGATTTGTTAGTACTAGCATGGACTTAATTCTTCAGGTCTTACTGTATAAGCTTATAGGCTACTAAAACTAAAAAAACGTTGATCGGTTGGGTCAGTGGCTAGGGTAGGCTATCTAGGCTAGGAGTTTGCACTAGGCGAAAGTGTACCCGGGCTATATACAAATACCGCCAAGCAAAGACCCGAAGATGTCTGAAAATGTAGGGGTTAAGTTAATAAACTTCTGTTAATATCTTTAATTTCTCAATATGAGAAAAAGATAAAACACAGAATTGTGTGTAAGTTAACCGATATAAGCTTACTTATTGTTCCAGGCACTCAGGCTTAAGCTTACTTGATGCAATATTTACTCAACTTCTAAATATATTTATTCAACTTCTAAATATTTGAATGATGCTTTACATCTTAAATAAGTAAGAACCATTGCTGTCTTTACTTCATTCAATTCAAAGATACAAATAGGTGTAAATATATCACATTTATTTCAGTTGCCATACGTTGCATATAATTGAAATCACCGGTGAAAGTTGAAAATGAAAGACCCGATTATGTCACGAGTACGATTAAGCTTAAGTTATATAGGACCCGATGCTACCGCCTGAGTATTCCGATTATACCGTGAGTAGAACCCGATGAGGTAGTGAGTAAGCTTTCGGATGATCATATAATAACATGATGTAAAGCTTAGCTTATCACAAATATTCCTGTCAATTTTAAATCATAGGCTATAGAAGCTTAGGCTCCTGGTATCAATTCCCGCAGCATTATACGTCAGCGTCTGTGTCCCGCGAAGTTCTTTAAAACATTGAATTCATGCTTTCACTTGGATCACCATAATTTTCATTGTTGATGTCTATCTGACGATGCTGACTGCTGAGTGTTCACTCAAGAAGTCACATGTAACATTATTGCCACGTGATCTTGCATTGATGACGTCATACTTTCCTACGTCACTCTTATCCATAACGACCCCATCTATTTTTTTGATGGCTGCCATCAAATACAGGAATCAAAAAAATAATGACTATGAAAGGTAATATAAACTTTTAACATAGATTGAAATATTCATAAATTAAGAGCTAAAGGTGTTATTGTAATTAGGCCTACACTGTTGCTCATAAATGTGGAATATTAGATTTGGCAGATCAGAATTCTTAGCTTTTGGGGAAGACAGCATTTGGACATTGTTCAGCAATGGGCTTTGAATCATAACCACGATATGATTCCATCTCCAAATTAACATTTTTCAGAGAAAGAATATCAGGCCCGTAGCCAGGGGGCGGAGGGAGCAGTCAAAACCATGCCGTTTTCACCTTTTTGAGCACTTTTCGCATGATTTTTTGCCTAAAACTGTTAAAAAGCTCCCCCCTCCATTGGCTAAAGTTCCCCCTTGATAAAATCGCCCTCCCCGATAAATTATTCTATATGAGCCAGGCCACAGGAAAGGGGGTCTTATCACATATCTTTTCAATATTCTGATTTTTGTTTTCATGATATGGAGCAAACAAATGCGTGTCAATTTACACTGTAATATCACTAATATTTCAAGGGTAGTTTTGAAGAATAATCAAGAAAATCCATGTTTTCAAATGGATTCACCCATATCAAAGAACGTAAATGAGGATATGCGGTTTGAAAAACTAAAAACATGTTTCAAGTTCTTAATTCTTGGTTGAAACAAATATTTTGAAAGTTGTGATTTCGAATGTAAGCTAATCTCCTACTCGATGAAAATTGTTGGAATACACATTGCTGGATCATGGAGATGCACGAAAAGTGTATTGTTAATATTTGACGTCGTTCGGATATTTGGATGCGATTGACGTTTTCGTTAATCTCCTACCACTGTAGCTTCCAACTTAATTTTTGAAAGCCAAATATGATGGTCACGAATTGATATTTAAGTCACACGTTGATGCATACATCATATGTGTACATTAACTGTCGAATACATGTCGACTTATATTACGTCTTTATTACATTGATTTAAATATCCACAGTTTAACTCAAATCATCGATGCTCGAAACGGTTTATCATATAACCTGGTGAGTTTAATGTTTCATTTTAATTTATTATTATGGTATTGGATTTGAGTATGATTTTAGTTGAGGCTTAAACAAAGCAATAAAATTGCATGAAACCTTTTGTGAAAATCCTCCTTCAAAGTGTTACCAAAGTGCTCCCCGGGAGTTGAAATTTCGTCTTGTGCAATCAAAATAATAGCGGGTAGTTTGAATTTTTGTTTGAGTTTATAGCTTACATCTCTAAAATTAAAAACATATCGCCTCATTTAGAGGTACATGCAGATTTTGGGGATCTATCATGATAAAAGGCTAAATATTGTGAAAAACACGAGTTGACACGCTGACATTTGGAATTGAAACCTACATAATTATCGACTCATGTTTAAAAGTCATGAAAATAAGGTTGAACATAAAACATTGACCCAGTTACTGTATATTTATCATGGGATCACTAAGGGAAATATCATTGATGACTTAAATCGTTAACAGTTATTTTGTATTCGAAGAAACTTATCAATTTAGAAATGCAAACGTTTTTAAATGTTCAATTTTGTTTTATAATCATAAAAAATGTCGCCTGTAGAGAACAACGTTTACAAAATTATTTAAAACGGAGATATTTACTTACGTAACATTCGTTGGTATGTGTCAGGGAGTTATTGAGAAGAATTTGCTTTTGATTCTATATCTTGTTCCCAAAGGAAAGTTTCAAGGAGCCGTATATCTTAACGTACTTTTATCATCCCGAACTCAAACATTTCGAATACTTATTTCGCGGACGCTTTGTTGAGAATTGATTCGAGATGTAATCAAAATTTATACGTTAAAACGTGTATTATGATCGTAATAACCACCTCACAAATTATTTTGGAAATCAAAGATGTACGATTTTTTAGATTTTTATTTTCGAATGTTGACTTAGTTACTTGACTTGACTGGTAAGTGTCAGTTGTCTGAAATTTAAACATGATAGATTGACGAGATAATTAAACTGCTCTCCAAACTGTATGTTTACCAAAGCAAAACATAAAAAAGTTAGGGTACACATGAAAATTACTTTTTTTTTAGAAAATCTCCTCAATCCCATGCAAAATGTCACCACCATTTCAACGACCGCAGCTCGCCAACCACCAACCGCTGTCACAAAAAACGGAGACCATAAGAATTTGTTACAGCTTTTTGGTGGTGACATTACGAGTGTTTAAATGGCAGGGAAATACTTTTAAATGTGTTATTGTATTATCAGACTAATTTTGACAATCCATCAATGAATTAATTAAGTTATTGCGCTGAGCCTTTTGCCCCACGTGGCCATTTTTTCCGAATTCCCCTATTTCGAACCATGGGCTTAATACAGTATGCATTAATAATTTCAGGCGAACGCTTGGTGCAGCAAGCTCTCATCGCTGCATTCATGCTCATCGCTGTGTATGCAGGTAGCACACTCGGTTCGAAATGTACCGAACCCCCAAAGGACTTCTTAGGACGATTTCGTATATCCCTTATACGTGGACGAGAACTTAACATCGCAAAAGACGGAATCATTGCGTTTGGACCAACTCCTCGTGTACACGACGTTGCAAAACTGGGCCCCTATGCATTTTGTAAGTTGGGCTATGACCATTGTAGAGTTATAACACTGCCTTGAATAAGTTCCATCATGGGCATTCAATACTGTTGAAACCAATGGTTCCATGAAGAACGATAAATTGAAAAGTGCTTGAAAAGATTGATTTCAGTTCGTTCAAGGTGTTATCATAAAATAGTTGAAAAGGATCCAGACAGGATCCGCAACGTCCTGTTTAGTAAAATAAAGGTTGGGAAAAGAAGAAAAAAAGATTTGTGATTAAATGACCTGTTTACTTTAGGGATAACGAACAAGAAGCTACCATTTGAACAAATAAGCTGCACAAAGAAGTCAATGACAGTTGTTTTTGGGCAAAAATTGAATCGGTAAGGGATATGGTTTATTCTAACGACCAGTAAGCAGTAGTGAGATTTATAAGAATATTATTTGTAATAAGTACAATAAGTTTTTAGTAGTTTCCCCTGGAATATTGGAGCAGGAAATACATATCAGTGGGGTCACATCTCCCCCGACATCTTTGAGATTTCAGTTTTATGTATCACAGTTGCCTTATACCCTATCCATCGACTAGTTATAGGATCAACTTATTTTTGTTTTTCAGTAAAGAGAAAGGATATCAGTGTCTCCGGTTGACAAGAGATGGAAAACAAGGACAACTCCGTGGAAAATTCGTGTATGATGCATGTGAGTATATAAACTCCCATATCTTATGTGTTGCATTATTAGTGGTTGATATTTGTTGGGCACATGGACCGCCTCTGCTTGGCCATGTCATCTTAATCAAATAATGGAATTTGTCGTAAGGCTTCAATATACACGCCCGGTGATCGGACACGCCCGGTGATATATCAAAAAATAGTGAAATTAGAGAGATATTATCAGAACTTTATGATAACCTCTCGTATGTAGGCATAAATAGTGTCATATATGCAGGGTGTATCAAAAAAAAACGCAACAAGTAGTTATCTCGTAAAATCACAAAACTAGCATCAATTTCATTTAATGTATCAAAAAGCCACGTCTCTCCTCTTTGCAATGATATGTCATTCATTCACATGTGGTAATGGTTGGGTGAGAAATCTTTCCATTTGCACAGTGGGTTAAAATCGGTTAAGTGCCAATGTAAGTTCCCCTGACTTGAATTGTTGAGACTTTTTCTTTTGGAGCTATCTCAGGATCATCTGTGCTCACAATTCCTCCGACAGATATTGCAAAACCTCGAGAAAGAATTGCCCATGGGCTGCTTTTCTCTGCTTTAACCCACAGATGACTCAGAGCTGAACCATGCATGACGAGGACAGATGAGCGCATCTTAATGTGCAAGGAAGTACTGGCAATTTGGAGGGGTATAGGATGTATTCTTGCAAGAGTATGAGTTTGAACACTTTACTGTCAATGCCGTACCTGTCACATCTTCTTCCAACAGCCCCTATTCCCCTTGTACTGACTTTTGCAGTGTTTAAAACTTGGGTCCGAGCTGAATTTTGCCCCACTTTGCAAAATTAATGATTATTCGGCCAGTGATGACTCCCTGTGAATGGATGATATTCCATTGCAAAGAGGAGTTTCGCTTTTTGGTACATTGAATGAAAATGATGCAGTCAGCACTGGTTTTACGTTTTCTTCCAATATTGCTTTTGCGATGTTTGTAACTTGGTCCCAAGCTAATTTTGGCCCACTTTGCAAATGGAATGATTACTCGCCCAACCATGACCAAATATCAATGAATGATATATCACTGTAAAGAGGAGACTCATGGCTTTATGGTGCATTGGATGAAATCAATGCTGTTATCACTGGTTTTGTGCTTTTCCGAGAAAAATCTTTTTGCGTTTTTTATACGCACTGTTGTGTGTATGTATGATATCTAAATAGTTTAAATGATGGCTGATACATTTTGAAAAGTTCACTTTATAAGTTGAAGTGGATGATATTAATCAATGATTGAAATTATACACAAATGAAATGGTTATGGACACATAAGGTAACACAATGATAATTAAAAATATTCTCTGAAGTAAAGAATTTGACTTGTTTCTGATAACACAATGATGTTTTTTAAATTAAAAATATTCTCTGAAGTAAAGAATTTGACTTGTTTCTGATAACACAATGATGTTTTTTTGTAGCCATAACAACGAAGAATAAGGAGACTATAAATTGCAATGATCTACCTCACCCACATAAGGACTACTCAACAAACCGCGTTCTCGAGACTATGTTCACAAAAATTACGAGGTCTCCGAAACGTGTCAAACGAGATGCTTCTTATAATTCTCTAGTGGCAGATATGGGAAGGTATTGTACAACGACATGGAGAAATAATCGCATCAAAAAACATAATTGCAAAAATCAAATAAGGCTAGGAAAGAGGCTAGCTGCAAAGTTCACAGATTCACAAATTAAGCGTGGCTTTTTGTTATATCAAATGATAATGAAGGAATGTTTGAGTAAGTATTTAAAACCACAAAAAGATAACTGTTTGGCCTTCTTTGGAGATGCTGCTAGAAAACGAAATACAGAGATTGTACGTTGGTCTGAGGATGAAAAGAATGTGATTATAGGGTTCAGCAAATATTGTTCCTCAAACCCGATACTTGCGAATAGAGCGGGTGGTTGCATTTCACTACTTAAGCATGCAATGAAAGAAGCTAACAAAAGAACAAATTTGGAGCATCGTAGGGGTCAATTCAAAGATGTCTTCGTCAATAGAGGTTGTACGCCATTACCAGATGCCACAGAAAAAGCAGCATGTATCTGGGATGTCTACAAAATAATGAGAAAAGTTTGGAAGCGTTTTGAGCCTGAAATAGAACTATCCGAATTGCGACCAGGTGCCCCTACCCCAGCGCCATCTTGTACTAACTACTGCAAAAATGGTGGCACATGCACTCTTGACACTGATGGAGCTAAATGCTTCTGCCCGAGACCATATGAAGGAAAGGAATGTGAAACAGCTAATTTCGCAGCGGCCAATAGAAGAATAGTAACAGGAATGCAAGTTATGAGAAAATATTGTCATGAAAAGCCAAAATACGCAAATAACGTTCAACTTTTCATGGCAAAGTGTGAGAGCTGGATTACTAAAGGGGCAGAATTTGCAATAAAATTCAAAGATCATCAGCTTCAAACAATCTTTGTTTTTCAACCAATGATTAAGCATGACTGCTTCAAAACGATTGCACATTTTTCAAAACCAGATGGACCAGGTGCGAGAGAGAGAGATGCATGCCTCAAAGTATTTAATGATTATGGTAAACAAGCAAATTTTCAGATGCCAGTTGCTTGGGACGATGATGAAGCAAAATTGATTCAACTTCTTGATCAGTATTGTGCTACAAAACCGATTCTTCCAAACAATTCAGGGGACTGTATGCCACTACTTAAGGAAACAATAAAAAGTGCCTCTGAACACAGAAGGCTGGAGGATCGTAGGAATGCAATCAAAGCATCCTTTTTCAATAGAGGTTGCAAAGCATCAGCAGATGAAGCAGGCTGCAAGTGGGACATTCTTAAAATATTTAAAAAACTTTGGCGCTCATATGGCCGTAGTCTACCAGCAGAACGACCAGCCAGTGCCAATACTCAACCACCAATGTGTACAGCCACAACATGTAGAAATGGCGGCACGTGCTCTATTAACACTGCTGGAATTAAATGTTTCTGCCTGCCCGCATTTGAAGGTGTACTATGTGAAAGACCTGTCGATGTTATCATCGTGGAAATACCTTTAGATTGGGAGATGGCTGAAACTGATCTGGTAAAGCGTCTCGAAAGGTATTGTTCTGCAAATCCGACGCTTCCGAACAAATCAGGGGAATGTATTTCACTGCTTAAAAGGACAATGGAAACCCTTTCTACAAAAAAAAATTGGAGGGATCGAAGATATGCCATGAAAATGTCCTTCTTAGATAATGGCTGCAAGCCATCACAAGATGAAGAAGGCTGTAAGTTGAAAATCCTCAAAATATTTAAAGAGGTTTGGCCAAATTATGGCACACGACACGACCAAGAAACAACAACCACTACTCCCCCTACTACCACTACTACCACCACCACCACCACCACTACCACAACAACAACAACACCACCACCAACAACGGCAATGACATCACCATCACCAACAACAACTTTGGCACCTACCACAGTGCTGACATGTTCCGACAACTTCTGTAGAAATGGTGGCACATGTTCTGTTGACAATAACAGACTTAAATGTAGCTGCCCGCCATCATTTAAAGGAGACATGTGTGAAACAAGCTTTGATCCATGCTCAACAAATCCATGCCCTGATATTGAACAAACATGTAAAGCAGATCCAAACAGTGTCCTTGGCTATAGGTGTGTGTCTAAAACACTTGTGGAAGAGACATTGTCCGCCCCTAGCACGAGTGCACAGCGGGATGTCCCTCCAATGAAGTCAGATCCAGTTGGGGATGCCTCTTCTAAGGTGATAGCTGTCGGTGTTAGTGTAGGAGTCCTGGTTGTCCTTGTTGCTATCATTGTATTTATCCTTAAAGGTAAAAAAAATTCCAAGGAAGACGTTGAAAGGAGAATCAGTATGAGCTCTCAAAGAAGCCGAAGGAGCAAAATGTCACAGAACCGTTTTTACAGTCACTTGGATCAAAATGATAACAACAACATACAACAATAAAGCAAGACTATCAAAAAACACAAACATCTTCAAAAAAGGTGAAACCAAGAGAAATATCATAGAGGACTTATTTTTCATTTTATAATCATTTTAATTGTAATGTGCCAATATAGTTCATTTCTTCTTTTCACATAGGTATGACACGGTGTATGAGTACTCATGTTTTCATTTAGATTATTTTTACGATACTCATAGCAAAAACCAATTCTAAGTTGATTGTATAACATAGTCAGATATTAAAGTTTAATTTCTCTATTAGCCTACATAAGAAGACCCAATAAAAGATTTCAGTATAATGAATTATAATCAATATATAAACTTCAAAATATTTATTCACATGACTCAGTGAAACGATTCATGCATTCCTTGTTTTCATAATTATCCCACCCAATAAAGTTCGGGGGATATAGCCATCCGTTGGTCTGTCCGTCCATTTGTCCGTGCGATAACTCAAATACCGGTTAGCGGATTTTATTCAAATTTTATAGGCGTATGTCTTATGGGTATAGAACCTCTGCTTGAGAAGTTTCCAAAATGCCTGCTCAATTCAAAGAGGCAGCCATTTTTCGTAAAAAACGTGATCTTTGATAAGTCGAATCTTTTGATGGATTTGGTTCAAATTTTATACATGGTGGTCCAAAAAATGAACCCTTGAAATAAGCTATATCTCAGTTATCACTTGCATTAATGGACTGTCATTCTCACATGTTTTAGATGAATGTCTTAAGTTTTTTTGGGTGTCATAAAGGTAACTTAGTCTTAAGTCTTGCAGAAGTTATATGGCATCATCGTGGTTAATTTCTGGTTTTCTTTCTAATTTGGATACCCATTGTATAAAGAGAGCATAAAATATATTCCACAGAAACAAGAAAGCGAGATGCAAATAATTCACCTGCATTTGTAAAAGATATTGCTCAAATGGCAAACCTGAAACATCTTTATAGGCATTATAAAATTGATTATTGAATCAATCTAACCCAAACGGCTTAGATATTTATAACATGTCATTATGTGCTCACAGTAAAAATACTCAGTCCAAAAGAAGTGTTATCCACACATTTTAATGAATTTGTAGAATTATGGTCCTCGTGGTTTACACTTGTGTGATTCACTACAAATATTTCCACCATTTAGTTTCTGAATATCCAACAGTGATGTGATGTTTTAACTGATGTAAACATATAGCCCATTTCATTGTTTTATTTCGTCAGTAAAACCTAAAAAATCAAAGATCATTGTGCAATAATATATAGAAAATATATTTCTATTGTACATAAATGACATTTGTATATCTTGGATTGCTTCTAGTTTGGCTAATGAAGTATGTGGCCTCTTATATTTTGTTGCTTCTCTGCCATAGTATTTTCAAAAAGATTAACATGGCTAAAATTCTTTAAATTACAAGAGGACATAGTCTTAGTGCACAAAAAACTAAATAATCTGAAATATACAAATGTATAATTATTGCACAATGGTCTCCTGATTTCTTATTTTTGGCGTTCTACTGACGAAATAAAACAGTGAAATGGGCTGTAAGTGATATATAGAAGGTAAAAAACAGTACATTACATATAATAGGCTTATATACACTTTATTGATTAAACAACATGGCTGAATATTTCTCCCAGGAGAATCTTTGCCACATTTTCAAGTACGTACTATGTTCAGTATGACAAACAAAGCATTAACTGAACGTACACATGTCATTCAGTCATTACCTGGTAAGAAATTGTGAATGGTTACAAAAGTGCAACATTCCGTCGCAGAATGCTGAACACTGACCGCTAAACACCAGTAACAAAAAAAGGTCACTTTAAATTATATAAAGTGATGATTTTTCCTTTTATCAAATATCTAAGAAAAATACTTGTAAATTCAAGTTTATTTCAAAATTCCCATTGACTTGATTACATTCCAGATTAGCCTTATCATAATGTCAATTACTGTATTGAAACAATTACTGTATTGAAACCATTAATTACTGTATTGAAACCATCAACATGACAAAATGTCACCAACTAGTTGCTCATAATATTATTAGTTCAATCTTAAGTCAGATTTGAATTTCTGAGAACTATGTAGATGACTGTGAAAAAAAATTAGTCAATTTGAAGAAGTTGAAAAAAGACCTTTTTGACCTTGAGAATGTCACTGAAGTTCAAATCTTTTTTTGACCTTGAGAATGTCATTGAAGGTCAAATCTATAGTCAGATTTGAACTTCTGATAACTTGTACATAATTTGAAAAAATTGGTCAATTTGAAAAAAGACATTTTTGACCTTGAAAAGGTCAATGAAGGTCAAATCTCAAATCTAAAGTCAGATTTGAACGTCTGATAACATGTACATGATTTTGAAAAAAGGTCAATTTGAAGCAAGTTGAAGAGACCTTTTTGACCCGTTTTTACCTTAAGTCAGATTTAAACTTCTGAAAACTTGTTGATGATTTCGAAAAAATTGACGTCAGTCTAAACAGTATTTGTTAAGTTATTAAAAGTCTTAAGAATTTTTTACAGACGTCAACCGCCAATTGCCAACCGTTGCCACAAAAAACGGAGACCATAACAATAAGTCACTACTTTTTGGTGTTTAACAAGCATTGTTAATTTCACTTCTTGATGTGCATGTCAATTTTTAAGTCAACAAAGCTGTTACACATCAAATGAGGAGCATTTCTAATCTCCTTTTATATAAAAATAGAAATACTGTATAGCTTATATCCAAAATAACTGGATCTGATTTGTAAATCCATATCATTCACAATTGCTGTTCTATTTCTTTGTGTATGTCTCACTTTTATAATGATTTAATGTTCTAGATGTTGTGAGTCCCTTTAGTCTTTAGATACTTGGCTAAAGGCTTCATAAACATTTGCAGCAAAGTTTTTGACTTGTTCCATCAGTAATATCTCCTGAAATAAAGGACATGCATTTAATATAGTTACATGTATTTATCAAATTATTCAGAATTCGTGTGTTGAAATAAAGGAATGAACGGTTTGCCAAAATTTCAGGACAGGAAATCCAAAATGGCCACCGTTACCCAAAATGCTCAAAAATATTCAGTTCTAGATTGTTATGCAAACAAACAGCTCTGAAAATTAAGAATCAATCTTTCAAATAGTTCGCCTGGAAACAAGTGGGACGCATGGCTTCCAATCCTACAATTGATCTCAAATGATAATTATTTATTTGGAAAACTGGGCCTCAAATTGGAGCCCACATTTTCATAAAAGGGTTTTACTATTTTGAGGTCATCCTTTATTCAGGTTTGCCCCTGTATCTTATACGTAGCTTGACAATAATCTACAGCTCACTGTGACTACTCACCTGTATGAAGAAGTTTGGTGAATCCCCACATGTTGTATGAATCAGACTATTAACCATTGGGATAAGTTTGGCTAGAGGAATGGATTCATCACTAAAAAACATGAAATGAATATTTGCAGTGATTGAATACCAGTTGTACCTACACAAAATGCCTGAAAACATGTCTGGGAGTAGACTGAGTTACAGTTTGATGGACTCTCAATACAATACAAACAACATATCGGCTCCATACCAATAGAAAATCCAAAGGCTACAATAGACCCACTCCTATCTGTTTAAATACTACAAAATATGCTGTCATTTTATCTTCCTTAATTTTTTCCATTATGTCTTCGTGAAAAAGTCTCTTCAATCAAGATCCAGAATTTCTTATATTTTGTGAAATAAAAAACAAAGATTAAAATATGCTGAATAATAGATAATAAAAATGTTTCAACTCTTGATATGAAACTTCAGAACAAGAGTTTCATAATGACAGAAAAATACATTGGTAGAATATATGAAAGTGGACCTTTTCTTGACAATCCCTTTTGATAAAGCCATTCAAGAGGTATCGAAAAAGAGTTCATACATGGAACTTTTCTAAGATTTTGATCTATTGATAAATCTATGAATTATATAAATATAATTATAAGAAAGTTTTACATACTCTGTTTCTCTGTAGAAATCATGGAGTTTCTGATATATCATGATGAAGCTAGAATCCAAGCAGTTGGTCAGTACAGAGTGGAAGTCACCGCTATAAAGAAAACAAAACGAAACATTCATATACTTAGTTTACATGAAATAATTAAAAATTAATGTTCTCATGATATTATTCAGTAAAACAATGAAATATTAATGTTTATCAACATGATTCTTCTGTACAAGATGAATAATTTCTGTGAATCCTGAACAAAACTGATTCTAAAAAATAGATGAATAACACAAGGAGCACACATGTCTCGAACTCATAACCTCATGGTTATGGCAACCATTCGCCTAGTTCGAACGTGCTGGTGCTCAAGCCCTCTCCGCCAACTCAACAATCCCAAAAAGGTTGTTTGGTTAGTCGATCTGTTAGAGATTGATGAAAAAGAATATCTAGTTAAGAAAAATGAGACTGCTTCACCTCTCTTAATATACAAACGCCATATCTTATATCTTAACTTAAATTTCACACAATTAGGCTAATGGTTGGTGGGGAAAAACTGGTTAATCATCTAATGAATGCAAACATCATCTTTTTATTAAAATAATCATAGCCTATTTGTTTTCCAAATAAGATACACATTCAGACATTGGAAAAAAAGTAATTCCATGGGTTGGGTGGTATCATAGAAACAAAATGGAAAATGTGTTGAAACTTGAAAGACATAGAAACAAATAATGGAAAATGTGTTGAAACTTGAAAGACGACCCCTAAGTTGGATTATTGTTCTCTCTGTATACATGGGTCATTTAATCATTACCTTTCCACCATATCTGTAGTTTCCCTCATCAGTTTGTTCATGGTCCTTTCCTCCACTGACAAGGAGCATGCCTAAAATAATCGCAAACGTTTAGTTTAATGCTCTACAATTACTCGGATAAACAACACAGGTATCAACTGGAACTAATCAAAAAACTGGAACTTGAAAAATTCAAAATGGCCGCCAAATTGAAAAATTCAAAATGGCCACCATGTAATTCAGCCAGCATACCCAAAACCTAATCAGATCTTGGCAATAGTCTGCTCTTGCATCTGTAAAAATTTCAAGTTGAACGGATAAGTTGTTTTCCTGGAATTTTGATGACAAGATTTGTTGAAAATTTCAAAATGGCTGCCACGTAGTTTACCCAGCATGCCCTAAACCTAATCAGATGTTGGCACTAGTCTGCTATTGCATGTGTAAAAATTTCAAGTTGAACAGGTTAGCGGTTTTCTTGGAATTTTGATGACAAGAATTGATTTGTAGTCTCAAACTTTGAGAAACTTGGATAACATCATTTGTGACCTAGTTTAATGACCTTGACCTTCGACCTTGAAAATTTCACTTTTTCAGACCTCAGTAGGTGTTTTGTAATTAAGCTGACCTAAATTTAAATCCAAAATATCAATTTAGAAAAGCAACTTTTTTGACCTTTTCAAGGTCACTGAAGGTGAATGAAAGGTCAAATCTGAAATCTAAGGTCAGATTTGAACTTCTGAGAACTTGTAGATGTTTTTAAAAAAAAAATTGGTCAATTTGGAGCAAGTTGAAAAATTCAAAATGGCCGCCAAATTGAATTCAGCCAGCATACCCAAAACCTAATCAACTTGATCTTGGCAATAGTCTGCTCTTGCATCTGAAAAAATTTCAAGTTGAACGGATAAGTGGTTTTCCTGGAATTTTGATGACAAGATTTGTTGAAAAATTCAAAATGGCCGCCACGTAGTTACCCAGCATGCCCTTAACCTAATCAGATCTTGGTACTAGTCTGCTCTTGCATCTGTAAAAATTTCGAGTTGAACAGGTAAGCAGTTATCCTGGAAATTTGATGACAAGATTTAGTTTATGTGCCGCCCGCCCGCACGCCTGCCCGCCCAACAGCACAAGACGACGACAATATGCAAATCTCTTAAAAGCACATGCAAAAAACAAAATTAGGGAGATTTCAAAGCTATAGAAATTCCTATAATGTGCTGACACTTTTTGAATAGTCTGCCAATGTGAAATCTGTCATTCAACAGACTTGTTATTCTTTTGTAACCATGTTGATCAATGAGGATGAGTCTTCTCTTTATAGTAGTAGGATATAGTGGATATTTTCTATGTCTATCCCACTATTGCAGAGGTCCGCGAAATACAGGCTATATCCATCCCATTTATACACCACAATTTGTTAAAGACGATTTCAAAAAAAAAATTTCGCCATGTTCTTTGAAAAATACTTTAAAATCTAAAGGAATTTTTTACCATTTTTACAAGAAGTTGTTGAAATTGGAATTTATGTAAAAAATCATTTTTGAAAATTTTTGAATCTTAGTTAGAAGGTGGAATCTATCTAGAGCCTCCGTTGGTAAGAACATCTGTTTTGTACAGTGAGTTTTAGATCAAGGGACTATCCTTGTATGTGTATCTCGAGGGACCGCACAATTCCTTCATGATAAAACCTGTATCCAAAACCTTCTGGTGCAAAACCCTTATCTACCTCATCATGGCCTATATCCTCTGGGAGTATGTATTTACACAATGATGTCGCAGAAGCATCATAATATCCATTCTGACGTCTGTATTCCATCTGGTGACGTACTTTCTGAAGAACTTCCTTCAGCTGAACAAATGTCAGCTTTTCTTTCAGAGATATACTGAAATTTGTAACATTATTAAAGGTTGGTTTTGTGGCAATTATGTTTTTTTAAATAGTGTCTTTTTACAAAAAACCCCCAAATAATCTAAAAATGTGATGGTGCAATTCTAGGTATTTATGAAGTACCAAAGATTTGATGGCTACAACCTTGCACTTATACACCTTTAGTAGTAATTATGTAAGCCTTCAGATATTATAAGATATTAATGTGGATTTTGCTGATTCAGAAATGCATGTTTTCAAAGTAGAACACAATTCCTCGAAAATATCACTGAAGACAAGACATGTGACAAGAGCTCTTGAAAGCCCATTATGTACAATCACTTTTTAATAATATAATGCACATTGTGTGCTGTAATGATGAGATTGTATGATTTTGATTTGCCATAGGGCTTTCCAAAGAAAAACAAAGAGGGCTCAGTATGTGGAAATATCCACAAGAACAAAACTTACTTTTCTAATGTGTGTTTCGCAATGTCAGTTACATCAGTAATGAGTTGTGTAAGACCTGAAATGATAACAAGTTTGGAATAATGAGATGTGTAAGACTTTATATTAAAACAAGTTAATCGGCATACTCATACCTTCCTCAATACAACCACGGGCTTTCAATTAGCTAGTTGAAAGCCCATGATACTACATAATTTCAGTATTTTAGATAGGCTTTGTATAAAAAACCTCCTACCCACGTACCCTCGTACCCACGTACGTGGGTCCTGACCCAGTCTTTAAAGAGTTAAATCTTTAACATTTTTTAAACATTATTCTATCTCAATGTATGCTTAATTATGGATGAATTTATGTACCCATATGCCTTTATTTGTAGATCGGACATCTGTCTCGTCATAAAATAAAGCCGGCATTCCATAATGTTCATTTGAGCTATTTGAGTGTTGTTTTTGATATATCGAAGCGATTTTTTGTTGATCGTTGGTCTTACAGTGTACAACCAATCTATTGCTTGGCGCAAATTGGCCACATGGGGCATGTGTTGTAAAGTGTTGTAGTTTTTGACTCCATGAGCAGAATATGGTCAAACTTTTACAACAAAATTCACATTGAATGACCTGGATGATTCTGGATTGACGAAGTTATTCAACTTTTCATCGGTCCTGTTTTTTAACACCCTGTAGTTTCGATTTTTATCACATATACTTTTTATTCTTTCAAACGATATTACAAGTATTCATTGTTTGCACGACAGATTTGAACTATACGTGTAATTTGTCTTATGTCTTTTATTTAATTTAACATCAGAATTGGAGATACAAAGTGATAGAGTGATCAATTCACACGATCTCAAGGAATAATAAAGGCTGCATTTCTGTTTAACCGTGGCGCAATTGAATAACGAAATATTTGAAAAGTAGAAGGATTCGCTATATTCGTTTTTAATCGCTTTTTGGCACAATTTAAGAATAATTGTGCGCACTAGTTCAGTGAATCATTTAGATGGAATTAAAAGTTAGAGTTGCCAAACTTATGCAGGGGAGTGTAAGTTTGGTTTTGTAAACTTCGACATTATTCATGGCCGTTTGATCCATAATTAGGTAATATGAAGAGTATAGTTTTATTTTGACAATGATTTGATGTAAAACTGGTTTGAATGATAAAAGTTCAGCTTTGTAGTTTCTAGCTTTTTGCGCGTAAAACGTGAATACGGGACAACAACGACACCAAATCTTTGACTAACATACGTTAATAACGTATAATATTCGTAAGAATGAATTCTAATAACATTTGAAATAAACATCTAATAAAATGTGGTGAATTTAATTGGTTGGAAACTCTAAGAAATATATTTTTAAAAAGATGTCAACTTTTGGACAAGGGTAAACTTCCCGGGACATTTACAATCTGCATGAGGTAACAGGAGGCACGGATTGCACTGGACGAAGGCTAGGAGATTGCTAATCAGCACTGATGTGTTATACAGGTAAGACTGCCCGATCAACAAAAAACATTTCGACATATCAAAAACATAAATCAAATAGCTCAAAAATAATGAACATTTATGCAATTCCGGCTTTATTTTATTTTACTTGAGAGATGTCAGACCTATAAATGAAGGCATATGGATGCATAAATTCATCTATAATTCAGGATAAACTGAGATTGAATAATGTTTTAAACATTTAAAAATTTAACTCTTTAAAGACTGGGTCAGGACCCACGTACGTGGGTACGAGGGTACGTGGGTAGGAGGTTTTTTATACAAAGCCTTTTAGATAACATGTTTATAATTAATACATAAGACTGACATCACATTTACATGCTTACACATAAAAATTTTGCTTTGTTGTAGACACAATGTTCTGTAACCCTACAGTCTAACAGTAATAGTATACAGACATAATTCCTTCCAGCACTGGAAGGAGCCCCCCCAAAAAATTTAGGGCTCAAAATCTGCTTCTCTCCACATAAATTGGGCAATTTAGGTAACAAACAAGTATTACTGGGCATTATTTTTAATGGAGCTATTTCAAAGAAACTGGGCTCAAATTTTCAGGTATGGCCCCCAAAATTTGGATCTTCGCCTCCTATTGATTTGCAGATCTGCCCCTATCTACTATTCATGTACAGGTGTCCCGAAAGTATGCCCCCCCCTAGGCACACATACACCAATGTTCCCATAGTATGTATCATATATCATTTTAAAGCTTATCCAAAGTTACATTGATTTGCCAAGTATCATCGTTCAACTTACAAATGGGAAAAAGTTATAGACATTTCAAAACTTAGTGTTTGGTCAAAATTAAAGTTAAAATCAGTATCCTGGAAACACCCCTAACCTGAATGTGACCATGAATATGGGTGCAATCGTCAAAGAGAGGATGGATATTGAGTTGTAAAAAGAGGTCGGTAAGGGCAGATACTCCAAGGAAACTCTTCTAAAATGCCTTAAAAATGCCATACCCCTATTTGAATTGCATTTAAGGCCATATCTGGAAAGAATTGCTGCTGTTAACATGGCCAAGGGAGACACGCTGAACATTAATTTTGTGTAAAACTAAACTTTGGTAAAACACTACATTTTGAAATGCGTGTAACTTTTTCCCGTTTGTGAGTTGAACCATGATACTTGGCAAATCAATGTAAGTTTGGAAAGCTTTAAAATGATATATGACACATACTATGGGGACATCTATGTATATCTGCCTAGGGAGGGGGGCATACTTTCGGGACACCCTGTATTAAAGACTTCAACATTTTCCAGTTCATGTTATTACCTTGACCTAGAAGATACTGCACATTGGCCAGGTATTTCTGTTGAATCTCAGGTGAGGCTACAGCAAGCTCAGGTGTCTGAAATGAGGCAAAAAGCAAAGGTAAATAAATAAAATATTTAGCATATCCCCTGCCTACAACATAAAAATAAGGTTTATGTTGTATTTATTGAAAACTATTGTGGTTCTACATGTTCTAGGGATTCTATTTTACTTGCCTATTTTGGAATTCATTTGTACATGTATCTATTTGATACTGTAGTAAAACATTATGTTTTATTGTACACAATTAACCAAAGTTTGATATAGGAGCAATAACCTCATCCCTAAACACAGTTAATCCAGTTATTTAAATCAATCTATTCAATCATCAGACTAACTTTTAAGATATAGGATTTTGCAGAATTGCAATGCAATAGCAGAGATGCAAATTTCATGTCTAAAAATATTAACTTACTGTGCCATTTCTGTTCAGCAGGTTGTCTAAGTACATGTATCCACCTATGATGTTTAACTGTACCCTAAGGTAGACCACAACCATACATACACTGTACATAGAGACCAGGGTTCGTGAAAAGCCTAAAACAATATAGAGTTTAAAACCTGTCAAGTCAACACCTCCATAACATGCATAAGGGCAACACTTCACATGAACCCAGTGACTTCATATTCACTCTTATTGAATTTTAACAGAACTTAAGTGTTTCAACTGCCTACTTTAATTTTAACTGTAGTATTGTAAAAGCAATTTTATTCTTACAACAACATAAGTTAAACATAGTTATGTCATTTCCATGGTTAATTTGACCATCATTAGGAGAAAATCAGTTGGGAAATCAGTGTGATAATGATTCTATATTCACATGGTTCAAATGATTGAACACTAAAATCTTACTTGTAATCTTTAAGTCCTCCCATATTTCAAGCTTATTTGCTGGCCTACAAAACATATATGTATATATACAAAACTAAATACACATTTATCTTCCTTGTAATGTATACAGGCAACAGACAGAACAGTTCTCAGACTTCATTAAAATAATAATCTACATTCTTGTACTCCAATCAATCAAACCGAATATCAAACTATACATCTTTCGTTTTGTTAACTCCACCCCAGGTAGAAGTTGATAAACTAACCTTGCTTTCAACTGTTCAGTGAGATGCTCAGAGTCGAGAGCTTTCATTAAGGTCTCCCTTAGGTTAGGCATCATGGACAACACTGTCATATTGCATGTCCTTTGATTACTGTCAAAATGATGCTGACGCCTGTAAAAATAAATTATAAAAAATAGATGTTTCATTTTCCTAATACTAATGGGCTTAGAGATGCATATGGCAGGTGAGAAAAAGGCTTGTTTTGTGACTCCCTGTTGCATTAGATAAAATGCAAACATTGCTCTCAGACTAACTTCCCCCCATATCATACCTTGCATGAGCTATGCAAAGTATTGTTACCTTTCCCCCATATCATACCTTGCATGAGGTATGCAAAAGTATTGTTACCTTTCCCCCATATCATACCTTGCATGAAGTATGCAAAAGTATTGTTACCTTTCCCCCATATCATACCTTGCATGAGGTATGCAAAAGTATTGTTACCTTTCCCCCATATCATACCTTGCATGAGCTACATGTACATGCAAAAGTATTGTTACCTTTCCCCCATATCATACCTTGCATGAGGTATGCAAAAGTATTGTTACCTTCCCCCATATCATACCTTGCATGAGCTATGCAAAAGTATTGTTACCTTTCTCCCATATCATACCTTGCATGAGCTACATGTACATGCAAAAGTATTGTTACCTTTCCCCCATATCATACCTTGCATGAACTATGCAAAAGTATTGTTACCTTTCCCCCATATCATACCTTGCATGAACTATGGAAAAGTATTGTTACCTTTCCCCCATATCATACCTTGCATGAGCTATGCAAAAGTATTGTTACCTTTCCCCCATAGCATATCTTGCATGAGCTATGCAAAAGTATTGTTACCTATCCCCATATCATACCTTGCATGAGCTATGCAAAAGTATTGTTACCTTCCCCCATATCATACCTTGCATGTGCTATGCAAAACTATTGTTACCTTTCTCCCATATCATACCTTGCATGTGCTAGGCAGTCTGCTGCCTCTTTCTCTTGAAGTTGCTGGATCTTTGACCTTGCATATTTTCCAAGGAGAACAACACCTGAAAATGAAGATAAATTGTATAAATATTTATTGGGGTTGAGATTTTTGTCTCAAAACAAACCCCAAAAAGCAAATCACCTAATAGCACAAAAATTGATACTAAAGTGCAGACATCATAGCTTAAACTTTGGCAGCTCAATATCGCATCAGATGTTGGAACTGAGACTGAGTGGACTGAGAGAGTCTTAGGTTTGATTCCATATTAGACCTAACTACATGTTATTTCTGTATCTTGCTTGTTTCATTATGCTTTACACGGGCTTGACATTGTTCAATATTCAATCCCCATCTGGCCCATAACAGTGTGCGAAAACAAAGTAAAAATTGGGGTCATTGGTTCAGTCGAAAAACCAGAAACGTTTCTTTAAAATGCCTTTTTATTGTCCCTAAATCTTGACACTGATGAGGTTAGAAGATCGCAATGTATCGATTCATCGCGACAGCACATTAGATTAGCCAATCCCACCTGTAGAACTTCATTTATTTAGCTCAACACGAAGTGATAGTCAATTGAAAATGAGACAGTGGTACCCTGCGTGCAGAGTCTAGTTAAACTACACTCTGCCTAGTAGAGACCATATTACGGGTACCGGTGACAGTTTGAGTAATAAATCACTTCTGACCTATGCGCTGACCTTTCTTCCACCATTCACCGAGCTTGAAGAAACACACGCCAAATACATTCTAATTAAATATGAGCATGTCATTGGTCAATTCCGGGCTCAACGATGACGTCAGAAGGAATGACCATATATATAACGTCGGTCAAATTTGGCCGACGAACACTGATTGGCGCGGTGAGTTCACAGGTTTATTTTAGTTTGAAAGAGTGAAGACGAAGCTCTCTTTTAAGAAGTGAAGTCAAACGAATGCAAAGGGTAGACAGTGGAGGCGTTTCTATTATTGCTTACTGGGGGTGTTCAACACCATTCATCAGTAAATCCAGTAAACTTTCGAATTGAGTTTGGCTTGGGAGCAAAGATTTACAAATTCATCTAAATAATTAGTCTACCTCCTACAACGGCCCCGGTGAACAAAAATTTGCGTCTGTGGCGCTTTACGAATCCCCAGATGCTACTGAGCATCGTTGTGTGGGGTTTGTCTTCATAGACTCTCTCTATAAAGTAGAATTGTGATGCGAGTACATTTAAAATGTCGAACTGCACGGGAGTTCGTTAAAATGTTTTTGAAAGAACTGCCAGATTACGCATTTTCTTTAGCGGAAGTGACGTAATCGAGCATCTGGCCATTGCCCCGCGCCGGTTGTCATTTGTTGCAGATTGTCTCCATTTTATTTCGGGTCTGGTGCAGTGGACTGTTTTCATAAAGTGCAGAAATTTTCAAAAGGTCGGTGAGTTTCTATATATATTCGATTTTACAAAGAATCAATTTACTATTGGTGTGTATTTGTTATCAATGTTTTCAGATTATGTAAAAAAAATCTTCAGTGGACTTGCGGGACTCTTGAAGCTGAAGGTGCATTCAGAACATTAGGTCAGATACGAGAATGGATATCAGGGGGTTTACCTATTACTTAAATATAACAATCCCCTGCACTCCCTTGGTGTAACCTATCTATAGATAACATAAGGGGGGGGGGTAGGCTTCTGTTATATGCTTATTCGCCACTAGCCTAAAGACAGTGAGCACTATCAATAGATGGTGCTGACTGCACGGCTTGTAAGCTTAGTCTTAGCAGCTTAACTTATCCTCCGAACGCAGCGTGCCAGACATCATTCACCACATTCCTTCGGGACGAGTTCTGAAGGCCTATGTTGGGAGGATGGCTTACTTCTGCATGTTCGGAACTTTGCTGCATTCCTCAATACATGTACATGTTATTTTTCAAATAGGAATCACTCCTTCCCCACATTGTCTACCTCTTTCAGTTTTGTATTCCGGCTTTGAGTGATTGTTACAGCTGCCCTGGTATTCAATATTTGTAAATTATGGTGACACACGCACAGTTTTTACGGCATAATTATATGAACCATACCTTTATGCATATATTAAATTCCAAGATTAGTTCGTCAATGCATCATCCACGAGGAAATTTATCCAGATCAGATTGCGGAACGTACCAATTCATGGCCCCAGGTTTTGCGTGCCTACAATAGAACGACTATTTTGAAGTCGAAAAAGATTGACAGACTTATTTCTTACCCCAATCGATTCTAAACAGGAAATGTTCTCTCAAAGTCAAAAAGTTGCTGCCGTCTCATATTGCAGAGGGGCACAGTTCAAGTGGAGTATTTCAAAATGTCCATCATCAACTTTGGAAATTACCTTTGGGTTGGAGCATTACCAAGTGAAGTAATCACATTTTGATTTTGGTAATGCTCATAAGCACTCAGAAGTAATTTTCGAAGTTGATGGCGAACAATTTGAAATACTGGCTGATTTAAAAATTGAAGTGTAAACTGTACATGTACCTCTGCAATTTGAGACAGCCACAACTATTTTGACTTTGAGAGGACATTTAGAGTGGTGTTAGCCTACAAAAGAAACCAGATTTAAGTTACCTCATTTCAGTTATGCTTGTACATGTATTTGTACAGTTTGTAATGTTACACTTGATATTATTTACATGTGTTTTCATCCATAACAAATGGTAGGTGGTGACCTTGTGCATGTAATGCGTGACCTTGTGCATGTTAATGCCCTGATTCTTTTTATAAAAGTTGTTAAATTTTCTTGTCTACTATAGGGTATCTATATTTCATGTTTGGAACTGATTCCCTATCTTCAGATTAGAATTCAGATTAGTCCCTTCAATATACCTCTCCAGGGTCCTCAGAATTGCCCTTTGCAATTTTACATTTTACTCAAGTTTATTATTGTTACAGGTTGGTTGCTGTCCAAGTCCAACAACTGATAATGCAGTTAAGAAGCAGATCTGTCGGTAGCAGTGATGATAAATCGGCAAAGGTTGCAAATGGGAATGGTGACTCCGGAGCTACATGTACCAATGGCGTAGCTAAGAATACAATCATTGCTGAGCCAACAACTCATATTCTGTCTTGGCCAGAGTATGTTCTCTATCAGATTGTGACGCCATTATTTTTGATCACCTGTTCCCCAAATTTTATCATCCTTTTGTGGTTCACTTGCACAAAATGTGATGGCAGTTTCATGAAGCTGTACAACGATCATTTCGTCAAGGATGGTGTCGTGACAACTTTAGTTAGTATTTGGAGCTCGATAAGCATTATCAACCCATTCACTCTGTGCTTGATATACGGCTATGCGCTCTTTGCTTTACTTCTACAAATCATGGTACCTGGGCCCAGGGCGGAAGGGCCTGTAACCCCTAAAGGAAATGTACCCGTCTATAAGGACAATGGATTCAGTTGCTATGTCATCACCATGGTAACATTCGCTGGATTGACCTACTATCTGAAACAACATGGAATGTCGCCTACAATTGTCTATGATCGCTTCGGTGAGATTCTAGGGGCTTTGAACATTTTTAGTCTCCTAATCTGCTTGGTTTTGTACTTCAAAGGAAAATACATGCCTTCAACAGAGGATAACAGTACGACTGGGAATCCACTGTTTGATTACTACTGGGGAACTGAGCTCTACCCAAGAATATTTGGAGTCGATGTGAAAGTATTCACCAACTGCAGATTTGGAATGACTGTTTGGCCATTATTGGTCTGTATCTTTGCCCTGAAGAGCTATGAACTCCATGGATTTGTAGACAGTATGTTTGTCTGTACATTCCTCCAGATGTTTTATTTCACTAAGTTCTTCTGGTGGGAGGCAGGTTACATGGGTACCATTGATATAATGATGGATCGGGCAGGGTTCTATATTTGCTGGGGATGTCTTGTTTATATCGCTGGTTTATATGGATCGGTAAGTCTCTATATGGTAAACCACCCAGTTCAGCTTGGTGTCGGTTTAACCGCATTGCTTCTCACTGTGGGAATCTTGAGTACGATTGTCAACTTCTGGGCTGATATGCAAAAGCAACAAGTTCGTAACTCTAATGGAAATTGTCTTATATGGGGCAAAAAACCTGACATCATCAGAGCTAAATATCGCATTGAAAATGGGGACGTCAAAGAGAGTATTTTACTCGCGAGTGGATTCTGGGGTATATCACGTCATTTCCATTACAATGCTGAGTGGTTGCTTGCCTTTGCATGGAGTGTCCCAGGTTTATTTGAGAATGTCATGCCTTATGTCTATTTTATTTGGCTCTTGATTCTTCTTTCTCACAGATCATTTCGGGATGACACAAAGTGTCATAACAAGTATAAGCAATACTGGGAACAATATCGCCAAAAGGTACCATACAAAATTCTTCCTTATGTCTATTAGATAAAAAATGAAGTATGAAATCTGAATTCCAAAATGTGCATGTAGTCTTAGCTGTATGAGGAGTGAAAAAGAATTGTCACAAAGTAGTCCACCTTGCATTAAGCTCCTGTGTTGCACCAACAATTCTCTTACACTTTACTGAAATAGATATTAAAGGTGGCAGAGGCTTAATGCAAGTCTGACTAAAATAAATGTATATAATTATAAGTGTTGTTTTACATGCTTTGTTTAATGTTGAAATGAACAAAATTGCCCTAACAATTGCTGTTGAGATTTTTGCTTTGATCAGTAGATGGACCAAGCCATTGTACTATTTAATAATTTGCATTTATCCAGTCTTCAGGCAGTAAAGAAATGGTGCTCCAAGAGCTTAAGGGGAGCTCCCCTCCCAATTTCCCCTAAATAATATGGATCCAATTTATGACATGTGTAAAAGCTTTTTAGGTCAGAATTGGCTATTCTAAATCAGAATTGGCAATTGTTTAGACCATCTCTCGATAGCTTTGGATAAAATTACAACCGAATCTACTTGCATAAAGGAGGAGGGAAGTTAGCGCAACAGATTTTGGACAGTCATATGTTTGATTTTGGCCATTTCCTGGGGATTTAAACAGGTGCATATGTTATGGGAATGCATTACCTCTGGGAAAATCACTTCGAGAGATGATAAAATAATTTTGACTTTGAGACAGGGTAGATGCAAACAACCCACCCACATGTTTTTTCTGAAATGTTTTCCTAATTTTCAACCCCTTCCATCCCTGTTTTTTTTATTTTTCTTGCATCAATATGTTGCGTTTTGACACACAGTTAATCCCTTAAAAGGAATAAATGATTCCTTTTAGACAAAGTGGAAAACAATATTTCCCATGTTATTTTCCCATAGGAAAAATCATTGCTTTCAGCTAAGTTTGGTCACCCATAATGGATATCTTTAAAACCCCTGAAGGAATCACTTTTTCCTTTAAAGTGGTTAACTATGTGTCAAAATGCAACATATTGATGCAAGAAAAATAAAAAAAGCAGGGATGGAAGGAGTCGAAAATTAGGAAAACATTTAAAAAAAAGCATGTGGGTGGGTTGTTTGCATCTACCCTGTCTCAAAGTTGAAATTATTTTACCATCTCTAGAAGTGATTTTCCTGGAGGTAATGCATTGGCCTAACATATGCAATTGTTTAAATCCTCAGAAAATGGCCAAAATCCAACATATGACTGTCCAAAATCTGTTGCGCTAATTTCCCTCCTCCTTTAAGTGATTTCTCCATACAAATGATAACATAATAATTGTGACAAAGGCAATCTCAAAATAATAACCGATAATTATTGATAATTTTCTGCTAATAGACTGTGTTTACATAGAAGTTATGAGTTTTTAATATGTACTGTATGATTTACACTGTGTCATGTATAAAGAATAGACGATTAGGGTACGTAGGCAGTCAGCATTCGAACGCACAGTATCTTATTTGAACAACTGAATATTTATCTGTATCTGACCACATCATGCAATATTATATAAAGATTGTCTTAGGCAAAATAGTATATCTTTGTTAAAACAATTAATTCGAACCACTATGAGAAAAAAATTCAGGTATTCAGAATAAAATATTTTGTAAGGAATCAGCTGTTGATCGAACTTTGAGTTGAACTGATAATTGTTATTCTTAAACATTAGCAGTCAGTGTGCCAAAGATATTAATTTAGGTCTATGCATTATTAACGTGAACAGAACTTCATTCTCCAAATGTTATCAAAGTACTGAACTGAAGTGCTTGGAGATTGAAGACTCAAGTGAATAGGCTCATTCTGCTCATTTTTAATGTGAATGCAATTATTGATTTTCGTCAATTTATTGTTATGTCATTGAGTCAGTACCATTGGGGTATCTTGCCAAGTTTAAATATAATTATCATTCTCATCTACTAAAATCAAATGTTTGGAAGGATTTAAGAGATAAATTGTTTTTAATAACTACAATTGGTTGTATAAGGGTTGTGTCTAATCAAAATGAGGCAAGTTCCAATGGTCTGCCCTAAAGTTGTTTACATTCTTCTGTGATATTACAGATTTATGGTGAAAACAGTTGTTTGTTGACACAAATATGAAATATGTTGGGTCAGGCTGAGCAGTTACAGAAACCCTTGAAATTTTTGTATAGAAATAATGACTCTTGCAAAAAGAAACGATATAATCTGTAATACATGAATTAGCAAGCATTGCCAAAAAATTGAAGTTATTAGATATGAATTATATTATTATTAACATCATCATTATTGTTATTATTACATATTGTAAGCATTCTTTTGACATCATCTATTTATCATATTGGCAGTGGACATTGGCACAATTATTTTGCTAATTTGATACTGTATGAGAACAGGTGTCATTGTGTTATGGACATATGCTACATTCATTGTAATATGCAATTTTCAACTGCAATGTTGTTTATTATTTATTAACTGAAGTTGCAGATGAATCTCTACAAGATATGAAAATATATGCTACTAAATACTGTCTTCATATTGTTTTTATATAGATCTCAGTATTATATATTTTAGCAATAATTCATTTTTCTGCAGTTTTCGAATTTGTATTTTATGAACACTAGCGTTGTGAAATGAGCTATGCATGAAGCAATTTATCGGCACTGAAGTTTGTAAGCCATTTACAAATTAAATGATCTGTTATGATTTTGTACAGTATTTGTATATTTTTGAGGACTTTTGTAGGTATCATACAAAATGTAACACTCCCCAGTGATATTGAATTCTTTTTTTATGAACATAATGAAAAATTGTATTTACAAATGGTATTATGGTATATATGCAAGTTTGCCAAATGTATGTAAAGATCTCTTGGACGTTTATAACTCCGATAAAACTAAACAGAAAATATCTGTCGATTTTATATGAAATTATTATTGATATGCTAACAAACTCATAATCAGAAACAACTTGATATTGTACTTATATCAAATAACAAAATGTACACAATTGTATTATTATAGCCATATTTACGCACAATGATATGACAATTGTTACAACACTGTATAACATACTAATGTTTGTCTTGTGAAATAAAAGTGTTAATTGAGAATATCCATTTTCTGTTATAATTCATATCATGGATGGATAGGAGAGCAGTTCAAACGTTGCTAATACAACTCACTTGGTTTGAATAGAATAGTACATGTATGTGTATATAAGTGCAAACTTTAAGTTGAAAGTGAATTTTTTTTACATGAGCTACTCCCCTTCAACAAATTAGTAAAGCAAACCAAAATTGAACTTGCAAACTCCCTTTGTTGTCATCCTTTCTAGTAAAACTAGAATAAATGAATGGAATTGGAATTGAAGAGGCTAAATATCTTTCTATTGTCATAAAAATTATGAAGAGAAATGTACCACATACTGTAAAACAGGTAATTTTGACACCGGGAAATTTTAGCGATTTTTCAATTTTAGGGGGTTTTAGCGCGGGATATTTTAGCGAAATGAAGATCAATCTTTAAAAAATCAAATTAGCGAACTGCATTAGAAATTTTATCATTTATGGCAGAAGAATGAATGACGGACATGACAGAGGAATTATCAAAATGTAACACTTCTAACGCACATGGTAGTGGTCCAAACTACTGTAATCTCATCTGACTAATCACAAAATCACGGTAGCATTTAAAATTGTTGATTTTTCGGTCCAAATTACAAACCGGAAGTCGAGCACTGAACGAAAAGTTCCTTAAATACTAGTATTCATGTAGTTTCCCGGGAATTTGCAAATTTTAGCGCCCGGTTTATTTTAACCCCGGTTTATTTTAGCGTATTGAATTTTTAGCGAAACTATAGCGATCGCTAACAATCGCTAACAATTACCCCTCGCTAACAATACCCGTTTTACAGTATTCATGGAAATGTGTTCACTCAAAAGTCATTAACATTTTTCTCAAGGCATACTTAAGACAATGAAGTCTTAAAAGACAAGTTTTATCTTACATTATTGACCTCTATAGCGCAAGCTCAGCACCGCCAATAGGTTTGCAAGATGCCCCACACAGGGAGGATCAGGAATTTGACACAAACACTCTTCAAGGGGGTGGAATCTTGACAGTGTTTGACCAGCTATTAGAGAGTTTAAGCTTGCATGTAAAATCAAAACGTCAACCTATATGTATGACTAATTGCCCATACAAATGCACCGCTTAAATATTTTCCACTCACATTTAGGTTGTGAAAAAAATTGTAAGATTAAACTCCCTAGTTTTGTTCCTAGGGTGGAGATATTGACTCATTAGGTTTTTCCAGGGGTTTTGACGAACCAATTTTTTTATTTCATCAAAATCACCATTCCTTTCCGCACGATGAGAGGTCTCATGTAAACCATTGAATGGTGCATTATTTGTCCATATTGAGTACAAAATACTTCTGTTACAGTAAAACCTGTGTACAGTGAACCCCTAAGGAGCCACACAAACATGTTCACTGTAGGTAGGTGTTCACTAAAGAGAGGTCAGTTGAGTATGTGAGGAGAAAGGGTGTCCACTTGAGACAGGAGTGAATCACTAGAGAGAGGTGTTCACTAGAGAGATGTTCACTGAGACAGGTTTTACTGTGCTTGTATATAACTCCAGATAGTTATATTTTCAAATGTTCTCATATTGTCATCACACATACTCCCCACAGTCTGCTATCATACACTTCTGTACTGGTTTTCCTGATTTACTTCCTAAATTCTGAAAGCATAAAGGAATTAAAGTGAAGTTAAATTATGACATTTATACTTGAAAATATTGTACTAGCATTCACTTCTTACTTTTTATTGTCACAGGATACTAAAAGACAACATTATTGTTGCAAACAAAGTCAAGGCATTTGGCTGGATGCACAATTTGTGAAAGCCTTAACATTGGACCATAGAAATATATGTATTCATATTCTACTAGCACAGTAACACACATTCAAACATACATGTATATAAGGTAATAAGGTGAGAAGTCATGCAAATTCATTTCAAATTAAAACTGATGCCATGATGTAATGACAGAATGATTGAACAGCTAGACATACCTCCATTTTTCGTACTACATCCATGCCATCTATAACTCTCCCAAACACTACATGTTTATTGTCTAGCCTGGAAAAAATGATGGAACATATAATGGCATACATTATGGGGAAGATGTGCCCCTTTATTAAGTTGTCCCAAAAGCTAAAGCAATATGTTCTACATAATCAATTTAGTTAACTATAACTAAATGGATGTTTTAGATTTTTTAGTGTAAAATGGGAATTTAAAAAAATAGTTTTTCGCTATTTTAGGTGAGGAAATGATTTAGTTCTCTTGGTGGTGACATAAAACAGATTTACATGTAGATTTATAATATCTCAATGAACTTTATCAACCTACCATTCAGTGGCTTCTGTACATATAAAGAACTGAGATCCATTTGTATTTGGTCCAGAGTTTGCCATAGATAATGTACCTTGAAATAGAACAATGAAAATATTAGTCCAAGGGCTATGAATTCTGGGAAAAGAGGCACAGATCCCGAGCCAGATCCAGCCCCTAAAAGAGACACTACACCAAAGTTCCATGATTTATTTTAGATATGTTTGAAAAATATCAACATCAATTCTAAAAGATTGTGAGATAATGTGCAAGGATTATAAAACATCAGTACAAAATAAAATTCACTGGTGGATTGTGAAAGGGGGAGGGAAATTAGCGCAACAGATTTTGGACAGTCACATGTTGGATTTTGGCCATTTTCTGAGGATTTAAACAAGTGCATATGTCAGGCCAATGCATTACCTCCAAGAAAAGCACTCCTAGATATAAAATAATTTTGACTTTGAGACAGGGCAGATGCAAACAACCTATCCAAATGTTTTTTTCTGAAATGTTTCCCTGATTATCAACCCCTTCCATCCCTGCTTTTTAATTTTTCTTGCATCAATATGTTGTGTTTTGACACACAGTTAAGGAATAAGTGATTCCTTTTAGATAAAGTGGAAAACAATATTTCCCATATTATTTTCCCATAGGGAAAACTCATGCGATCCATTGCTTTCAGCTAATTTTGGTCACCCATAATGGATATCTTTAAAACCCCTGAAGGAATCACTTATACCTTTAAAGTGGTTAACTGTGTGTCAAAATGCAACATATTGTTACAAAACAAATTGAAAAAACAGGGGTGGAAGGGGTTGAAAATCAGAACAAGATTTCAGAAAAATATGTGGGTGGGTTGTTTGCACCTCCCCTGTATCAAAGTCGAAAATACTTTATCATCTCTATGAGTGTTTTTTTCTGGAGGTAATGCATTGGCCTCACATATGTACCTGTTTAAATCCTCAGAAAATAGCCACAATCCAACATATGACTGTCCAAAATCTGTTGCGATACTTTCCCTCCTCCTTTAAAACATCAAGCCATAGTTTTATTTCATATTTTCAATGGTTAAACTATATTGTAGTTGATCAAAAAGAGATGGCAATCAGCCAACGTGTAAAAGAAATAATTCAAGTAATGCCTGAGTCACATTTGCTCCGATCCATCGGCCGGCGCCTGGCCCACTGAGTGTTTTGTTCAATATCGAATTCAATTTTGGACAAAATACTCAATCGCCCAGGCGCCGTAGTGAAAATCGGAGCAAATGTGACCAAGACATTATACAACAATGACTGCACAGAGTGCGTAAATTACATTTCAAACTCACCTGGACTAGTATGTTTTAAAACAAAATTTTCATCATTAAATTTTCCACCATATATGGACTTCCCTCCAGTTCCATTGTGGTTTGTGAAATCTCCCCCTTGGCACATCTGGGATGAAAGTTAAGAGAAATACACATACATGTACTACACTCAATATCTCTAGTCTCATTGTGATAACATTTACCAGTTTGCCGAAAGGATTCAGGGATAGGATGTTCGGAGGGGACATTTCTTGTTTATATCAAATCCAAGCACATTTTTAGGGAACAGTTTATACAAGAACAGATTGTTCCTAAAACTTTGATTTGCAGATCTGAAAATAGCTCATTCTATATCCACATATTCCGACAATGCTAGGAGGCAAATAGATGAGACACTTTTAGAAAATAACTCTAAATCTTGAAACCATTTAAAAGGATACAAATGAAGGTATAATTCTATGGAATGAACTTCCTTTGAAGCCAAATCCTTTTTCGTGAGTGCACAAACATCTAAAGTTTTCTGAAACATAAAGAAATATTTTTGTTAGTAAAAACATATGAAGATTGGTCGACTAAGAAGAATCAAATAAGAACTACAAAATACATTAAGAAAGGTCAAGGTCAACAGGTCAATATATTGATGTATGCCCAAAAACATGATTTAATTATTATTACATTTGAAAAGGATGGGCTTCATTATGTTCTCTGAATGACATCAAATTCAAATTCTATTTTGGGCTAAGTCAATGTATTAATGTTTATCCACAAACATAGTTTATTAAATTTGAGGAAAGGGTATAACAATAAAATTGTTTTATTGCAAGCATTAGTTTTTAAAAGTCAACAAATTGAATATCATTAAACAATAAATTTTGAATTTTCGAGTTTTCATTTGAAATCTTACAGCTGGAATTTAAGAACAGTAAACTATGTCTATATATATATATGTATACAGCTGCTGTACCTGCAGTTCTTGGAACTACATCAGCTCTCAGTTCACAAACAATTCTTCCAGCATCTCTGCCACCTATCTTGATGTCCAAGTACACCTGGCTATTCCCCTTTGATTTCTTGCTTGCAGGCTCTGTAGTCTAAAATATTAAGAATGTATTTTTGTAGTCCTGCATCTCTGGTACTCTGGTATTTATTTTCCTTACTACTTGTGAGTATCAGAATGGGAGATATGTCCCAATAGCATGGGGGTTTGATGCAAGAATAGTTTTTTGGATTACATCATAAAGTACACAATATTGTACAAGTATACTGTCAGTTTCAGAATGATATTTCATTAATGTTATTGCATATCAAAATAATAACAAATATTGAAACAGTAAGAAATGTGTTGGGCTTAAAATGAGCGGATGCTTTATTATACTAAGTAAACGTAAAATAACAAGAACATAAACACTTTTATAAAAACCGCCCTTTAAACGTTTGTACAATATATGTCGAATGAATTAATGAAGTACATGTACAGGGTGGGTGGGTGTGGAAAAATTTTGTTCACTATGCATGCACTCTGACGGCTATTTCAAAAACTAGCAATATGTATGATGCGACATCTATCTCAAACATTACATTAAAGTCAATTTGCAAGCAAATAACCAAATATCTCACTGATACACACATTATAAAAGTATCTAAATATCACGGGGTACTAACTTCGACCATTAATTTGAATTTTTGACCTACCAGATGTTTTAAAATCAAGGATTGCGAGTCTCATACTGCACCGCTTTTTTTCAAACTTCAAACTTCCATCCAAAGCATAACAAAAATGCCTTTCTGTTGGCACATTATTCTGTCATGCAGAGTCCCTTCTTTCAGAAGCATTTGAGTTTCTCATAGCTTGGGACCAAAACGCTGCTAAAACGAGGGACTCTGTACAATAAAGCAATGCACCGACAGAAAGAAAATTCTGTTTTGATTTGAATGGAACAAGTTTGAAGAAAAACGGTGCAGTATGAGGCTTGCAATCCTTGATTTTCAACCATCTGGTAGGTCAAAAATTCAAATTAACGGTAGAAGTTAGTATCGCATGAATATGAAAACTCTCAATGTCACAACAGTGTTCACTCAAGGTATTACCATTTAAGGAATTTGTGTTGTAGTCTCCCATACAGGTTTTAGAGTGCGCGAAACATACTCGTATAGTCTCTCAGATAGGATTCTCTGTATATGAAAATGGAACTTTAATGAAAGGTCCCAAAAAGATTTTACTGTATGGATAGGCGATCAGCCTGGGGGGTTGGTCAGTACCAAATCAGGGGAATAATGGCCATGGTGATTTTTGGGAAGGTGTACACCCCTAGAGTAAGAAAATATGTGATAGCATTGCAGAAGTGGCAGCTAAATGGGTATTATCACCCATTTTTCAAAATGGCTGCCAGTGCGCTTGCTACCAAATGAAAGAAGTAATTTTAGGGTCTAATTCTGGGTTTTAGGGGTCACTGATTCGATTTATGCCTCAATCCAAGTCATCAAAAACATAAATTCATACGAAAATCCAAGATGGCCACCAATTTTGGTTCAAAAACAAATATGTAACTAATGATACAAGTTAAAACGTTTCAAAATGATTTTGAAGAGTTTTAGAAGAGGTTTTAAAGTCTCAGGATTTTATTCATGTCTAAATCTATGTCATCAAAGGATTACATTATATGTAAATCCAAGATGGCCGCCAAAATAGGTGCCAAAGGGAATTTTTGTATTGACACATGCTCAAAGAACAGATAAAAAGCAATTTTATAGATCATGAAAGGGTTTAGAGGTTAATGATTTCACTTATGCTTCATTTTAGTCTAAGAAATCAAATAATTACTTTTCATAGAAAACCAAAATGGCCGCCAATATGGGTGCCGAAACTAACATGTAACTATTAATGTAAGCTCAAAGAATAGCTAAAATGTAGTTCTGTAGATCATGAAAGGGTTTGGGGATCAATGATTTTATTGTCTTAGTTTTCAAAGAATAACTTGATGTGGAAATCCAAGATGGCTGCCAAAATGAGTTACCAAAATAATTTACCATTAATATAAGCTCAATGAACAATTACAAAGTGATTTTGGAGATCATGTCTAGGTTTCAATGGTCGAGAATCTTAAGTCAATGGCTAGGTTTCAATGGTCGAGAACTTTAAGTCATCAAATAATTATTTTATTTGGATATTTTTATTTTGATACATGCTCAAAGAACAGATAAAAAGCAATTTTATAGATCATGAAAGGGTTTAGAGGTTAATGATTTCACTTATGCTTCATTTAGTTTTCAAAGAATAACTTGATGTGGAAATCCAAGATGGCTGCCAAAATGAGTTACCAAAATAAGTTACCATTAATATAAGCTCAATGAACAATTACAAAGTGATTTTGGAGACCATGTCTAGGTTTCAATGGTCGAGAATTTGAAGTCAATGGCTAGGTTTCAATGGTTGAGAACTTTAAGTCATCAAATAATTATTTTATTTGGATATTCAGGATGGCAACCAAAATGGCTGCCAAAATGAATAATTAATTTTGGAACATATTCATTTGGATATCTAAGATGGCCCTGATGTGATGTACCATCTCAATTGTACTCTCTTCATCAAAACAATGAACTGGTTTATGAAAGCACAAGAGTCCTAATATGGAGATCTAAAAGGGAATGATGATACAAGACATCCTTCTTGCCGAGCCTTTATGGACATCATTAAAATTATGACCTAGTCATTCCCTGGAGCATAACGGATTTTAAGCTGCTTGGAGAAGATGAGATGTATGTAGTGCAATCCCAGGAATCTTTTCAACTGATTGGTATACAAAGGAATATCCTTTGTATTCATTCGACTTCGCTTCTGAAAAGAGAGCTTCATCCATCTCTAGTTTAACTAATTAAATATATATTTTGACAAAAGCATCTGTAAGAACTAGAAAAATGGATGAAAGCTATTGACCTTAGCAAGCAATGTAGGGAGTTAGTACATAGAGATTATCCTATATGAGGTTCAGGATATTGGGATTATCCCGAGGCCAATATAATATATCTGCCCGAGGGCCGTAGGTCTGTGAAGAAAGGACAAACTCAATCCAAGTCTACAATTACACAGAAGATAATATCTCGGATGGACTGAAGAGTGCCGAGTATGAAGATCTCTTTGACAAAGTAAGGTGTAAAGGGTGGAAGGTGAGACACTTTCCAGTGCATGTAGGCTTTAGAGGCTTCCGATATTCTTCTCGGAACATCATGTTGAGAGAACTAGGTCTGCAGCCTGTGAACTTCAAGATGGCAATAAAGGAAATAGGTTTGATGGTTGAGTCATGCTCCATGTGAATGTGTTAATTTATTTTGGCAGCCACCCGTTTGGTGACCATTTTGGATTCTAATATGAGGAAAGGTTAAGATAACTAATTAAAGTCTAGTAAATTGAAACCATTTTCTCCTGAAACCCAGTCTCAGATATCTATAACATAACTATTCTAATTTTTCTATGTGCTTATAAATTCATTTTTGCAGCCATTTTAGATTTCTATATAAAGGTATTCTTTAATCACTTCAATTTACACATGAATGGAATCCTTAACCTATAAAACCTTACCATGGTCTGCAAAAGCAACCGTTTTTTAAGTTCACATAAATAGTTACGTATTCATTTTGACATCCATTTTGGTGGCCATTTTGGATTTCTATGTAAAGTAGTTCTTTGATTACTTAGATTTAGAGACAAATAAAATCCCTAGCCTCTAAAACCTTTTCATGGTCTCCAAAGTCACTTTTTAACTGTACTTTGAGCTTTTTGAACTTATATCAATAGTGACATATTTGTTTTGACATCCATTTTGGCGGCCATCTTGGATTTCCAATTCTTTGATGACTTATGACTTAGATTTTGACTTAAATGAAATCCTTGACCCCTAAAACCCCGAAATAGACCTCAAAATCACTGTTTTTGTCTCTCAGTATTCTTAGATATAACTTCTTTTATTTGGTAGTAAGTGCACCAGCGGCCATGATAACGCCCATTTAGCTGCCACGCCTGCAATGCTATCATACAATTTCTTACTCTAGAGGTATTTACCTTGCCAAAAATCACAATGAGACTTATTCCCCTAACTTGGTACCGATAACCTAAATTTTGGGGTGAAGCTGATGGCCTAGGATCTAACTGTTGTTTTTTCAAACATAGGTTTTACAACATGAGGAACTTACTACAGTATTTTCCCACTTTGTTTTTACTGTATGAGAAACTTACAGTACTTAAGTGAGTAGTCTCTCACATTAATTATAGAATCCCAAATAGGCATTACCATATGTGAACCTTTCTATAGTAGTCTCCAACTTAGGTCCTACCCATGTGAAACTTACTGTTGTAGTCTCTTCAGCAGACCTCTTCTGTCCCCCAGTCTCTCCCCCCTCTTCATCATTGTCATTATCTAGTGTGGCACCCGCATGTTCCTTCAACCATGTGTCCTCCGACCATACTATAATGATCAATAAATAAACATCTTTCCATAAATGCAATATGACCTGCATTGTTACTGCTCAAGAGCTGTCATGTGATTAACAATATAGCTTAATATAGATTAACTCATGAGATCTGTATGAACATTAAATCACTTATAATACAAGGGGCGATCAATAAATTTTGCAGGTGACCTTCTACCTTGCAAATTATTTGGAGTCATGTCATGAGACTTGGCAGAAATATAGTAAGAGGAATACCAACAAATATTTGAAAGAGTCAAATATTTATGAGCAACATGTGTTTAAAATATGGTTGTTATGGCAACTGTTGAATAGGTACTTGATGCACATTCAAATATCAAATTGTTTTTTTAATATTATGTTATCCTCATTGAAATGGTTAATAAGAAGCCCCATCTTTTGTTATTAACTTCAATTTTAATAGTAGCTTCTTTAGTGACATAGTATTTGATTGAAGATGTGCCTTATTTTCCTCAAAATTGGTCCAAAAGTTTTTAAGTCCTATCACGATCCAAAAGCAAACACTAGTGTTAACCTCTAAATGTACTTATGTCAGATAATTTTCTGGGAAGATCCCCAGGTTATCAGATGATAGGGGACATTATTAACTTATCGACCATTGCTATGTAATTACATTGTATACATATCCGATTCAAAGTAAACTAAAAATCGGCAACTCCATGGAGTAGCAAATCCCAAGGAACACTATATTCATGAATGTCACAATAAATGTCACAATGTAATATTTACCATTTACTCTACCCTTGGTTAAATTTGCAGAAATTAAAAGACATACTATATAAACTTTTCCACCAATTTAATTGTGATCAACTCTAAAATTCCTTCAATTTGAGAATAATCTTGCCATATTTTGAAGAGATCATAAAATTATTGCGTAATTCCTCATTAGATAGCCATTTTGAATTTACGAGGCCAGAATCAGAAAAATGATACAATATTTGCAATCTACACTTATTATATTTTTTATTACTTTGTTTTTTGCATAAAACAGCAATATACATCTTTCCACCACATATGAAGAAAATCTGTCCACTATTATTATCTTATGGACAGACAGATTGACAGACTGATGGACGGAGGGCTTCACTATATCCCTAACGAACTTCATTCATTGGGATAATAAAAACTAATCTATAAGGAACTTTAATTGGTTAATTAAGAGTACAATGTAATTGGTAAACCACTCACACAATCTTAATGTTAACTAATATTGAATGCATAATTAGAAAACAAGGCAGCTCACTTGAATGATAAGAATTCTTCATGTGACAGGACTGGGATAAACATTGACTTTCTAACTTTATGCATTTATTCTTAAGTAAGACAATGCAAGTATCTTTAGAGACCGTCACAATAATATTTCTACAGGTTGTTTTAGTGTATTCCGAAACAACACTTATTGGAATATCGCTTTCTAAACATCAAATTACGAATGAGGCATACATTAAAGTCCCTTATGCAGAGAGACTGAGCAACCCTCTAAGGTCTTTGAAAGTTTTGACAAATATTGCCTGTGCTACTAGCTGTTCTGCTTTACCAGAGAAATGCACATCATACAACCTACGCAAGATTAATGGAGAGAAAAATACCAAAGTTTGTGAGTTAAATGGACCATATTTGGGACGTGAACATCAAAGAACAACAGTTGACAATGCTGACTTCCAGAGGATTAATGCAAGGAGCCTGGTCAGCAGATAGATATGATACGCAGACATGGATTCAAGCAGACCTTGGTGAAGTTATGTTAGTGACGGGAGTGATCACTCAGGGAAGAGATTCATATAGCCAATGGGTGAAATCATACAAATTTTTCTATGGCAAAACTGACAGCAATCTGGAACACTATGGATCGGTAATAAAACATTTGTACATACGATCGTAATGTCCTACATTTGTCAAAAGCTCAAAAAGCTCAAATTTTGTATAATCATTCTCAATGTAAATTTTCACAACATGATTTTCTTTTTTCAGATTTTACAAGGGAATGCAGACCGAAGCAGCAAAGTTACTAACATGCTTCAGCCACCTGTGCTAGCCAGATTTGCCCGCATCAATCCACAGAGTTTTTATAATCACATATCCATGAGGTTTGACATACTTGGATGCTAAGAGACAAGAAAATTATTATGGGGCCAAATATAGACATGCGGTAGTTATACTACTGTATAAATACAACGTTTGAAATATGAATTAATTTAGCTTTCTATTTTAGTTGTAACCTCCATCCTATCTTGATGTTAACACTTCTCAGAAGAAGTAAAATTCTTCCCTTTTGAAACATGACAAATAATAATATAGTTTTGAAGATGAAGAACTCGTTGTCAATGAATCTTCATATAGCAGCACTAATGGCAATATCTGATATACACAAAATCTTTTGAGAAAAGAAGAAATTGTAACCCTAGACAGAATTATATCCAATAAAACTTTTGTTTACAAATGAAAATGAAATTCATGTATTTTATTTACAGAATGAATGCATTGAGGTATTAACAATGCAATGACCAAGGTGTGAAAACTTGAACAATAAATAAACATCTTTCCATTAATGCAATATGACCTGCATTGTTACTGCTCAAGAGCTGTCATGTGATTAACAATATAGCTTAATATAGATTAATTTATGAGGTCTGTATGAACATTAATTCACTTAAATTACAAGGGGCGATCAATAAATTTTGCAGGTGACCTTCTACCTTGTAAATTATTTGCAGTCATGTCATGAGACTTGGCAGAAATTTAGTAAGAGGAATACCAACAAATATTTGAAAGAGTCAAACATTTATGAGCAACACATGTTTAAAATATGGTTGTTATGGCAACTGTGAATAGGTACTTGATGCACATTCAAAAATCACGTAAATTGCTATTTCAATATTACGTTATCCTCATTGAAATGGTAAATAAGAAGCCCCATCTTTTGTTATTAACTTCAATTTTAAGTATAAGAGTAGCTTCTTTAGTGACATAATACGTGATTGATGATGATTGTGCCTTATTTTCCTCAAAATTGGTCCAAAAGTTTTTAAGTCCTATCACGATCTAAAATCAAACACTAGTGTTAACCTCCAAATGTACTAATGCCAGATATATTTTCCGGGAAGATCAGGTTATCAGATGATAGGGAACATACTTAACTTATCAACCATTGCAATGTTATTACATTGTATACATATCCGTTTCAAAGTAAACTAAAAATCAGCAACTCCACGGAGTAGCAAATCCCAAGGAACACTATATTCATGAATGTCACAATAAATGTCACAATGTAATATGAACCCCAAAATAAGGCCCCTGGGGATCTGAGTCTGACAAACATGGAAAACTAGTATATGTGAAAAAGATGGATGTTGTGAATATACACTAAAATTTCAGACAATAATATTTATTACTTTTTTGCATAAAACTATTTACCAATATACATCTTTCCACCACATATGAAGAAAATCCGTCCTCTAGTATTTGAGTTATCTTACTGACAGACAGATTGACAGACTGACTGATGGACTGACAGATGAACGGAGGGCTTCACTATATCCCTTCCGAACTTCATTCATTGGGATAATAAAAACTAATCTATAAGGAACTTTGATTGGTTAATTAAAAGTACAATGTAATTGGTAAACCACTCGCACAATTTTAATGTTAACAAATATTGAATGCATATATTTTTAATGAGAAAACCAGGCAGCTCACTTGTCAAGCATTCTTCATATGACAGGACTGGGATAAACATTGACTTTCTAACTTGATGTATTTATTCTAAAGTGAGACAATGCAAGTATCTTTAGAGACCGTCACAATAATAGTTATAGCCCTACAGGTTGTTTTAGTGTATTCCGAAACAACACTTATTGGAATATCGCTTTCTAAACATCAAATTACGAATGAGGCATATATTAAAGTCCCATATGCAGAGAGACTGAGCAACCCTATGAGGTCTTTGAAAGTTTTGACAAATATTGCATGTGCTGCAAGCTGTTCTGCTTTACCAGAGAAATGCACATCATACAACCTACGCAAGATTAATGGAGAGAAAAATACCAAAGTTTGTGAGTTAAATGGACCATATTTGGGACGTGAACATCAAAGAACAACAGTTGACAATGCTGACTTCCACATCAGAACAGGTACCTTATTTGAACGCTCTTAATAAATATTGACGAATAGCCATTATTTTAACCATTGATAGGTTTATTAAATATACATCTGAGGGATTAGTGTACAGTTGACTTGGCAACTGGGTGACTGGGCACACAATTCATACACATTCCACAGACACTTGTTTTCTCTTTTCACAATATGCAGATGGTGCTATATGAAAACAATCGATGGGGATTTATGTGTGTGCGAATTTGTGAATTTCATAAACTAAGGCATGTTGGGTAATTATATTCATACATGAGTAGGAGATATCTGATAAAAAGGAAATCATATCAATAGTTGTATTCTTTTTATACAGCGACTTACTTAGCATTAAACCTATCTCCAAGCATAGAATTGGAAACTGCTGCAAATACCATTTACAGCCTCATTCAGTATTGGAGAGGTTAAGCTTTGCATATATAATCGAAACTGAACCTGTACGTATCACTCGACCATATACAAATTCATGTAGCCTTCTCATATAAATAGCCGTTCAAATCCAGTGTTTGTTTAGACTACACCATAGCGTGTAATGATTCTATAGTATGTCATTGATGCGGTTTTATAGCTGGTTTTCTAATACATATTTTAAACGAGCTCGTTTCGTAAGATTTTTGGCGCTAAATCATGCATGACATACATCATCGTGTTCAGCAAGAATTCAACTGTGCATCGAAATCAAAATTGACAGCATAGTGTTCAATAGACACGAGTAAAATGGTTCCCGTTGACCCAACGTCAAATATTCAAATCTCCCGTTCTAAACCCGAAACTCTGAAGCTGAAAGAGTATCTGAAGTAGACTAAGCGCGCATAAAACTATGAGCGCT